AATAAATTAAGAACTTTTTCTTTGGTTGTCGATGACTAAACGATTTTTTAATGATGATTTATTAATGAAAGTATTATTAGTATTATTTTTTATTCAAACGCTATACAGAGTGGATCTTTATTTGAATGGAACAAATTTGGTAATTTTAATTCAATGAAATTGACATTTCATTAGTTATAATCCAGTGGTAGTTAAATATTAGCAAATATCTGTACCAATTCATGAAAAGTATTTAGGCATTATAATATCTTGAATAACTTTTATCTTTTGAAAAATAAATATAATATAATAATATTTTTATATTTGATCTTTAAATAATAATAATAATAATAACTCCCGTATATAGCGTTTAACGCCTTGGGGCACCTTGAGAGTAGCAAGGTACAGCTTGCCATGCTAGAGCCGTTCGGTTAGATTTTTAAATATTTTCTTAATTAGATTTATATTTAACGGTGGATTCACTTCTATGGGACACCCAGTAGATAGTAGTTTTCTAATTTGAAACGTATTAAAATATCTTATAAGCTAGGAAATTTTCGGAGATGACAGCTGTAAAATTAGTACGCCTAAGTTTGTTTATTAGTGTAGGTTTAATAATATCTGAGAAAAAAATATTACTGATTTCTTAAAATAAACTCCTGTTACATTAAGCTCAAGTATCAATTCATAATAATTGTTTGTTAATTACTATTACTTACTCGTAGATTTTAATTCATCCTTTTTTGAATTATATTATATTTCTATTTTTATATTGAAAAAATTAAGTTTATTGCTTGTCCATTGTAAGGTTGTGATATTTTTTTATTCAAATTTGCTATACGCAGATATTTTTCAATAAGTTGCAGTACATACATAATTCGTTGGGGTACTTATTCATAGTAACTCTTGCTCTTACTACTTATGATATTATACTAAATTAGGGTTGCCACTGTTGTTTTTTCTCTCACGCATTGAAAACGTCCTCTTTTTTACATACCAAACTCAAAATCTAAAAAATATTCGTCTTTCATCACAATGCTTTAAAAAATTGTTAATCTATCTCTTTCGCTACTCCCACTCGTTTGTACAGTAAGGAAAATGAAGAAATATTTATGTACAAGAAACATTGGTGGAAGCGATAAACATGTTTAACTATTTTATGTTTACTTACTCTTACCTTATGTTTTGAAAAAAAGTGTTGTTTTGACCAGTGTGTTCAAGACCATCCATCACATAACGTTTATATAATTTTTTGGTAAATTCTAGATATTTGGGCGCAGTTTAATGAAATTTTTTCAGGTTCACCTGTGCCTCTTTTTTATTCTCTTGTCCTCTATTTTTTATTTTGAAAGTTGCCAACTCTATACTAAATGTCAATAGAAGAAGATAATTTAAATGTTTCTACTATGTTCGGATAAATTTTTAAATTCCACTAGATAATTTTTGCTAGTTGTAATTCAATATTTATAAAATATGAGTATGAACTTAAAAAATTATTAAAGATTCCCTTACTTATTTTAAAATACTCGTAATATTGAAACCACAACGACTTATTCGCCTGTATATTTTATATAATATTTAATAAGTTTTATAAATTAAGTTTGTAAGAGATGCCCCAAGTGTAAACCTTTAACCATTTCCGATATGCAATATTACATTTTCCTGTAATCACATGGAAGTTCTAATACATCAGCTTCCAGTGTAGAAAAATGTAAATTACAATATGACATCGATGACATCTCGCATATAATTTTACATATAAACATAACCAGCGACTTCCATTTTCATAGCCATCCGATGGCTATGATTTTTTTTTAAAAAAAAAAAAAAAAAAAAAATGTTTTACAAAAATATTTTTTTTTTTGTTGTAAATTTTCAAAATGTGTTTTATATTTTTATTTATATCTTTCTGATGTTGTTGAACCCTAAATTTTTTGAAAAGATTATTGTTTAAGCCAAATTTTTTGCCAAAAAGAGCGAGAGCTATAAATATCGTATAATCGAGAAAAGTGGTATCGGCTGGTAAATGACAATCGATGACATTAACTTCTATTTTTTCTACACATAATAATATATAAATAATAGCCTTCTCACGATATAGGCGTTTTATCTTGCCTTTGAGGCAGTAAGCAGGTTGACAGCTTTGCCTGTGGCTTAATGCTAGAGCCGTCCGGTATACAAGAAAGGTAATGTTGCTAGCACAGACCCAGCGCTTTCGCCGCCTATATATTTCCACTCCAGGATCTTTAAGGCTGGTCGACCATCAGGCCAGTACGGTTTACCCAAAACTAATTTTTATTTTAAAAATACATTTTTTTTGTTTGTTTGTTTGATGAAATGCCGGGTGTGGATTCGAACCCACTACCTTTAGATTGGTAGATTTTTGGTAGATGAGAGCTGTACTTCTACGCCATTGCCACCGGGCACCTTAATAAAAAAAAAATAACAAAGTTTTTTTTTTTTTTTTATTTTGAAAATAGTAAAAAATGTTTTTTTTTTAATTTTGTAAATAAAATGTTAAAATGTAATTTTATAAATTTTTTTTTTTTTTTTTTTTTTTTTTTTTCTTTTTAATTTATACAAACTTTTTTTTTTTATTTATTTAATTCTGTTAATTAAATCCACCAAAATTTCACCTACACCAAATTCAACTAGGAGAGTATTGTATGTAAATAGGGCATTTTTGGAAACGTAATACGCACTTTCCAAAAACAATTACTTTCTTTTTGAGTTTGTTTGGATTATACAGGGTCCCCGGCAGAGAGCTGCATCTGGGAATCTATAGCTACTAGAATAAAAAAACTTGGGATTTTTTTTTTAATTTAATTTTAGTAGTCTCTGATAAATCTTTTTCAGCTGATTTTTCCTGGAAAAAAAATACGTTTAACGTTCTTATAGATATATCTATCAATACCAAGTGAAGGCGGATTGGGATGATTTGTTTTTTAAAATGGAACGCCGTGTATATACTCCGGCATTGTTGGCGTTTCTTCCAGATCAACTTTTTCTGCAATAGTCCTAAAATATGTGAGCTAAAATACATATTCGATAGTTCGAGATATTTATATAAAAGTAATCAAAAGTATATATTTTTATCGAGTCTTCGCTTTAAAAAAACATCACCGACGGCAAATATTAAAAATAGAAAGCAACAGGACAGTACTTATCCCTTTAAATAGGTATTAACCAACCTTATAATTGCGTCTGTAACTTAACTTTCCTATAATGTCCGTATTCTAAAATCATTAGCAAAGGGCTTATTTCAAATTCAAATGTACTAAACTTTCTAAAAATATTCCCAATTAAAAAAAATATTTTCATTTTTCTGATTTTTTTTTTTCGCGAAAATTTTTTTTTTAATTCTGATATTTAAAGTGTCCTCTTTTATAAACCTTTGATGTTCTGTTAAAATAAATAAAAAAAAAAATACATTCTTTTGTAATTTAAGGTGATTTCAAAATGGTATGTTACGGTTTTTGCGGATATTCGTAGTACTGCATTACATATGGGGGTTTCAACAAAGTAAATTTTTATAATAATGCGAAAATCTAATGATTTTCGGCTGGAATTTTACCGTTGAAAAAGAAAATTAAGAAAAAAAAAAAATTGTTTGTTTTTTATTTATAATATTTAATTATTATTGTTAACTTTTTTATTGGAAATTAAATTGGCAATCATTGCCCTAATTTTTTTTAAAATAGTAAAAATTTAAATAAAAAGTTGTTTATACAAGACTGTGAGTTAGAGTTTCCTGTCCCTCAGTAAGAGGAATTTAACCAAACTTGATTTAAATAAATATGGTTTGTAGGATTATGTTAAAGCGATGCAGAAACGCATAGAAAGCCAAAATGGCAATAGATCATACCAGGGTGTTCCAATTAAAAAAAGTTAATCTCCCGATCCATTCCACACTTTTTTTACGCCCCTGTATGATGACAAAAGTTTTTATTCATTTTTTTTTTTTATATTTTTTTATTGCCGGACCCTGTAAGGTAATTTAATTTTCGTATATTTGTCTAGGCCCTTAAGCTAAATGTTTAGAAATTCTCTCGAAAAAAATTAACGCTAATCTCCATTTTGCTTGAGGAACCTTCCCACGGGAGATGGCAAATATTTTTGAAACATCCTGTATAAAATTTTTGTAGGTATTATGGTATTTCATTTATTCTTTTTAATTTCGTAATTTTTAATAACGATTTGGTTACATACAATTGAATGTGTTTGACATATTTTACATTGATTTTTAGCTTAGGTGACTTAATGAAGGAAAATTCACATTGGAGTGTTAAAATCGTTTAAAAAATTTTTTTTAATAAAATACAAAAAATCAGTGATTATATAATTATTCTTCCTCTTTGGCATCTTAGCAAAATAGCATTTTTTCGTTTAAAACTTTTTTTTTATGTTTGTTCTTTTTTATGTATCTTGGATTGTTATTCTATTGTTGTTATTCTATTGTAATTTATGCGTCTTGCATTTCTAGTATTGACCGTGTTATCTAAATAATGGTCTGGCGTTATACAGGGTGAGTCTTAAATAAGTGCAAATATTTTTAGTGGTAGTATATTTCGACCGCAGAAATGATTATGAGGTTTTTTCGCAAAAAAAAACTTTTGAAAAAAAATTTGGATTTTTTTAGTTTTTAGTTAGAAGAAACATAATTTGTTGATAATATGGCAACATAGGTAGTAGAATCAATTTATAAGAAGAAAATCTAGAAAAGATCAGTGGTTCTCAAAATTTTAGCAAAAAATCTTTTTTTTGGAATTTTTCAAAGTAAAATAACTCGGTTATTTTGGATTTATTTGAAAAACAGTAAAAGAGAAAATATGTTTCTTTTACCGAGATCACCAGCCCTGAAAATATTGCACTCACCCTGTATAATTGAGTGCATTTGGCTTATTTTATATAATATATTTTATATTCGCTAATATCGATTTTTCTAATTATAGGTTTGTGAATTATAGGACTTGGTGACGGATTTTCATTGGGTCTTGCATCAAGTTGATTATAGTACTTACGATTACAGCGTGCTTGTGCATCTTTAAAACTGTCTGTGCCATTTGTCTCAATTTTTTCGGTGGCTTTTTTCGTCCGCTGAACTTCACTCGTCGCAACTTCGCGCGCGTACCGTTTTAGCGTCTCTCATTTCACCTCATCGGCGGTACCGGAACGCACTGCCACTAGATACCAATGATTTCTTCATTCAAGAGTGGTTCAAGTTGGAGCAGCACCGTCAAAAACGCGGGGTTCTTTTTGGAGGGGCGACAGGTGAATGTCGAAAAGAAAGAAATGGTCTGGCCGTACCGGTACCGCTCCAGAGCGGTTTTATACGATGCGGAGGAGATACGGCGCTTCTGATAATCGCCGCGACGCCGTTAACGTTTAATTGTTGTTGGTGACGAGGTCGTGGCGAATTTAGGGGTCGCGATCGGACCTGTTACTTCGTCCATTGTTCTGGTGGGTTTGCTTAGTTTTTTACAATCGCGGTAATTTTTATTTCCGCCATGTCGGGTATTCTTCTTGATATTTTTTTCGGTTGCATTGGCGTCATCTTGTTTCTGTTGAATAATATCGGTCACAGAAAAAATCTATTAAAGTGTTCTTTTAAAACAATATAAATTAGACTGGTTTTCCTTAAGATTGAATTAGAGTTTTCAAACATACAGGGTGCTACAAATTTGAGGTACGAGTATTGGTATCTCGGAAACCATAATAGATTTTTTTCCATAACAAGGGGCCGTCCTCTGCCGGAAACACTGCGGCCTGTGGGGCCTATTGTGTTTGTCCCCCTTCTATATATCTGCACCCATTCTCCTATCCCTGTGCCCTGCACTGGCTTATGCAGGTCCTTGATAGGATGAAAACATAGTTCCTCCAGTTCTAGCTTTGCTTTCCCAAATAAAAGTGTCGCTTGCGATCCATAGCCTCGCAATGACATATTATGTGCTCCGCTGTTTTCAGGATCTTTATCGCTGAGTCTGCAGCAAATACTTCCTTGATATAGGTTGACTTGTTCAGGTAACATTCGACAGCCATGTCCTGTTGTAATCCGTACCTTATTCCTGCTAAGCATTAGCAATTCTTTTTCAGTTTTAGAGCTAGGTTCTTGGATAATAGCCTTGCTGTGCCTGTGCCCCTGTCTGTTTCTCAAATGGACATTGTGCTTTTCCCCGACCCAGAGTTTTAGTGCACTACGGGCCATGCATTTCAGTATTCCCAGTCCTGGCTCTGGACCAAGATAGGATGCCGATGATCCCTGCCTAGCTAGCTTATCGGCTTTTCGTTGCCTTGGATGCCGCTGTGCCCGGCACCCAGAATAAATTAATTCTGTTCCTTCGTGCCAGAGCTCCCAGTTCACCCAGGCATTCCCAGACGAGTCTCGTCGATACCTCTGGGTTCATGAGCGCCCCAAGTGACCCCTGACTGTCCCAGGCATTATATTGATGAGCTTACTGAATAAGCTCTTCTATTATTTTCTCTCGCACATTGTAGAATGGCAAAGATTTCTGTCTAGAATACGGTTGAGTGTTTACCCAAGGAAAATGATAAGCTTGCCCTTGGTCTTTCCCAAATACTCCAGCTCCTGTTCCTTCAGCGCTCTTTGACTCGTCTGTATACCAGGTTAGTCCATCCTGAAGGAATGTTATATCTGTCCACATTCCTTGATCCATTTTGTTCACCTCGAATGGTGTGTGGTAGTGATAAAGAGGGGTCATTTGGTACGATCTCATTTGGAGTAGAGATCCTCCTATAGAATCTCCCATCTTTAAGTGTCCTGTTTCTGTCCTATTTCCCAGAGACAAGTAACTGTTGTCGATAGAGTCCCATTCTTGCCTCCGCCTGGATCACTATGTGAAGAGGCGGAAGGTCAAGAAGCGCCTCCATTGATGCAGTGGGCGTTGATTTCATTGCCCCTGTTATGCTCAGACAAGCAAGTCTTTGCACCTTTCTAAGGCTGAGCATTGTTGTTTGTTGCATTACCTTAGGCCACCATACCAAGGATGTATATGTTACTGAAGGCCTCACCACTCAGTGTACAGCCAGTGCAGCATCTGTGGTCTGAGGCCCCAGATTTTTCCATGACGTCATCTGACTACCGCTAGTGTAGTCATCGCCCTCATTGTGACATTTTCCAAATGACGGTTCCAGGTCAGTTTGGTATCCAGCATGATTCTTAGATACTTGACCTCCCCGAGAGAGGAATCTCATCACCGCAGAGTCTTAGAGGTCCTAGTCCCTCAAAATTCTTCGTTTGGTGAAGGGGATTATTACGGTCTTTGTCGGACTAATATTCAGTCCCTCCTGTGTTACCTATGATTCCACAATCTTCATGGCCCTGTGCATTCGCTCCCGTACTGTTGTGTTAAACTTACTTCTGACTAACACGACCAAATCGTCTGCATATCCCAGAGTGTTGAAACCAGCCCTGTTGAGACTATCAAGCAGTCTGTCCATAACGAGATTCCACAGCAGAGGGGCCCCCCTGCGGGCATCCTCCAGACTTTTGAGCATGCAGTCTATCCATCTGCAGCACGTCTCCTCTAATCCGAAGTTCCTTGTAGCTCTCGTCAGTGACTGAAATGAGGTGTTATCAAACGCCTCTTCTATGTCGAGGAATGCCCATAAAAGCACTTCTCTTGTTTCGAACGTCGTTGTTTTGCTTACTAACTGATGGAGTGCCGATTCGGTTGATCGTCCTGCTGTGTAGGCATGCTGGTCTTGGTGAAATGGTCTTTTTCCCATTACTTCATCCCTAACATACCTGTCCATTAGTTTCTCAAGAGCCTTTAGTACAAACGACGTAAGACTGATGGGCCTAAAGGCCTTCGCCGTAGGATAGTCCAGACGCCCATTCTTGGGTATAAAAGCTATCCTGGTCAGCCTCCAAATTCTCGGTATATATCCTAAGGCTAGACTAGCTCTTAGTAGTGTGCAAAGTTTGCTCGTCAGTAGGTCTGGTCCTTCCTGGAGCATTATTGGACAAATACCGTCCGGTCCCGGTGATTTGTATGACTCAAATGAGCTTATAGCCCATTTTATCTTTGATTGGTCAGGTCAATCACCCTTTTTGAAACCTGCCAGTCTTCCCTTGAGGTTCTTCTCGTGAAGTACTCAAGTCCCCTACTCTTCCAGGTTTCTGGGGATTGCTCCAAGGCTGTTGATCTGGGAAAGTGTACCCGAAAGAGTCCGGTCAGCGTTTCTTTCCCAGTGGATGTGTATTCGCCTGCACTAGTTACAAGAGAGTTAATTGAGGACTGAGAGTCCTTAGAGAGTATTTTTCTGGCACATTCTGAGGCACATGCCCTCACAGTACCTCCTCCAAGATAATCTCTTTGCTCTCCTCAGTTCCTTGTTATATTCGGTTAAAACCTAACCGTAATAGATACGAAGATGGTTAAATTGGGGCAAAGTTGCGCCTTGGGCTGCTCACCAAGATGCCATCATAAAAGTTTTAAAAACTTCAAGGTTTGCTGAGTTTTTTGGAAAAAAAAACATATTTTTTTGAAAATCAGTTTTATTTTCTTTTGTCGTTACTTTTTAGAAAATCCAGAAACTAATTGCACATTCTCATAGCCATTTTATTAGGGCTATCTGACAGATTTTTAGATTTTCAAATTAGCTGATAATTTGTGAAATACAGAGGCCAACTTAATTTTTTTAAATACGGACCTGCATTGTTTATTTCAGATTTGGAAAGAACTCAGTCTCCTGAGTACAATGATATGCCACACTTTTTTTTTGTTTTGGGTACCTTAACAGCAACAAAACTAGAGTTAGTAACCTAAACCTTAGAGTTTGTGACTATCTGTAAACTGAATCTTTGCAATGTTCTCATGGATTTGTTTATTTGTTTATATCACGGTACTTTCAGTACTTTCGATTTCACCATGTCGAGTATTTCTTTTGACTAGTGATGAGCAAATGCAAGAACAAGAAAAAACTCTTTGGTCTTGGTCTTTCAGTTAATAAGTACCCAGTGAAAGAAAACGCCTTGCGTGACCATCTTCTTATGCTTGTCAAATACGACGAGTATTGGCAGTATGTATGTATGTAAGTACCCAGTCTTGGCCTTTCTGCTATACTCTTGGAAGTCTGGCATTTTTTAATAAATTTTGGCTAGAGCCACTTTCTACATGGAAAATATTTTAAATATATATTTAAGCAAATAGAACTTTAATGAAAGAAATTTTTAGAATATTTGTCTGGCGAAATTGTTATTTTTTAATATACAGGGTGTCCCAGAAATAAGTGCAACTATTTTAAGGGGAGGTAGATCTCGATAAAAAAAACATGTTTTCTCTTTATCGTTTTTCAAATAAGTCCAAAATACCGGAGTTATTTTACTTTGAAAATTTCCAAAAAAAAAAAATGATTTCTTGCTAAGATTTTGAGAACCACTGGATTTTTTCTGGATTTTCTTTTTTGTAAATTTAATTTATACCTATGTTGCCATATTATCAAGAAATTATGTTTTTTAACTAAAAACTAAAAAAAAATTTAAAGTAAAACGTAATTTTGAATTTTCAATATATTTTCAATAATTCGCGAAAAAACCTCATAGGCGTGTTTCTGGAGTTGAACTATACTACCAGTTAAAATACTTGCACTTATTTCGGGGACACCCTGTATTATGTCGAATCAGTATTTCTTTATTTAAAATTTTATGCAATAGTCGGGAAATCACTATATTTATAATGAATTAAAACAACGACGTGAAAAAACAAGACCGCAAGAGTCTTGCATGCTATGAAGTTTTTTTCTTAGAATATGTCCAAAGATCACCTCCTTAAATATTAGCATATCATTAAGGAGCACCCTGTATACAAAATTGTGCTTCGTACAAAATTACTAAGTTACAACCCTGACTTGTTGAATGCAAAGTTTTTGCAGTGGCTGTTTAGGCCGGTCTTTGTTGTCAAAATATTCAATATTTCCATTGTTACTCTATCCTCTATTTAATTTTATTACGTATTCTATTTATTTTCCACAAAATATAAATATAAAGCGTAAAAGTAAATGTACAAAATTTGGTACAAAATGACTGGTTTAGAACCCTGACTTATTGGAAGCTCTCAAATATTTTTGTTTTCTTAACCTCAATATTTTGGTGAAGTTGGTGGAAATATGGTGGAAATGTTCAATTTACTTTTTATTTTAGTATGTGTAATATTCGCTATAGTAAGATAAAAGTATACCTTTAGAGTTCACTATTATTAATATTAAACATTTTTAGCTATTAGGCAAACTAATAAATGTAGATATCACCAGAAAACCAAGAATATTGGCCCGAACTTGGGGTCATATTGACCAAGGAAATTTTACGTATATCTATTTAACGTTCCAAGGGCCAGTTATTTTAAACTTATCCTCTTTGTAAGTAGTTAAAATTTTATGTTATCAGTAGTAGTAAAATCGGTTTAACTTTGTTAGATCTGGTGATGCAGATTTGTATATATCAGATAATAATATGTATCCAACATTTGATGCAGATACATATACATTGCATTCTGCTACTTGTGGACAAGATATTATAGAAGTACCTGAAATGTACGTATTTAAAATATGAGTCATACATAATATAATACATTTTTTTATAAATTTCAGAGTTCAAGTACCTTTAGCTGTAGGTATATATGGGTATTCAGAAATGAGTGAGTTTATATTGGAAGTACATGAGAATTTAAATTCATCCTACCCATATAAACAGTGGGCTATTATACAGGAGGAAGGAGATGTTCAATCGATCAAGCCAGAAAAGAATACCGAAGGAACTAATAAGAGAGATACCATTTCACAGGTTCCAAAAAAGAAAAAAAGGAGAAAAACAGACTCCGATTTTTCAACTATATTTTCAATCTTAGAAGTTTTAGAATTAATATTTCTTTGATTGACTATATTTACTTTATAGATGATTATTAAGTGCCTTAAAACAAGTTGAAACAGTTAGATTTTACTAGGCTTCAGATTTTGGCATGTTAACTTGAAGTTATATTATAAAATTAGTACCTACTTAAATTCTAAAAAATGCTAGTTTATATAGCTTTGATACAAAACTTTGATACTTGCCTTGATACTGTTGATTATAATTTTTAGTGGGTATATTGTCAATGTCCCATGCTAAATTCTGAAATTTGTTATACATATAAATATTGTGATAATTGTCGATGGATTAAAATAAGATATAAACATTTATTCTTACATCTTATAGATATATTCATATAATGTATACATCAGTGTTTTACATCTAGTCACTTTGTAATAATACACATGGAAAACTAATAAACATTTCATTTATTCCCTTTAAGTTTTACATTTGAGTGTTTATTGATAATTATCTTCCATTTAAGATTTCTTTTCTTTCTTTTTATGAAGGAATTTTCTGTTGTCGGCTGAAAATTGTATAAAAATATTTACTAAAATAATAAGAAAATATATGCGTATGTTCAGTTGTTATTTGATATTAGTTAATTAAAATATCATAAAAATGAAGAACAATATGCCGGGTGCGTAAGTGCCTCAAAAAGTGGCTCACACTATAACTTTTTTATTTTTCAGATAAAAACGAGGTTTGGTATGTTAGTATATGACTATGGAGGCTAGAAGGACTATATGACAATGGAGGCCTTCTAGCCTCCATATATATGACATAAATTAGGATTGATTGACATATTCAATTGTTTTCGGTCACTTCTTCGGTTTCACTCTGAAATGACTACAACTTTTGTTTTTTAAATGGCACCATCAGTATTTTTTACTTTATTCAATAGAAAATGACACCCTAAATAGAATGACACATCATATGTCAACTTTTGACATTTCCGCATATGGTTTATTTGAAATTATAACATGCGGTTCATAATGATAATTTGACCTGAAATACAAAGTGTCTGGTATGAAATTATTCTGTAAAATTCCAGATATGCATGCTAATGAGCCACCTTTTTGTTCCATTTGAAAAATTGAGATATGATTAAAAATACCATTTTTATTAAAATTAGTCTCCTTGGCTAAAATTAGTGTTTTTAACACAGCCATGGCACTCTAGATTGAAATTTAAAATACAATTTGTTTTGAGGGAATATGTCAAAAGTTGACATATGATATGTCATTCGATTCAGAGTGTCATTTTCTATCGAATAAAGTAAAAATCCGGTGAAACAGGAAGTGACCAAAACAATTGAATACGTCAATCAATCCTAATTTATGTCATATACTAACATACCAAACCTCGTTATTTTATCTGAAAAATAGTTATAGGGGTGAGCCACTTTGAGACGCACCCGGTATATTGTATACACATTGATAAATATATAGGTAATAAAAGCAGACCTTATGTGCATGCTTCCTATACTTTATTATTCGTATTTAAATGCCATTTTACAATTATATTTGTGAAAAACTACGCCAATTTTGTAGAGATTTTGACCAAAGTAATGTATGGAATAATAGGTTCATTTAAATTTTCAAAAAAGAAATTTGGCGAAAAAATACCTCATAATCGTATTTCTGGGGTCGAAATATACTACCCCTAAAATATTTGCTCTTATTTAAGACTCATCCTGCATATTTTTTATTTATTGATTAATATCTCTGAATCTACTGAAATATACAGGGTGGTCCGAACTATATTCCTGAAACTTCGGCAGCACATCCTGCAGATGAAAATAAGATTTCTGATTTTTTCCAAATAATTTATGATTTGGCTGGAAATTGGTGTCTGAGAGTCTTTGAGAAACTTGATTTTGATGTCAATATGGCTCCTATTTGTAGAGGGCGCCATCTACATGTGTTTAACTGTTTTGAAGAGTAATAACTTTTCGTCCGTACTTATGGAGTGAAACCGTATAAAACTATGGAGTGAAAAAATATACATTTTTATGACTTTTACGTAAAAATATCTCTTGGTAAAAATCGCTACGAGCAACCGTTCTCAAGATATTGAGAATGAAAAGAGTCAATACATGTCATTATTGACAAAAAATAAACACGCTGAGTAGATAGTTATTTGACTGTAATAATAAATTTGGGAAATTTTTATTTTTTTAAATTAATCATTTAATTTCTATAAAAATATGATAAAACAGTTCCTGTTGAACTTTTGGCACAAAAATACCGTATGATCGAAAAAAAATGGCGTCCAGTTGGCTGGGAAATGAAGATCGCTGTCATTTTAAATGTACATTTATATGGGAAATGTCATCGATCGTCATTTCCCAGTCAACTGACGCCGTTTTTTCTCGATCATACGGTATTTCAAATTTACGATTTCAGTCTAATAACTATTTACAGTACGTTTGCTGGATCTGAGTCTATGAAAGGAATGCGGACAAAAAACATTTAAATAAACAGCAATATATTTTATACGTCGACTTGACGAGTACGTCACCGCAAATCGCTCCGCCCACTCATTTTATTGGCTACTTGCCAATTTGCCGAATTTTTGTTGATGGGACGCGTCGTCTAATTTTTTACGAAAAACATCTAGAGAATATCGTTTCCCCTCTCACGGATACCCCGTAACTACAGAACGGACAGACGTACTATAGTCAACATTTTTAATTTATGTCAATGATTAGTATTGATAATTTAGATTGCAAATATTTCGAGAACCATTACTCGTAGCGATTTTTACCAAGACACAGTTTTTACGTAAAAAACTTCTTAAATGAATATTTTTTTACTCAGTAGTTTTATACAGGTACGGACGAAAAGTTATTTCTTTTCAAACCAGTTATAAAATATGTAGGTGGCGCCCTCGAGAAGTAGGAGTCATATTGACATCAAAATCGAATTTCTCATGTTAAAAAATTGCCAGATACCGATTTTCATCCAAATATTGACGTTACTTAAAAATGAAACTTCTACACCCTGTTTTTAGGACATACATTTATACGAACTTTTTTACTTATTTTTATCTGCAGAATATGCTGCCGAAGTTTCCGGAATACAATTCGGACCACCCTGTATTTACTCGTATCTTAGTATTATTTAAAGTGATCCGAAAGGAAGCTAAGAATGCAATAATAGAGTTCCATTTAAAAAAAAATAATACCGATCCACTCACATTTTTTTGAGCCTCTCTGTAGAAGTTAAAATATTTTCCTGAAATACATCCTCGTATATACTTTTGGTTTGCACTTAAATAAAATTCCTAAGTTTTTTAATCTAGGAACTAGAGATGCCTGACGCACTATTCCTGTATAGGCTTGGTGTAGGTATTTCAGTTAATTTCAATTTCAAAAATTCCGACCGCAGCGCTTCAACGGCAGAAATCAGAAATTATCAGTACTTATTTCACGCATGACGCCGTCATGTTGATCGCATTAAAATAATATTGAAATCGTGGTTTTGTCATAATATTTAAGTATTTTAGTTTTTTTGCTAGTCCAGTTATTGAGACTGTAAAACACTCAGGTACAATTTAACAAGTATAGCTAGAGACGTGAGAAATACAAAATAAGAGACGCCCCTCGATGCGCAGTGGACAGCACACAAATTTGCTTTAATCAGATTTATCGTAGCGTAACTGCATCTCTCTTCCGCCGAATGCGGTCTCTCTCTCTATCGTGTGCGCGACCGGTGCTATCCCCAAGTCTCTTCCTATATTTGTCAAACTGTACGAGAGGTTTGTGTGATGTAACACTGTTTTGGGCAGTAAAAAATAAGCGAAAAAGAATTCGAACTAGACATCGTTTTGTGTTGTGACAATTTAAAATGTTAATAAAATCGCCGAAAAGTGTTAACGCGTAAAAGGAGAGCGTAATTAGGGCGTTGTTGGGCGCAATAAAATTCAATAACTCAACTTTCCCGGATATTCAACTCATCAAACATTTTATTACTTCATAGTTTCTCACACCTATTTGGTTAAAAGCAAAAATATATAGATTTGGTTTGGTTTGGGATGCAAGCAGTTCGACGAAACAAGTGAGTAAACAAAGTGCTCGTTAGATAACCAAAAAATTAAAAATAGACATATACTATTTATATCTACTAGAGAGGATAAAATAAAATTTGCAATATTAATGGTATATTTTTTTAATCAACTAGAGTGATTAAATGTTTTATGAACGTCTTCTAAAATTATAATTATTATAATTATGTATCTTTAAAATAATTCGTTATAGCCGAAATAACCTCAGTTATGCCCTACTAGCAAATTGACAACTAAAAAAATGGCAATACTAACACTTAACATTAGAATAATTAAATAATAAATTTTTCGTATACTCGCTATTTAAACCTGTGTATTTGTGTATACTAGTTGTTTACGATATACTCCGATTGTGGCAGCACCGGCGGAGAATGCACCAAACCTATAAGTTTTACGCAGCAATAATTGATTTGATGAATTATTTAGTTGACTGACACAATACCTTAAGAGTTATAAAATTATTTATTATTCTTACCTCAGTTTGTACAACAGAGTCAATAGTCGATGACAAGTTTTCTTCTTTATCATAATCGCCAGAAGTAGACACGTTTGAAGTCATATGCGAATCGTGACCATAAACTAAATTTAATAATTTAAAACAAACTACAAAATTATGCATTTTCTCATCTTACCTCTATTCAAATTTTGTTTCTCGTTAGTCACTTCCGCGAAATACATTTGCTGTGTTTGGAAAGTGTCCTTTTCGATTTTGGGTTGAAATCCTAACTGCGGTTTTTTAAATTTCAATGACTCGATCGTATCTTGTATTTCGGTGGGTATTGATCTAATCACCGGCGCGGCAATAGGTTTGAAATTTAAGGATTTTTCGCTAGCCATGCAGAGATCCGTGATAACCTTACTAGAAGAAATAAATAACTTAAATGTGATTTGTTATACTGGGTGGCGCGCCTTATACAAACACGGAATATTCAAGGAACACGACACTTTGCATCAGATTTTTTTTTGGACGCATAGATTTATGCGTATCGGATGCTATTTGGAATGCAATTAAGAACAGAAAACATGTTAAGCTAAACTAAACTGTTCGCAAACCGGAGGAAAAACAGTAGTTTTAAAATAACACAATGAGTTTAATAAAAAAGCAAACAGAAGTGCAAACAAACATTGGTATACGGGTTGTCCCAGGCTAAGCGTGCATTAGAAGTTTCTAAAGAGCTACAATATCTATATCGGAGATTTTTTGGACATCATTGTTTTACAACGAGATCTATCGATTAAAAATATTTTCAACATGGCGGCACTTCCGGAAATACCGGAAGTTGACAGCAACTTTCTTATTTTAAATGGGTGCCCCCATTTTATATTACATACTTAAATTCTTTGTAAAATTTTATGAATTTTGATATCAAACACTTTTTTTAAGAAAAAAAATATTTAAAATTTTTGAATGAGACAAACTGCCTGGCAAAAAAATTTGTATAGCTTAAACGTCAAATTTAGTGATTACTACAGCCACTGTAACATAAAGAAAAGACATATTACTATCTACTTCAAAAATTGAATTGTTCGAATGTCATATAACAAAGGCCGCAGCTGTCATGAAATTGAGCGATTAAAAAATTATCATAAATCATTTTTTTCTAATGGAAACCCACTTATTTTATTTCACTAGTGAAAAGGATTTCCTTCAATTCCTCACTTTTTGCCTATACATGTTCCTATACTTAAAATAATTTTTTCGATCATAAGATATATTATTAATAATATCAACATCAACTATAAGATATCACTAAAGAGAGAAAATACGAGATATATTATTTTTAAAAATACACTTTTTCAACTTTTAAGCAACAGTATTTATAATTCCTATAATTATGTTCAAATAATTATTTTTCTGACATGAGAAATAAATTGGCTAATTATTTCACACTTAATGTCAAAGCAATCTAGATAAAATCAAGAAAAATATACGTTTTAGACTAAATCTTAAATAACTTAAAAACGATTTATTTTAGGTATAGGAACATGTATGTACAGGCAAAAAGTAAGGAATTGAAAACCCTTTTCAATGGTGAAATAAAGAATTGTGTGTTTCTAAGAGTGCTAAAAACGTGGGTTTCCACTTGAAAAAAATTATTTATGATAATTTTTTAATCGCAATAAATTCCATGACAGCTGCGGCCATTGTTATATGACATTCGAACAATTCAATTTTTGAAATAGACATGTCTTTTCTTTACGTTACAGTAGCTGTGGTAATCACTAAATTTGACGTTTCGGCTATAATACCCATAAAATAATTAACTAGAAAGAAGTGTCAACTCTGTGTTAAATCGTGGAAACACGATACGCCACCGAAAGCCTTCGTTGTCGTCTGGAGAACTAACTTTCCAATTGACAGGTTGACATGATAAGGACATGATGGCTTAATTTTCATTTCCGTTTCCGGTTATTCAATGGCGGGCCCTCTTTCAGTTCAAATGTTATTTGTATTTTTTCTTTTCATGAATAAAACCAAAAAATAATTTATTCACATATATTTATTTGAAATATGGAACAACGTGACTAAATAAATATAAAAATATAGAGGATTGTATTGTTTCAATACCAATTAGTTAATTATATGCACTTTTAACGTAAATTAGTTAAGGTATAAGCATGACTTACAATAATTTGTAAATAAACACACACATTCGCAAACTTCAAGGACAGAAAACGGACACAGGAACATGAAAACGGGAGCCTTATACAAAAACCTGAAAACAGAAAAACAATTTTTTTATACAAAAATTAACAATGTAAAAATATCAATAGGTATAAAATATAAATAAACTGTTTAAAAAAAGCGTCCATTATTCCCAAAGAACCTGGCTTATAAATCAAAAAGATGCAAAAAGAGACTTTTAGTCGGATAACATAATCAGATTATCAGTCCGATTTATTGCTTTATTGACAATAAATCGCACATACTGGAGATAACTAATGTTGGCTATAGTTAAAAATGATCTTACCTTGCTGTAAATTGTTTCCATTTTCAAAAAAATCGCCGATCAAAGAGATTATAACACCATTTTCTTGCATCTAAAAAATGTAAAAACAGTGTTTATTTACTACCTATTTTTGATATACATGGGACATACCTACTACTGCAGAAACGTCATTTTCTCCAGGATTCTTCATGTAATTTATATTTTATATACTTTATTACCTTTATATTTATAAATTTCAGCCGAAATATTAAATTGAACTTCCAAAACGAAACTAAACGGAATGAATTAAAATGGCGTCGAATATTTTGAATTTGTTCTAGAACAAATCTGAAGTTGTCTCTGAAACTGAAATCTGTCAATTCTAAACTGTGAAGTTAGATAATAGTTAGACAAAAACAATGCTGTCCTTGTCTAGGCGGCCATACTTGTCGTGAGGAGAATGACAGGAATGACACTAATGACTGTTTCCAATTTTCCTATTTCACTGTCACCCCCCTGATAATACCTACACATTTTTTTGACAGGCAGTTTTTTTCATCAAAAAATTTTAAATATTTTTTTATCAATAACGGTTCATGTTAGGTATAGAGTGTTTTATATCAAAATTCATAAAATTTTATAGAGAATTTAAGTATGTAATAAAAAATGGGGGCACCTATTTGAAATAAGAAAGTTGCTGTCAACTTCCGGTATTTCCGGAAGTGCCGCCATATTGAAAATATTATTGATCGATAGATCTCGTTGTAAACTAATGATGTACAAAAAATCTCCGATCTAGATATTGTTGTTACCTAGAAACTTCTAATGCACGCTCAGTCTGGGACACCCTGTATAACTTTTTGGTTCCACCGAGGGGTGTCTCACTTAGGTAAAAACTGGAAAGGACTGCCAATGATTGCGGATAAGACTGCCTACTATAATATGTCTGACATAGTCGGCTGCCAGCAACTGCCAGAAAATGTACATGTAATTCAAACAGTGAGACAACAGCTCGGGTTTCCTTGTAGAAATAAAAGTAATTTTAAAATTTATACAGGGTGTTTTAAAAAACATGTGCCATCTATCGTGGGGAGATTTCTCACGTAAAATTAAGGTTTATTTTCCTATCAACATAGGCCCGATTCTATTTTGTTTCGTCACAGGGTGTAAAATGTTAATAATCTTTCGATTTATTACAATTTTCTTCCAAATACTTTTAGTGATTCGAATGAAATTTTGAGGGTAAAAGTTACAATATGTGCTACATATTTTAATGCTAAAAAGGTGTCGATTAATTCATCAGAGACGTGCATATGGGTTATCACTGGAATATTTAAAAACAAAAAATGTGCGCCATTGACTTTTTAATTTTGATATCAAAATTGTGTAGGCAGTTTAATGTCAATTAAAAGTTATCTCTTGATATTTTGTCGAATTTGGCCTCCTTGATGAGATAAACGCAATTTTATTAATCACAATTAGTCAAATTAAAATAAAAATAAAATTAATAAATTATATATTTTACCTAATTTATTATTAAATATTATTACTACTAATAAATAAAAAAATAATGAAATTTAAGATAATCACAAAAAACCTATTTTTAAAAAGTTTTAACATCCTGTAAAACTATGCATTTCCAATTTCCATACTCATGTTTATTGGAACTTTTTTCATATGTTTTGATAAGGAATCAATGAGAACTTTCGCAAATTAATGACATTCAAATATTTTAAAAGTTGCTGCTAGACTTGGATCAAGGCAAATTAATAAAATTGCGTTATCTCATCAAGGAGGCCGAAATCGAAGTATCAAGAGACAAATTTTAATCGGCATTAAACTTCTTAGAGTATTTCGCTAACAAAAAGGAAAAAAGTCAGCGGCGTACATGCTTTTTTTTAGAAAAATATTCCGTGATAATCCATATGTACGTCCCTGGTGAATATGCTGAAACTTTTTAGCTTTGAAATATGTCGCAAAGAAAAGGAAGTCATAATAATCATCGAATCATAATAAATCGAAAAAATATTAATATTAAGACTGTAACTGTAATATTAATATTAAGACTGTTAAAAAATTAATATTAAGACTGTTAAAAAATTAATATTAAGACTGTAACACCCTATAACAACGGAACAGAACAGAATCGGACCTATATTGATATAAGGAATAAATCTTAGTTTTACGTGAGGAATCTCCTAACGAGAAATGGCACATGTTTTTTGAAACTCCCTGTATACAAACTGTTGTATAATTTTGAGGAAGTTTACTTGTTGAGGAGATTTATAGTTTCTATTATTTCGAAAATGACCTCCTTTCTTATGTCCTGGCAAGACCCCCAATTTGTCAAGACTTCCAGTTGTCATATCGTGACGAGTGCACACTCTTTGATCATCATCTGATAGGATTTTTAAACGTGGTGAATCACCATCGGCTGATAAATCTGCTTCGGCATTAGAAACACTTGCGGTTAAACAATCTTTAATTTGGGTACTAGATTTTTGAATACATTTGAGATCATAGATATCATCTTCGCTTCTAGTAGGAGCGTTATGGACGGGAACAAGATCCAAAAGTTTTTTGGGAATTGGCCTAATTGCGAGATTTTCAATGACATACTCGTACTCTGTAAATTCTTTTCCAAAGTGGTTTATAAAAGCTTCAGTGGTGTCGTTAAACTTTTCCTCATCTGAGCAACATCTACAGAAACCTCGTTTTTCGGATTTGTTAGAAAGTTTTTTGTTCTTGGATGCTTTTGACATTTTATTTGACGCATAAACAATTATGTCAAAGTGAAGTTTTTTGTGAATGTGGTGAGAATTTTAATCTTAAATGCATTCATCATCAACAGATTTTGAGAGAGCGGAGAATCCTAAGAAGGGGGCTAACATATTTTCAGTTTTGACATTTTGGTAAGTAGGTTTACCTATTAAGTAGGTTTTTGTTATCATTGTCATCATTATTTTGAGCTTATTAAACCATTTCCAATTATGGTGTAGCCCCTGTTACATATTTAGATACTCTCTTTGTATTTGGGTCCATTGGTTGTCTATTGTCGGCTATGTGGGTCCAAGTTCTTAATATCATGGTCCCATTTCATGTTTGGTCTTCTTCTAGATCTCTTAATTCCTCCTGGGTACCATACTGTAATTTTTGTGATTAATCTGTTGTCCGTCCTTCTTGCCAGGTGTCCTACCCATTGCCACTTGAGGGATTTTATTCTGCATTACCTGGGTCTTTTGTGGTATCCACTGACTATGACTGGTTTTTTATGGTATTGCTTGGTTATTCCCAGCATATTTCCTTACATTGAGCGTTGTACGACCTGCAGTTTCCTTATAATGTCCGTTTTAAGTGTCCAGGTTTTGCATGCATAGGTCATGACTGGTAGTTCACAGTGGCTGAATGTTTTCTTCTTTAGATAGAGTGTCATTCTAGATTTAAATATGGTTGACTTTCTTCCATAAGTACTTCATGCTAACTTAATTCTTCTGTCGATTTCTGGTAGTAGAAATCCCGAGCTGTGTATTAATTGTCCCAAATATACAGGGTGGTCCGAACTGTATTCCGGAAACTTCGGCAGCATATTCTTCAGATTAAAATAAGTAAAAAAGTCCGTATAAATGTATGTCCTAAAATGCTTAGTTTCGGAGATACAGGGTGTAAAAGTTTCATTTTTATTTCGATTTTTTCTAGATAATTTATGAAGTAACATCAATATTTGGATGAAAATTGGTGTCTGGGAGTTTTTTGACGTGAAAAATTTGATTTTCCTGTCAATATAACTCCTACTTGTAGAGGGCGCCACCTACATATGTTTAAACTGGTTTGAAGAGTAATAACTTTTCGTCCATACCTGTACAAAACTATTGAATAAAAAAATATACATTTACAACGTTTTTTACATAAAAAAGGTCCCTTGTCGTTTTTTACATAAAAAAGGTCCCCATCACTACGAGTAGTGGTTCTCGCTATATTTGGAATTGAAATTATCAATACCTGTCATCATTGACATAAATTATACAAGTTGACTAAATAGTTATTAGACTGAAACAATAAATTTGATTTTTTTTCTGCCAAAAGTTCAACAGAAACTGTTTAATTATCATTTTTTCGCAGAAAAATTTATGATTAATTTAAAAAAATAAACATTTATTATTTCAGTCAAATAACTCTATTCAACGTGTGCTTATTTTTTTGTCAATAATGACATGTATTGACTATTTCCATTTTAAATATCTTGAGAACGGTTACTCGTAGCCATTTTTACGAAGAGACATTTTTTGGAAATGTATATTTTTTTAGTCAGTAGTTTTATACAGGTACGGACAAAAAGTTATTACTCTTCTAACAGTCAAAACACATGTAGGTGGCGCACCCTACAAATAGGAGTCATTTTGACATCAAAATCAAATTTCTCGTGTCACAAAACTCCCAGACACCAATTTTTATCCAAATATTGACGTTACTTCAGAAATTATTTAGAAAAAATCGAAATAAAAATGAAACTTCAACACCCTGTATCTCCGAAACAAAGTATTTTAGGACATATATTTACACGAACTTTTTTACTTATTTTTATCTGCAGAATATGCTGCCGAAGTTTCCGGAATACAGTTCGGACCACCCTGTATATGTTCTTGTCCTATTTCCAATGTATTATTTATTAGAACATTTTTCTGTCTGCTCGTTTGTTGTACATTACTTTAGTTTTTGCTAAATTCATTTTGATACCTATTTTATTGCTGGCGGTATTTAGTTCGTTAATTTGTAGTTCTAGAGGATTATTGACCATTAGGACTGTCACATCAGCCAATCTTAAATGGTTAAGGTATTCTTCATCTATTTTTAATCTTTTGTTTGGTCCAGTCCAGTTGACGGAGGATGTCTTTTAGTGCTGCAGTAAACAGCTTTGAAAGATATCGCGTCCCCCTGCCGTACTTTACCTTGGGCCTTTGAAACTCTGGGGTTGTTTCAAAACAGTATCGAATAATCTATATAATAAGACTATTAGGTGCATAGAGAAGGTTTCGAATGTTCTCGTGTCTTTTATTCGTTCCATCGTCTGACTCTGATTGTGGTGGCTCTGCATAGATGTGATTTTAGAAGGTCAAATTAGGGCGGGGCATATTAGAACGGGGCTGATTTCACAACACTGCCCCTTCATTAAATACATGCTCGTCCCGAGATGTACACGGTGAATGAAGGTATTTGCAAAGCCGGCCTCTGGTACACTGAGAAGTCAGTCTACAGTCAGTCAGTCTACTAGTCAGTCAGTAAGTCAGTCTACATTTTTCTCGCCCGATTTCAGCTTTGGGTTGTAGCAGCAAATAAGGATCTCGATTCCCGTAAATCTAAACAGGACTTCAATCATGTTCCGGATTGTAGGCCAACTCAAACCATCGAGTCGACACGCCAGCTTCGGAATGGCTAATCGTGTAATGTTATTGTTTAGCAGGGCTTCTCTCAGTTTAATCAGGACCTTCGATAGATTGAGATAACTCGGCTTACTCGGTGACCATTCTTTGGTGACCAGGTAGATGTGTCTTGCTTGAGCATGCGCATTGTCGGTTAGCCTCAAGACGCTTCCAACCTCTGGATCCTGCCGGCGTAGTTCTCCGACACACCCAAACTTTTCATTGAATGTTGCGGCTATTCCTTTTGGACATTTGCAAATCTCGGGCGACACAGTGAGCGATCGAATATAATCAGGAGGTATGGAAAAGAGGTTTCGTTGTTCTTCTTTGGTTACACCATAGCGCTGTGTTGTATCGGGCCATAAAGTCGTCAAAGGACATCTCCAAATCAGTTGAATCAAAGCTGCAGATTCTAACGGTCCCAGCACGATCTTCTATTTCGCCTTGTTAGGGGCTCAAACGATTGAAATGGACTATCCTCGGTTTTCCTTTTAGTAAGCTTCCTTTGGCAATTTCCGGTCCAGGACTTCGTATGGCCCCTCACAGGAGGATTGTAGCTTCGAAGATAATCCACGACGTCTCTGCAAGTTGTATAGCCATACCAAATTTCCTGGTTGGTAACCTCCATGTTTAGCTTGAATGTCATAATTCGATCACTAGCGCTTTGAATATTTAGGCTGATGGATGTCGTCCATTCGTTAACGTAGTCTGTGGACATAATCTTTTCCAGTTTGATTTTTTTTTGACCTTAATATTTATTTAAGAATATAAAAGAAATAATATAAAGAATATAAGATTATAAAAAAAATTATGAAAACAGGCACCGATTGGCCTAGATGCTGAGGCGCCTCTATCAATTAAAAACTTACTTGTTTACAACTACTTTTTATTAGAAGTATATACACAAAAATTATAAGACATTACATGTATATTTTTCTCTCTAGGTATTCATTAAAAACGTTCAGGCTAGGACGAAGAAGAGATTTGGACGAGGACGATTTAACCCAACCTCTGGATGAACACAAGTCTTCCCTTCTTGGCGATAAATTAGCGAGGAACTGGAGCAAAGAAGTGAAACACGCTACCAAACATAAGAAAAAGCCTAGCCTGTCCAAAGTCATCATTAAAACGTTTCGTTATGATATTATATTCTACGGAGTAATATTGTTTATTATGGAAGTCTTTGTGCGAATGTCACAACCCATATTTATAGGATTGTTTATACGATATTTTAATACCGAAAACAGATTAAGTAAAGAACCGTAAGTATTTATCTTTGAATGTTATTTGTCAGAGATTAGACTAAAAACTTATATCGTAAAGACGTTACTATAAAGAAATCGAAACATTTGTTTAAAACAAATATTTTTAAATCAACAAAGGCTAGGCTAGAACTAGAGGAACTATGCTCCCATCCTATCAAGGACCTGCATAAGCTAGTGTAGGGCACAGGGGTAGGAGAATAGGTGCAGATATAGAAGGGGGATAAACAAAATAGGCCTCACAGGTCGCAGTGTTTCCGGCAGAGGACGCCGGACGGCCCCTTGTTATGAAAAAAAAATAATCAAAGGCCAAAATGGCATTTCTAGCGAATTTTGAAGTATAATTAGTGGAAAAGTAAAAAGTTTGTTAACTTTTTCCACTAATTGAAAATTCCTACCACTAATTTTGACGTTTCGAATGCTTACATTCAAATTAGAGGAACAAACCTCTACTCTAATTGAAACCACTAATTTGTTCCACTAATTGCGAGGTTCTAAATGAAGCTTTATAGATAAAAATTAGCATAGCGGTATGCAAGACGCACGTTAGCGGTTATTTTCTATTTCCTTCCATTAGCGGTTAAAGGTTAGCAGTACGCTGGGGATAAAGGAAACTGACGACTTTACGAAGATGATATTCTGCATCTTAAGTGTGGCCGGGTTTACCTAGTATTTAATATTTAAAATAATTAAGCTAAATCTCTTTTAAGCAAAAAACTAAACTTAAATATTTTTGTAGACAATATCCTCCGACGTGGTTTATGAGGGTTTTCTACTATTTCTCCAAGGAACAAAGTCGTATATCCAAAGCGGAAGCCTACTTTTTTGGTTGCCTTATTATGCTGTGCAGCATCATAGTCGTTGGTACATTCCATCCGTACATAATGGCTGCCTTACACGTGGGAATGAGAGTACGAGTAGCCTGTTGTTCCTTAATATATCGAAAAGTTAACCAAATGACGTTTACCCATATCTGATTTTAAATAAAACTGTTTTTTTAGGTTTTGAGACTCAGACTGACTTCGCTAGGTGGAAAGACGGTGGGTAATGCAATCAACTTAATGTCAAATGATGTTATGCGCTTCGATATGGCACCGTTATTTTTGCATTATCTCTGGATAGCGCCATTACAAGGAACACTGATCTGTTATTTTATTTATCTTGAAATAGAAATAGCTTCTTTTTATGGGATGCTCTCTGTTATTGTCATAATGCCGTTGCAGAGTACGTAATAACAAGATGTATTTTGATACATCAAAACCTTAAAATGTTGATGTATGGTAATCGCAAAACAATTTCCGATGCACGTGATCAACTTTGAGTGACAAGCGATGGCGACAGTGCTGCCAGACTGTGATGGATTTATGAGATAAATCTTAATTTAAAATTAACAAACAACAAATTTATTATATCATTTTTTTTAAAGAGTTTTACGTTTTATTTTTAATTTAATAACTAATATTTTAGTGATTAATTGATTTATTTGTTTTATAGCTTGTTTTACTTATTACATATTGGCAAAAACTCTAGTCCATTATGAAGATTATTATAAGCGTCATTATGGGTTATTTATTTATTGATGTATATCTTACAACGCCATAAGTGGTATTAACAAGTAAGAGGGTGCTATTAATGCACAAACTAATAATCACAGAATTTAATAAAAACTAACTTTGAAGGTGGTATAATGTGCTTATCAATCAAACTTGCTTTTCTGACTGCAGTCAAGGGTAATAAAGGATCTTTATTGTCACGTTTTGGTTCAAAATAGTTAAAAAAAAACAGGGAAGCTACAAGCTCATTGCTTCGACAATTTAATTGCTTTGGCATATTTTCAACACAATTTCAAGAAATGCAATACAAAAACTCGAAAATTTAGTTCTTAAAAGAACTATTTCTGCTTAAAAGTGCATTTTTAAAAAAAAAGTATATGAAAATTAAAAAAAAAACGAGAATTACTCACAAAGATTCAACAACAACACGATATTATACAAAATAATGACTGAAACCAGGATAATTGTCAAATAATAAGTGTCAATGTCGATATGATTGATGACGTGCATCGGAAAATATTTTGCGATTACAATAAATATTTTAAAATTTAATAGATTTTGTTCCAGTGGGCCGATTTTAATATTTTTTTACACATAATGTAGCTAAATTATTTGACATTTTAGTATCTCTTTCTAAATTAAAATTGAAAGTTCCCATCTGTCGAATTGAAGGGACCAATGCAAAAAGTGCCTAAGTCATATTTTACAGTTTTCGAGAAAAACGCTTTTGAAGTTTTTTTTTCTTTTTGGAAATATTACCTTTGCTAATATTAAGTTGATTTTTTCACACATAATATTTTATTACTATTACACTGAGTGGCTCTAAATGAAATTAAAATTGTATCCTATGTTATAGGGCTTGTTTCTCTCTACAATTTTCTGTCTCACAATGTACCGTTTGTGTCCAGGAAGAGTTCATAGTTTCATAGTTGTCGATTTTCGAAAGAAATCAGTACATGCATATTATTTCGTATATTTTTCATTTTATTGATTTTATGGAAAGCACCGTTCATTAAAATGTTGCATCCTATGTTATAAGCCTTGTTTCTCTCTACAATTTTCTGTCTCACAATGTACCGTTTGTGTCCAGGAAGAGTTGATAGTTTCATAGTTGTCGATTTTCGAAAGAAATCAGTGCATATTATTTCGTATATTTTTCATTTTATTGATTTTATGGAAAGCACTGTTCATTAAAATGTTGTATCCTATGTTATAGAGCTTGTTTCTCTCTACCTCTTAATCTATGTATCAGGGCCTATTTTACCATAAGGCCCATAAGGCCCATAAGGCCCGGGCCTTTGGGTCCGGTGGTCTGGAGGGCCCGTTAAAGGTTGTAAAATATTCATAATTTTTGAATTTTATCGGAAAAGAGGGCCAGCATTTTTGCTTGGGCCTTAGGTCCCGACCAAATGAAAAATAGGCCCTGTAGTTAATGACTTTTGCAATCGATTCTCCGATTCAAAACATAGTTACTGATTGAATTTGGTTGTTAGGAAAAATGTTAGTTAGTGACTTTTGGCAGCAATAGGACGATATAAAGAAATATAAGAATTTTATTTTTTAACCACTTAATCCATTTTATGGGAGAAAAATGGTACATTTAATACAAAACAAAAATGGAACAATTTTAAGGCTACTTCTCTTGAACTTACGATCGAGATACTTTTGGAAAATACAAAGTTTTGCCTTCCTAATTTTCGTTCTAAAAAGATATAATTGGTATCATTGAATAAATATTTCTTAAAAGAACGAAAAGTTAGGCATCAAAACTTGTATTATTTCTTAAATTCGTTCATAAGAAGTAGTTTTATCCAGCATAAAATGTATATTATACGAAGCAAAATACATACGTATACACGCGATAGTCACAACTGCAATGTGTAAACATAGTTTAAACGTAATACACAAGCACTGTGTATCCTACGGCACACTGTATATCCCTTACTTTGTGTATACGTAAATGCTATACTGTGGCTACATTGTGAGGCGGACGTTTAACCTTTGTGCATACGTGTTGAACTACAATGTGTAAACGTAGCATATTTACATCGAGGGAATTGTGTCACCCTGTGTCTACATCTTACATCTAATAATGTAAACACATCGTAAATGTGATTTGATGTGCTGTATGGGTCGCTTTTGAAGAAAACACTAACATTTTTTTCGTAATTTTTACATTGAAACTCTGCCTTTGCTTTTGGTCCTAGTCGACAGACCTAGTAAGTTGTGGTCTCCAAGCAGGTTTTCTTGACATAACATTTGCTTCGATTAATCTTCTTACAAACATACAATAAGTCGATTGTCTCGATTCGAAGTTCTCATACGAATGTTCCTGGACGTTTAGCATAATATGAACTTGTCTCGTGGAAGCGACTGCAATGTACTTTGTGCACACCTAAATCTGTTAGCGACATCATTTTGATCATCTTCAATTAAAACAATTAATATAAATTCTGGCCTTAAAACCATCTCTGCTAGAGGAACTGTCCAACAGACAATAATTATATGATTTTTCAATATCAGTGACATTACGTAAATCATAAACACTATTTTATAGGTCTGTTGACTGGGACCAAAAGCAAAGGCATGGTTTTAATATAAAAATTACGAAAAAATGTTAGTGTCTTCTTCAAAAGCGGATATCTCCAAAAAAATATAGCTATTGAGATGAATAAAAAAATATCGAGAAAATATGCACCTAGATGACAAAATGATTTTCAAATTCCTTGTTTTTTAGCATAGGTATTCCACGTGATGTTCCAAACTTTCACCAAGATAACAACATTTTGCGTTCCCTCGTATAATTGACAGAGATGAAAATTTTCCTTTTTAATTTAAAAAGAGATGCTAAATGTCAAATAATTTATCTACAAATTGCTTAAAAGAATATTAAAATGGGTTCACTAGATCACAATATATAAAACTTTTTAAATTACATCAAAATTTTAAGTTGTCCGTTTTTCGTGCTGGTGAGTGCTTCTCTTAATTTCACTTGTTCTTTCCTTCTTTGTATCACAGAAAGTCACACCACTACTCCAAAGTCACTCCACTTTGCATCACAGAAAGAAGAATATGTAATTTTCGTCATTTTTGGGATCGTCTGCTGAAATATTGTTGACTTTTTTTAATAAAAATTGACATAACACTTGTTAAAAATTAAGAATAATTTTAGAAGGATTAAGAAAAGATAGAATGTTTCTAGACACACAAATCTATTTCAAAATAAAAATATTTTTTCTTGAATTCTAAACCACACTATTTAAAAATCATTAAAATAGAAAACAAATTTCTCGCAGTATGGTACGTAGTTTCTTGCAGTGGTGGCACGAAAGTACTGCCATTGCACGCAGGCCGCTATCTCCCGTTCGGGACTCTATATCTAACCGACACTTTCCGACAAGTCAGAATTAACTATCTCTGCGCTGTGGTTGTCATTTTGTGGATCTGTCCAAGCTCAGCTGATGATGGAGTAGGGCTCCGAAACCGGTAGTGAGAGCAGGTTGATCCACATTATGACAAACACAGCGTAGAATTAAATTTCTATATCAGCAGTTAAGTGGCAAGAATCCTTATATAATTTAAAAATCATTTATACTCAATATAAAAAAATCTATTTCCAAATAAAAATATTTTTTCTTGAATTCTAAACCACGCTATTTAAAAATCATTTATACTCAATATAAAAATAAATAACAACCTTCATTAGGCGAACTGGCTGTAAGCTCCATTAAAATAAAGAAGTGTAAAGGCCAAATAATGACTCTAGGGCTTGACATTGTCAGAATTATCATCGATTGTCATTCCGCAGCCGTCTCTGACGCCGTTTTTTTCAATCGTATCTTTCAATACCTTCCCTTTCGAATGCCGGCGTATTACATTTTCTGTGACAATAATTTGTATATCCATTTTAGTTATATTAAGTTTTTGCACATCGGTTTTACGCAATAAAGGAGCAATACGAACCGATGAGAGAGTTCGTCAAATGAACGAAATCATCCAGGCAATGCAGGTGATCAAGATGTACGCGTGGGAAAATGCTTTTGCCAGTTTAATAAGCAATTTAAGGAAGTAAAGTATATTTATGTTTATATTTACTCTATTTTAATTTATAATACAACATTTATATAACCCAAAAAAAATTCTTAAAAATACATTGAGTATAACGTCCAGTTTTTAGCAAAATCACAAAATAAAACACTAATTCACCACAACATACACTAAAATACCATATTTTTAACACGGGACGTGCTTTTCGCTTAGCATGTTCTCATCAACAGTAGATAATCGAAACTATAGTCTATTTCTTAATGGTTGATAGCATAGCGAGAAAGGCTGGGGCCATAAAACATCATAAACCTTTTTTATTTAATAAAATAAATTGTTTTGCCCTTGAATGAACTGGAGCAGTCCCAAAATAGATTGCAGCAAAAAAGATGTTCGCTGTGTTTTACGTTGTCTGATCGTTCTGTAGTTATTCTGTGGTATAATAGCTACCTGATCACTTATGGTTAATACCGCTAGTTTATAGCTGTAAAAATACATTCATATGTTGTCCTGTCAAAAATTACGTGCATTCAGTATCTCTGAACTGTTTCTCAAATTATGTCATTATTATGGACAACGCCAGTTATCATTCGAGATTAGTAGAAAAATTGCCAACCACTTCTTGGAGGAGGAGAGGACATTATAGGTTGGTTGTCTCAAAAGGATATTTCATTCGAAAACGGAATGTTGAAAAAGGAGCTAGTACAAATAGTTAGGCAAAGCAAATCAGTTTAAAAAACATGTTCCTTACGAAATGGCTAAAGCGCATGGAAAAAAATGTGCTTCGGTTGCCACCCTACAATTGTGAATTAAATGCCACCGAACTTATATGGGCACAAATGAAAGTATATGTAGCTGGGAATAACACAATAACAACGGAGAAATTTTTGGTCAAATTTAATGTGTTATATTTTTGTTATTTTTAGCCCTATTTTTATGATTTTTTTAGCAAGCTGTATATAATTCCATCAACTTTAATTCGTAAACTCAGTTTTTTATAAACTTTAGTATTTCTCATATTATACAGGGTTAATCGAGGGGTTGTTTTTTACATTTTGTGTGTAAATTTTCCTAAAATATAATTTTGCAGTCAGAACCTGAGCATTTTGTTGGTCTCCAGAGCATTTTGTTTTTTGGATCATGTCAGTACATGCCTTAGTTATTTTTTAAGGGTGAAATGAACTCGCCATCAATAATTTGCATTTTTTTCAATTATCATTTGTTTTTGAAGTTGTTTTTCTGTATAACATGGTGCTAGGCGGCTTTGGAGATGATTGTTAACTATAAACCCTTATGAACTGTTCATCATGTTCGACGTTTGGGAAATGCTTGGCAGGAGGGTTAGAGGTCGCGAAGCGCTACCAGCTTCAATAAATGAACTTCGCTTGGTCCTTAAAGAAAAATGAAAAAGCATATTGCAATATGATATATGCAGCCTCAATGACAGTATGAACGAACGTATACAGGCAGTTATAACAGCCAAGGGAGGCAATACAAAGTATTAGGTTATTTTTTACATTTTTTTTTTCTGTTTGTATACTTGATTATTACAGATGTTTTCTTTAATATCGTTAGTTCTGTTATCGTTATTAGTGTTTATTACAACCAGGACTGTATCTTTAGTATTCAACGTTTATTTTTACGTCACCAAAACCATGTAGTCATATTAAAAAAATACATCAAAAAGCAATGATAAATGAAAAAATTCCAAATTGATAGTTCATTTCGCTCTTAAAAATTAACCAAAGCATGTATTGACATAAATCAAAAAACAAAATGCTCAGGAGTTATGGTACTGACCGTAAAATTATATTTTAGGAAAATTTACACACGAAATTATTGCACAGGGTGTTTTAAAGTTACAGTAAAAAAAAACAACCTCGCTCGATTAACCCTGTGTAATATGCCAAATATTAAAGTTTATAAAAAACTTAGTTTACGATTTAAAGTTGATATAATTATGTACAGCTTTCTAAAAAAATCATGAAAATAGGGCTAAAAATAACAGAAATATAACACTTTAAAATTGATCAAAAATTTCTCCGTTGCCTTTTTTGCATCTGAGTGTATATCGTTAACATAAATCTCTGCCAAAAATTGGACAATGCCGTAAAACACGTCATAAAAAAGGAGCAAAAATGTGGGATCTTGACAATCTCTTGGAGGAGACAGTAGAATATCTGCTAATTTCAGTTGGAAATTCTGACGGCTCTGATTTCAGTGAGGATGATTTATAATTACATATTATGTATTTTAATTATTGTAAATACCTAACATTAATTTTGAAATGTTTTTCTAAACGCGTGACATTATTTTTTGCAGTTATGTTATATAGGGTTTGTAACCTGTTACATTCATAGAACATATAATAAAATTGAATGAGCGACTTTCATCGGCTTTGTTTGCAATTCGGAAAATTCGCTTTACGGCAGGGCAACATGCGGTACTAATAACATATCATGCTCTTTTCCACTCCCTGATGTCGTATGGCATACTATCTTGGGGGGGGGGCGGGGACGCAGCTGGCACTTACCTTAACAGTGTATTTGTTAAGCATTGCATTTGATAGCTGTAAGCCCCTTTTCCGATCTTTGCGCATAATTACTCTGTATGGCCAGATAATCCTTGCCAAATTATGTTATATCAAAAAAAATCTCGATAAATACAAATCTCACACAACTGTACACGATCACGATACACGATTTAAAAATAATCTTGTGAAACCTGCCTCAAGATTACAGAAAACAAGCTGTATTGGTGTGGATTCTTATAATATACTACCACTAAATTTCCGAAAATCAAGCTTGAGTGTCTTTAAATGGCATCTTAAGAGATATAAAGTGCACTTGGTACCCTACTCCATTGATGATTTTAAGGAGGTTTTGAGAGAGAGCAGAGACCTGCAGATCTTATTTTAATCGGTCATGTCATTTTACGTATTTTACATTGTATTTCTTATTGTGATTTTTTTATTTATAAGTGCATTTTTTATTTTTATTGATTGATTTTTGACTTGATATGAAATGTATATTTCTTATGATTAATAAAGATTATTATTATTATTATTCATTTAACAATAAAAACTTTAGATTTCTTCACTAGTATGTACGACAATTGAGTGTACTCGTATAATCCAATGAAAATGCCAATAACGGATACCTAAATAAATAAAAAAATATGTGTAACATATAATTTTACATTGTGTAACAAAATATATTTTAACAAAACTTAAAAAAAAATCTCAAAACCCTAAAATCCTACACTGATGCGGTCAGTTCCCGAAAATATCTTTATTACCTATTGTTATACGAGCAACCCCTATTATTCTCCGAAAACGTACCGGATGTGTCCATCTACAAACGTGTTAAAGCGGTCTGAATCCTATTGGAACATATAACCTTAAAATAAAATTGGTCCAATCTTTTGGCATGTCACACTGTACACAACAAAACGCCTTTTGCATTTATAATGAAGGTCTTGTGCTATCAATCAATAAGAAAAAGAGGCTAAAAGCTATTTACAAATTGCCTACTGAGAGGCTAATTGCCTCTAATTTGAGACTAACGAAGAACGTCACGAACCCTATATAAAACCATATATTCTCTCAAGAGAGAGACTATATGTTTTTGACAGTCGAAAGACAAAAATGTATACTTTTGAATTTTTGAGTTAATTGACAGACAACAATTGTCAGTGTCATATTATATTCTTTCATTCGACACAAAATCGATATTTTTAAAATATTATTTTAGGAGAGAGTTGAAAATATTGCTTCTGACGTCTTACGTAAGAGGAATAACTATGTCGTTTATCATGTTTACATCAAGAACGGGTGTGTTCTTATCCATAATGACTTACGTACTTTTAGACAACCATATAACTGCCGAAAAAGTATTTTTAATTGGTTCGTATTATCAAATCGTAAGACAGACTCTGACAGTATTCTTTCCTCAAGGATTAAACGCGGTAATCATTTGTAAGGTCGATATTGACTTGAGCCGAGCGCCTGTAATGTAATACACCCTCTACACTTATGCAGAAAACAGCCCGAAGCAGGTCAATATCGTGTTTCCTAGTCTAAATTTATCTCGTCTCGGCTTGTCTCGGCTTATTCTCGGTTGTCTAGACTTATTTCTGCTTGTCGACGTACTTCCATTTCTTAAAAACACCTCAAAATTACTTTTGGATTTTTTGGTCTCCTGTTGTCTCGTTCAATTTCGTTTTGTCACGAGCTACTTCCACGACGTGTCGGTTTCTACATCCGAGACAAATCTCAGTGAACAAAGTAAACCTAGACTAACCAAACCTAGACGTTTTTAAAATATCTGTTGTTACGATGATATTTCTTTTAACACGCGTTTATAATATGTATAGTAGATATTTAAAAAACAAAACTTTTTACTTAATCTGCAGGAATATTATTAAAATATTTTTATTATTTAATTTTATTATAATTAATTAGTATATGGAATTGTATATTATGTTATGATTGTTTACGGCCTTAATTGATTAATATAACTGCTTGATGAGCAATAATGGTAACCAAAATATATTGAGCTGGTTGAGAAAATTATTTAGCCGGAGAGCTGGCGACATATTTAGAGAACATATTTTAGGCAAGTTAGAATAACAAAAAAAACTTTAATAACTTGTGAACCCAGAATCCTAAGTCTGGTCAATTCAATTAGCTTAAGAGCTGACGACATATTTAGAGAACATATTTTAGGCAAGCTAGAATAACTAAAAATGTATAGTTTATTAACTGGTGAACCCAGAATCCTAAGTCTGGCTGGGGGGTTGGGGGTATTTCGCTAGTGCGCAACCCATAACATTTGCAAAAAAATAAATCCAAAAAACATTCTTTAGGCAACTTTAAATTTGTTTATTCTTAAATTTTAGCATCTATTTAATCTGGAAATAAGAATGCCAGACTTTTTTTTCGGGTTTAAAGTGTAACCCTACCATTCCAAATATGTTTAATTATTATACCTGGAAAACATACTTTAGGCATTCTAAAATTTTTACAGCGTGTTTATTAGATGATATTAAAAAATATGTGTTAATTGCCAAACCAATTCAATGGGATTTAATACTTGCCAGACGCGAATAAAGATTTTAAATGAGCGCGATAAGAAAGTCTTATGAGTATCTATAAGCACGAGAAAGATAGTTTATTGAGAGATTGATTTATAATAATTAAACATATTTGGAACGCTCAGGATACACTTTAAACCCGAAAAAAAGTCTGGCATACTTATTTCTAGGTTAAATAGATGCCAAAATTTAAGAATAAACAAATTTAAAGTTGCCTAAAGAATGTTTTTTGGATTTATTTTTTTGCAAATGTTATGGGTTGCGCAGTAGCGAAATACCCCCAACCCCCCAGCCAGACTTAGGATTCTGGGTTCACCAGTTAATAAACTATACATTTTTAGTTATTCTAGCTTGCCTAAAATATGTTCTCTAAATATGTCGTCAGCTCTTAAGCTAATTGAATTGACCCGATTTCAACAAAAGTCGCACCGGTCGGTTTATTAGCGCATCGTTGTTGTTCATGAGCCGCTAGGTTCGCCAATTATTTCCCGATATTGGCTAGCGAATGCTCGTGTTATAAAGCGTTACATTACAAAGCTCGGCTCGAGTCAATCTCCGTCTGTATATTGTTAAGTAAAAAGATAACGACAAGCACAACTTAATGTTCTAGATTGCAGAAACTGTAGTTTCCATAAAACGGATTCAGGACTTTTTATTGACAGATGAATCTCTAGCTGGAGATCGAGCAATAATGGATCCTGAAATGACTGAATTAGTTAGTAAATCTCGTGTTATCTCTACTCGAGATTTAGGTGCAACCAGTTCAAGGAAATTCGATTTACGCGATATGGATGACTTTAAATCTAGTGAAGAGTTTTACCTTGTAAAGATATTTAGAGCAATCGCAAAATATGGTAATTGTCTATAATTGATTTTTGAACCAATAATGTTTTAATATACACTAGCTAACGAGAAGAATAATTTCTCAAATAACATGTACACAAAAAACAAACTAATCACATTGAATAAAAAAATAAGGAAGTCAAATATTATTTTTTAATAATTACTATTAACGCGTTTTGACTATACGGTTCATGTATTTTTTAGCTTTAGCAATTTTAAGATGTGTATATGTTGAGTAATGTCTTTGTTCATTATGTATATACAGGGTGGTCCGAACTGTATTCCGGAAACTTCGGCAGCATGTTTTCCAGATAAAAATAAGTAAAAAAGTTCGTATAAATATATGTCTTAAAATGATTAGTTTTGGAGATACAGGGTGTACAAATTTCATTTTACGTAATTCCGTAATTTCATCCAAATATTGACGTAACGTCAATATTTGGATGAAAATTGGTATCTAGGAGTTTTTTGCCACGAGAAATTTGATTTTGATGTCAACATGACTGCTATTTGTAGAGGGCGCCACCTACATGTGTTCTATTTGTTTTGAAAAGTAATAACTTTTCGTCCGTACCTGTATAAAGCTACTGAATAAATAAACAATCTCGTAATTTTTTACGTAAAAAATGTCTCTAGGTAAAAATCGCTACGAGTAACCGTTCTTAAGATATTTAGAATAGAAATAGTCAATACATGACATTATTGACTAAATATAAACTTGTTGATTAGATAGTTATTTGATCGAAATGATGAATTTGGGAACTTTTTATTTTTTTAAATTAATCATAAACTTTTCTTCAACAATCAACAAGGAGGTGCAGTTTGAACATCTTTGATGGTTTTTTTAGAAAACTAGATTCGTCACTCAAAACATACGTTTTTTATTTTTGTTCATTGTTTATTGTATCGATTTCAATTGTAATTACTAATGCTAATATAGAATGTTCAAAAGTCTTTAATTATGCAGATAAATAATAATATAGAATACAAATTGTGATAAAAATATTTAGGCAAATAGGTCAACACAAAATCAAAGCCCGCTTCGATATAAAGATAAAAAAACTAATATTTCTCTCATTCTTAGAAATAGATACTCATAACTTTATATCGTTGGAAAGGGTTAAACGCCACCATTTTTTTAAGTTCATAGCCAACTATGATTGCCATTTAAAAAATTATGTTTTTTATTATTTCTCACAAAAAGAGTAAACATAGAAAAAAACTAACTACGCCACTTGATTGTGCTTAAAAAAGTGTATTGAGAACGTTTTTACAGAATTTTATTATTCCGCGATATAAAAAAGTTATGGATAATTTTCAAAATGGTAAAAAATTCAAAAACCCCGTATCTCAGTTGGCAGTATCAACAAGCAGTTTACGCCATTAAACATGTCTCAGAAATCGAGCCCATGATATCTATGTCGGTTTTGCTCTATCTAGTCAGGAAATAGGGTTTCTCTGTTAAAACAGACCAATTTCGACCACCCTGTACAACATTTTTATTACTAGAACATTTTAACATTTTGAATGAAAATATAAAATTAGAGTTTATAAATTTATGTTTTTAGACACAATGTACGGTTTACGTTATGGTATGTATACATTGACGCGCGGCGCGGCGCCGCGAACGCGATGATACTGTTATGTTAAATCCAATTAGCAAAAAGATAAACTACAAATTAAAAAAAACTACTTTAGTGTAAAAATATATTTGAGTCACCCTGTAAAATGTTTCTAACATTACTTAATATGTAGCTTTTTCGAAACATTGACCCACTTTGTATATAAAAATAATAGATACGCTAAGAACACTAATACTAAATATGCTAAGCTGCTAAAAATAATACGATGTACTTAAACAGCCGTTAAACGGTAGCCTACTAAAATGCCGTTAATAGATATTATGACGTCGTTCATGTCGGCGGAAAGTAATGCCTACCTATAAGCATTTTGCAAGAGCACGTGTGGCTCCGTGGCTGAGGCTATCGCTTCGTGAGCGCATGGTCCGTGGTTCAAATCTCATGCCGACCAAGACTTTTTAAATTTTTTTTGCTTATAACGTGATCTTATTGCATTGGTTTCGCTCTTTTTGATTGGATTAGTTTAGTTATTTGGCGGGTTGGTTAGCGTGGTTATTTGTAGGGTGTTAATTCATTGGTTAGTTGGTTATTTGGTGGGGTTGGTTGGTTTTTACTAATTTATATTTATTTTTTATATTTTTTTATCAGTGTCGAGGTTAGTTGCGTTGGTTAAGTTGGTTATTTGGTGGGGTGGATAGCGTTAGTTCTTATAAAATTCCTATATTTCATAAAGCCCGTTAAGTGCGTCACATCAACGACGTCATACCTATTAACGGCATTTTAGTAAGCTACCGTTTAACGGCAGTTTAAGTACAGCCAAAATAATAATATAAAAAAAATTAACTTTTTGTTATCTTCAGTTTTTCATTATTTGAAAGCTGAAAATTTTACAAAATAGCAGTTATATGGCAAGAAATATTTTTATTTAAATAATAATATATTTTTATAATTATTTAGGGGAGAATATGTGTCTGGATAATATAAATATCCAAATTAAGGCTGGCGAATTAGTTGCTGTAGTTGGGCCGGTTGGAGCAGGTAAAAGTTGTCTCCTTAACTTGATTTTGGGAGAATTGCGATTGTTCAGTGGAAAACTGTCTGTTTTGGGTGATGTTTCATATGCTTCGCAGGAGCCATGGCTTTTTATAGGTGAATTATATAAGGTTTTTTTAAGAAATGATAATTTTTTTGAATACATTATTTACAATTCTTTATATCATATTTAATGAAATTCTACATAACGGCAAATGTTTTCTGTTAAAAGGGTATGAAAATAAATTTATAATTTAAATAGGGCTCGTCAATAAGCGCTCGTGTACGCACACAGAATTAATCTGAGGACTGTTTTACTTATATTTATTTCTATATGATTTATTCCATACGTGCCAATCATTTTTTTAAAGTCTACTTTAAATATTTTTTGGGTTAAACAAACTAAGAAACAATAAAAAATCAAACCACTTAATGAAAATTATACTCATATCTTAGGAATGGGTTATGTAGTCTTTATGATTCTAGTGTAACGAAATGAAGCAATTCTTATAATAAATTAAAATTACTTTATTAAAAGATAACATGAGTATTGTACAGGGTTGTTCACCACATACGACACGAAGTATTATAGCTAAACGATTAGATTTTTACAAATTGTAAGTTTTGGGTTCGTTAAAGAACTATTAGAGGTACAATTTAAAAATAATTTATACAGAGTGTCCAAAAATTTATATTAAATAATTACTACCTTTAAACGGCAATAACTTGTTTAATTTAAATAGAACACCCTATATATTTTACGTAAATGAGACGCACAATGTAATTGTCTATCAAATTGTATTATAGTCTGTCCAACGAGAAGATCCTTGACAGTGATAGATGTGTCTGTCATTTTAATTTCAAAGTAGTTTATTTTATTTTAAAAAGAAATAAGTTGGTACAACTGGAACGCATTGCAGGATATATTTAAAATTTGATTGACAAGATGACAAGTGATTACTTCAAAATATTGTGAAAAAAACTGTATAAAACTGAAAAAATGTAATCGAGTTATTTTATTTAATAAAAACGGTATGTGTTAATACAAAACAAACAAGAACAAGACACTACATACCAAAAAAAATATAAAAAAGAACTATTATTTACTTTCAAGCTTTATGAAACTACCCGCATTTATGATTATATTTATCAATATAACTTATGTACAAATACAAATTTGTAATATTCCACAGGAATAAATAAAACAACATAGGTAAATAAAACAAACTATTTTATTAATAATAACACCTACCAAATTTTATACCTTAAAGGTTGATTAATTAACTTTAATCTTAATTTTTTTAAACCAGTACCTTTTGACATTATTTTTCTGCAGTACTAAAATCCATTATTTACCTATCGTGTGATATCGATATTTTACAGCTACTCCAGTTTTTAGTATGTGTTTAGTTTGATCCTTCTACCATATACAAGATGCACTTATCTACGACGAAATGGTATACAAACTTTATCGATAGCAACTTCATTGGTGTATAAGACTTTCTGCCCTGGCAGCGAGTATTAACCATAAACTGTGCTCTGGGTCTACAGTTAATTTTCACTCGATTTTTCCTCCACTTGACTTCAAAAGACACAAAACACACGTAATAATACGAATCAAAATGCATCATATTCCAAAACGCAGGGTATTTAACAAAAGTTGACACAAAATTATAACCTAGAATTTGGCAAGACTTTGACAAGCGTCAAAAATGACAAAAATCTAAAGGCGAGTTCATACGCATCGGCGTCCGTTTGTCGTTCATCGTTCCGTCAAACCAATAAAATTGAAATCGATCTGTCATTTTTAAATAAACCAATAAAACTGGTTAAAAACAACAAGACACGACATATGACGGATTTATATTTAAACCCATCCATAGATAACTTAAAAATTATTAGAGACTTTTTTTAGTAAAATAAATAGATTGGTATGGGACGTCATCTGCTTTTCTTCTGTCATCGTCTGTCGAAATCTTACCTGAGAAAAAAAACAGAGTATATACCATTTTTTACCTATCTCCTCAAGATTTTGTAGAAAATGCATTTTCTTATAATTTAGACATCATTTATCACTATAACTATAGAATATTAACATTTTAGATTATTTTTAAAGATGTAACAAATCTTCAAAAAATACAGATACTAATGTTGTCGATATAGTTCGCTTATTTCAATAAAAGATAAAAAATTGTTTAAATATTTTTTGTTAAAGAGGACCAACTAATATGATCCCAATATTCAAACTACATTAATTGACCATTTACGTTGATTAATAATAATTGTTCCAAATACTAAAAAACTGAATTTTGTATGTGTATTAGATAGTGTGGTAAAAATAACCCCTTATAAATTTTATTTAATTTTTTGACAAATGCTTATTTATAACAACAGAGACGTCCATTTTCATAACTTATTATTGTATTGATTTCGAATAATAATATTTTTGAATAATTTATTAATTAAAACAATTAAGTATGTAATTAACTAATTGTCTTAAAAAAATCTAAAATGTCAATATTCCATGGGTATAGTGATAAATGAAGTCTAGATTATAAGAAAATGCATTTTCTACGAAAACTTGAAGAGATAGATAAAAAAATGTATAACACAATTTGATAGACAATTAAATTTTGCATCTGATTCACGTAAAATATACAGGATGTTCTATTTAAATTAAACAAGTTATTGCCGTTTAAAACTATTAAATATTTAATATATATTTTTAGACACTCTGTATAAGCTAGTATAATTTTTATTATTGCAACACAATATCTGATCAATAAATAATCTTCAGTAAATATTTAGTATTAAAACCTCTAATACCCTTGGAGAAATGAAGCTTTAAATTTTTTACTGCAATTTCACAAAATTGAAAATATTTCAAAAACGGTAAAGTTTAAGTGTGATTTAAACCTTAATCAAATTTACCATTATTTCAACCGTAGAATCTAAAAATAGAATAATATACAGGGTGTTCTATTTAAAAAAATACAACTTTAATATTTTTTATTTATTTGGGACACTCTGTATCTTGTAAAATTATTTTTAAATTGTATCTCTAATAGTTCTTCAACGAACCCAAAACTTACAATTTGTAAAAATCTAATCGTTTAGCTACAATACTCCGTCTTGTATGAGGTGAACAACCCTGTATATTGACTAGTTTGCATCTACAATTTATATATAAATTAGAAATTAGATATAGTTAAAGTTTTAAAATAATTTTTAAATGGGATACTATAAAAGTTCTTGTACTTTATTAATTTTAGTAAAATTACTTTATTTATAAAGATAACATGTGTGTCATATATTGACTAGTTATGTATAATATAATATTTTTTACTACCACAAGTTACTACCACAAGTTTATTATTACCAATATTTTACCAAATTACTAATGCAATTCTAACTCGTAGGAAGCGTACGTCAAAACATTTTGTTTGGAAGGGAGTACGATTCAGCAAGATATCAGCAAGTAATAAAAGTATGTGCGCTGCGCCGAGATTTTTCTCTTTTGCCGTACGCTGACCGAACAGTAGTTGGAGAAAGGGGCATATCACTAAGTGGGGGACAAAGAGCTAGAATTAACTTAGCTAGAGCAGTATATAAACCCGCTGAAATATATTTGCTGGATGATCCTCTTTCGGCTGTAGATATACAGGTATTTTATTCGATGTCTATTACATGCCATCGCATATAATGTTTAGTGTTTACATTATAGCAGATGATTAAAACTGAATTTTTAAAAGTAAACCGTTTTGGTATATTGTGGTGAATGTAAGGTTTTATTTTGCGGTTGTCACACGAAAGGTTCTAATTTGGGTCTCCAAACCCGATAAGAAATCAAAGATATTAAATCCCGGGATCCTAAAGTCTCTAAATGCCCAAACTAAAATGATTCGACTGTATACACTTTAGTCTTTAAAACATCATATTTTATTTATACTAAGCGGAACGTCAATATCTAAAAGTTATATTCCCTTGTTTGCTATATTTTATTTTATTTCTCCAACAAGAATAATTTATTTTTTTACTCACTAAATATGAACGCTGAGGCGACAAAAGCCATATCCAAACTACTTCCATTTAAATCCCGAATAACTTATGAAAAGGAATACAAACATTTTCAAAAATGGAAGCAATTAAAAAAAGTGCGTGAAGAAATAAAGTTTTTAACCTATCCTCGCTGTTAAAGTATCATTTAATCTACCTTTGCGGTTAAAGTACTATTTTATTTACTATTTTTGATAGATATAAGGCAATTTTAACAGTTGCTATGGAAAAAAAAGATTTTTAAATGGATGGTGTGGTTTAAAATTCGAGAAAAAAGACGAAGAAATTTAGAAATAAATTTGTGTATCTCAAATCTATCCTGTTGTAATCTTGTTACCATAATTAGTATTGATTTATGAAGTTTTATGTCAGTTTTTAGCAAATGACGTCTAGAGATTGTCCTCGCCAAAATTATCCATCGCCGTTTTTTTCGATCATACGGTATAGTCTCTTATAATCTTTAGGTTGGCCAGCAGCTTTTTGAAGATTGCATGGTTAAGTATTTATCCGATAAAGTGGTCATTCTCGTAACACATCAGCTTCAGTATTTAAAAAGAGCCGACAAAATTATCATAATCAATGACGGAAGTATACAAATACAAGGAACTTACGAGGATATTAGAAAAAGCGGCGTGGGCTTTGCCACTTTGTTGGAAGAAGCTACAGCTATAGCTGGTGGTGGTGGACCACCTGGATTAGTAGAAGATAAAGAAGTAGATAGAGTGATCAGAGCAATTTCTATTACCAGTGCAGCTTTTAATAGCGTGATTGATATAGAGGGTTTAAAAGTATGCATGCATTATTATGCACGTCTAATATAATTATTCTTAAATTATGATTTTGGACTTGCATTGACTTTATTACATTTTGTAGCCATGTTTCGAACAGGTGAATATCATTATCGTTATCCAGATTTAATTGACATTATATTCTTCAGCTGTTGCATTAATTACTAAGGCGTGGCTACTGGACCTTAGCTTTGTTATTGGTGATCGTTGAACATGCTACTTTAAGGTTGATTCTCACTATACCTTCCATTTCCATTCCATATCCATTCCATATCCATTCCATATCCATTCCATATCCATTCCATATCCATTCCATATCCATTCCATATCCATTCCATATCCATTCCATATCCATTCCATATCCATTCCATATCCATTCCATATCCATTCCATATCCATTCCATATCCATTCCATATCCATTCCATATCCATTCCATATCCATTCCATATCCATTCCATATCCATTCCATATCCATTCCATATCCATTCCATATCCATTCCATATCCATTCCATATCCATTCCATATCCATTCCATATCCATTCCATATCCATTCCATATCCATTCCATATCCATTCCATATCCATTCCATATCCATTCCATATCCATTCCATATCCATTCCCATATCCATTCCATATCCATTCCATATCCATTCCATATCCATTCCATATCCATTCCATATCCATTCCATATCCATTCCATATCCATTCCATATCCATTCCATATCCATTCCATATCCATTCCATATCCATTCCATATCCATTCCATATCCATTCCATATCCATTCCATATCCATTCCATATCCATTCCATATCCATTCCATATCTATTCCATATCATTTTATATCCATTCCATATCCATTCCATATCCATTCCATATCCATTCCATATCCATTCCATATCCATTCCATATCCATTCCATATCCATTCCATATCCATTCCATATCCATTCCATATCCATTCCATATCCATTCCATATCCATTCCATATCCATTCCATATCCATTCCATATCCATTCCATATCCATTCCATATCCATTCCATATCCATTCCATATCCATTCCATATCCATTCCATATCCATTCCATATCCATTCCATATCCATTCCATATCCATTCCATATCCATTCCATATCCATTCCATATCCATTTCCATATCCATTCCATATCCATTCCATATCCATTCCATATCCATTCCATATCCATTCCATATCCATTCCATATCCATTCCATATCCATTCCATATCCATTCCATATCCATTCTATATCCATTCCATATCCATTCCATATCCATTCCATATCCATTCCATATCCATTCCATATCCATTCCGGATTTTTGATTGTATTCACGCTATACGTAATTCCGTTCCGTGTATCAGTTCCATACTTTTTATTGTACAATTTATATCATTACGAAAGTTTTATTTTAAAAATTTGTATCTTTTGAAAAAGGTAATAGATTTAATTAAGGGGTAAAAAAGGTTAGATTAGATTTGTCAAAAAAGTGTAGAAACGTCCGTTATCGTACGATCTTTCTCCGTTGACGGGCTGGAGTAAAAAAATTACGGATGAAGTGGCGCGAAAATGCTATGGCCAATCAGAGCGCCGCCGTCATAGTATTAACTGATAACGGATGCATGAAAATCAAGCTTAACGTGCTATGGCCCTGAATCACCCTGTTTACCGATAATTTTCACCGAAAATGTAATAAAGACCATGCAAGACTAAATTTAAAGTTTTACTCAAGATCATAAGTAATTTTTTGTCTTTCACGTTCAACTATGTGATTATTCTTGAAATAAAATATATTTTAGTTGGGACCTAAAGTAGCAGCTGAAATGCGAACTCTTGGAACAGTAGGCATGGGGATCTATAAAGAATATTTCTTAGCAGGAGGTAATTGCTGCGGGCTTATATTAATGTGGCTTCTATTTTTCGGAGCACAATTCTTAGCTAGCGGAGGTGATTACTTCTTAAGTCAATGGTAGGTTTTGGATTGCTTTCTAAAAAAAAGTTGTGTGCACTATGTGCGCATATTTGAAGTGAAACTTCTTACTTGCGTTTGTTCGTCTGAGAACTCCATATGGGTATCTCTATCCACGTGCCGAGTTTGGTTCCAATCAAGCCACCATTAAGAAAAGTCTTGATGATTTTTTTCATATTTAGAGGCATCACATCGGTGCGAAACGTCGAGGGCGTCATCCTGTAGCCCGTCCCCATTTATGCCGAAATGGACCGATATTCTTCTTCAATATCAAATCATTAGTCCCACCCTGATGAAGATGTAAACGAAACGTCGCGTCGTATCCAACTTTGTAGGGTGGGACCGTGTGCATCGTCGCTCACATAGACTACCCTTTGGTCACGATCGGACAACATCAACTTTTGATGTTTCTACGAGAGAAAAATTATTGGGTGGCTTTGATAAAAAAATACTGTGGAAAATGCCATATGAAATATAAAACCGCGGATATCTGCGAACTCGTTAAAAATTTTGACATATTATAAATACAAAAATGTTGCCGTCTCTGTTGAGGTTGGCGACCACTTTGGCAAAATCTTCCCTATGTTGGACTCCATGTATTAAAGTATTCCCGTTTGAAATATTTGTCCAATCTCGTATATTTCGAAGCCACGATTTCTTCTTCCTTCCTATGCCGCGCTTTCCCTCGATTTTACCTTGAAGTATTAGCTAAAGCTGTTCGTATTCTTCGTGTCTCATTATATGCCCGAGGTAAGCGGTTTTCCTTATTTTTGTTGTGTTGACTAAGTGGGTACGGGTGTTCATTCTGGTCAGTACTTCCACATTTGTTGTTCTAGTGATCCAGCTTGTACGTAGCATTCGCCTATAAAGCCACATTTCGAATGCCTCCACCTTCGTGAGGTCCTCCTGTTTTAGGGTCCAAGTTTCGCACCCGTATAGCAACAAAGGCCAAACGTAGCACTTGAGTGTTCTCAATCTTACCCCTATGGACAAACGCGGGTTGCAGAGTACGCTTCGCATCTTAACGAATCCTGCACGAGCAGAAGGCATAGTCCAAGTTTCGCACCCGTATAGCAACAAAGACCAAACGTAGCACTTGAGTGTTCTCAACTTTACCCCTATGGACAAACGCGGGTTGCAGAGTGCGCTTCGCATCTTAACGAATCCTGCACCAGCGATTTCTATTCTCCTTTTAATCTCTATAGAGTGGTCGAGCTGACTGTTTATTTCCCTGTCCAGGTAACAGTACTTTTGTACATTATGTAAAGTGGTGTAGATCTAAAATAAATACCTAATATAGTTTTGATTTCAGGACAAGTTCTTGTATTTTTAGTATTTTTTTAAGAAGGGCTAAAAATTTATTTTATGTATTCCATTTAAAAAAAATCATCCCGATCCTCCAACACATTTTTGGGCCACCCTATAGAAGTTAAATAGTAGTAGTAGTAGTAGTAGTAGTAGTAGTAGTAGAAGTTAAAATATTTTCCTGAAACACATAGGGCCCGAGTTACGACGCTTCAAAAACAAATCTCAACTTCCTCATTAGCTTACCACTTTTTCGATCGTTACCGCTAGCTCGTGTGTCGCGACCTTGATATTTTTACGCCCGTAAAGAAGTTTCACTTCAAAAAAACTCTAAACTTATGCTGTTTTACTTGAAGGGTTATTTTAGAAGAGTCAGGATACAATTCTGGTAAAGGTACATTGAAAACTTTTTGGGATAAACTTGATCAGGAGGAATGTATAAGAATATATACTATTTTTATGGTAGCAACAATAATACTAGCAGTACTTAGAAGTCTTTACTTTTTCTCACTTTGCATGAGGGCCTCTTTAAGGTAGTGATTTAGTCTTTGATCTAATATAAAAAAATAGAGAAATCACTCAACCCAAAAAAACTTTTTTTCTTAATTGAGGAACCAGCAATTTAAAGAATAAATTTACAATATATTGTCTTCATCTTTTTGGCTTATAGTTTAATAATTTAAAACTGTTTATGCAAATTTTAAATATACAGGGTGCTACAAATTCGACGTACGAGCATTGGTATCTCGGAAACCGTAAGAGATACGAAGATGGTTGAATTGGGGCAAAGTTGCGCTTTAGGATGTTCACCAAGATGCCATCAAAAAAGTTATAAAAATTTCAAGGATTTCTGAGTTTTTTGGAATAAACGGATTTTTTTGAAAATCAATTTTATTTTTTCCTGGCGTTACTTTTTAGAAAATCGAAAAACTAATTACACATTCTCATGGCTACTTTATTAGGGCTATCTGATAGTGTTTTTAGATTTTTAAATTAGCTGATAATTTGTGAGATACAGAGGCCAATTTAATTTTTTTAAATAAGGACCTGCATTTTTTATTTAAAGTTTTCAAAGAACTCGATCTCCTGAGTACAATGATATGCCACACTTGATACTTTTTTTGTTTTAGGTACCTTAACAATAACAAAACTATTTAATTATTATTTAAAATAATTTCAAATCCCACTCTGGTTTTTTAAATTATTTAATCTGATTATCTTCATCGCAACAGTATGGATCAGCGCTAATTAACATTGAATCAAGCCAATTGAAAGATTCAAACAAATAATACCCAGATCAGCAATTTAAAAATATTATTTATAACTTTTTTTATTGTGATTTTGAAATCTCAGTGTATCATCTTATAATATGCATAATATTAATCGAAGTTATTATAAATAAATCAACTTCTAAAAACTAGTTTCTAAAACTAGTAATGCTCTACATATTCAAAAGGCTTACCACCGTCCCTAATACACAAATTAATGTATTTTTCGTTCAATCTTATTTATAGCTCTTTGAACATATCTTCTTCTTATACTTCCGAATGCATTCTGTACTCTTTATTGTAATGTTGAAATGTATTGTCACTTTTAAAAATGAAGTAATGCCCAATAATTTTATATTATTTTTTATTATTTAATTGCATTTGATTATCCATATTCGATGTTTTACTCCACGTCATTGTTAAGTTTGAAAGCTTACCAATATTGTAACGATGAATAGATTAAATATTTAAAAAAAAAGAGGATTTGAAATTAGTTTAATTAGATTGCGTTCAAATGTCCGATACGAAAAAAAATATTAAGTGTGGCATATCATTGTACTCAGGAGACCGAATTCTTTTAAAATCTGAAATAAAAAATGCAGGTCCGTATTTAAAAAAATTAAGTTGGCCTCGGTATCTCACAAATTAGCAGCTAATTTGAAAATCTAAAAATACTATCAGATAGCCCTAATAAAGTAGCCATGAGAATGTGCAATTAGTTTTTTGATTTTCTAAAAAGTAACGCCAGGAAAAAATAAAATTGATTTTCAAAAAAATCCGTTTTTCCAAATAACTCAGCAATCCTTGAAATTTTTAAAACCTTTTTGATGGTATCTTGGTGAACATCCTAAAGCGCAACTTTGCCCCAATTTAACCATCTTGGTATCTCTTACGGTTTCCGAGATACCAATGCTCGTACCACGAATTTGTAGCACCCTGTATAGTTCATATCAAATAAACTTGTGGTCACGTGATTAAGCTTGACCGGCACAGCGTTGCTCACTTTTACATATTTTCTTTTAATCAAGAAAGTTTTAGGTAGCAAAAATAAATTAATTATAAATATACAAACATTTATTATTTACATCAACAAAACTCGCACCTCCTTAACAACATTTAACGGACATAAAGGTCCATTACTACCGTTTTCCCATTCAAAATATTCTAATAAAAGTTTATTTTTTTTTCTTAAACCTTTAGAATTATATCCATATATATTTTTTTTCCTTTCTTGGGTATGAGGTTTTTTTTTATTAATTGAAAATGGAAACTTTTTTTTATTATGCGACGTTTCGCCTCATCATGGTGGGCTTTCTCAGGCACTTTATTCTTGAAGCCGCAGCCGCCTTGCTACCACCAGTCTATATAGAAGAATGTTGCAGTTTCCAATTTCAATTAATAAAAAAAAATCTCATACCCAAGAAAGGGGGAAAAAAATATATATGGATATATTCTATTCTAATAAAGTTGCGATGAGTTTTTTACGGCTATTAAGGTATCTTGTACACTTCGCACTAAAAGAGGTTCTAAAAAGGACAATGTTTGACTGCAAGGTCTGCTAGTAAACATTTTTAAGCTTAAAATATCACAACCAAACTAAAGTGTCAAAACGAATGACAATGTCAGGAAATAAATAAATAAATATGGCAACTTGACATTTTTTTCAACAGTTACCGCCTGAATCTCCAGCGGGAAATTTCAATTCCAGTTAGTCAGCCCGGCGACGAATATGTTGCCATGGTTGGCAACAATGAATTTAAAAATCGCGCTTCGATTACGCAACTGAAAGTTTAATTGGTATCGAATATATTTGACATCATATTGATGAAGATATGGTTATTACTAAATGATACTCATCACCAAATGATGCTACCACTAACTAAATGATTGTTGTTGATTTGAGTATTATTTTTTTTTAAAGTAGATATCCGAACTTTATTTTTTTTAATTAATATATCTCAAAACTTTAGGCTACATGACAGAATGTTTGTAAGTATCATACATGCAGCTATGAATTTTTTTCATACCAACACTTCAGGAAGAATATTGAACAGGTTTTCAAAAGATTTGGGACAAGTTGATGAACTACTACCAAATGCATTTATTGATACAACTCAGGTGAGTAAAATCAGGCGTTATGATAATTATTGATATAAACTTTGATTGTTTTAATAGATCATGTTAAATCTGATCGGAGCTATAATTATTGTGTGCTTTGTAAATTACTGGTTGATATTACCCGTAGCTGTTATGATTGTATTGTTCTACTTTCTTAGAGATTTTTATTTGAAAACCAGCAGAAGTGTAAAAAGATTAGAAGGCATCGGTAGGATATGTGTTTTTGACAAGAAATATATTGTAAAGTTGTGTAATTTCAGCAAGAAGTCCAGTATTTGCGCATTTAAATGCCACTCTACAAGGTTTACCCACTATCAGAACAAACAATGCAGAGAAAATACTTGTTGACGAATTTGACTACCTTCAAGATGTTCATAGCAGCGCATGGTTTATGTTTCTATACACGTCTAGAGCGTTTAGTTTATGGTTGGACTGGTTAACTGCAGTTTTTATTGGAGTCGTTACGTTTAGTTTTGTGATTTTCTCCGATAGTAAGATTTATAGTAACATATCACTTTGAATCTTTTTTTCATTTAATATAATTGAAAAATCGTGCCTTTTTGAGAAAAATGGACATCTTTTTTCAATTTAAAAAAAGTAAAGATTTCAGTTAATGTCTCCTTTTTGCTGCCAGGGCTAATCTGGACGGGGCCTACTTTGTTTACGCGGAATCCGAACCGCGGTCCTCGGCCATATCATGGTCAATGACCTACCGACCTGACAAGTGTCTAATCAACTCTTACTCACGAGACATCCGATCTCATCCGGCCTCGAACCGGCATGAATGAGCAGTGTGTGTCAATAGATTTTACACTTTTGCCTTAATTGGACAACAGCACGATACAGTACAGAGTTTCGAACCGGTCACCCGTCCATTTTTTCAATTTAATTAATCAAAAAGTTTTTCTTCTTGTAAAGACAATTCAGGGCATACTGTAGATTGAAATGACAACTGTTGTCGGTTTTTTCAATGACAACTGTCTGTGTCAACAACTGTCTGTGTCAGTTTGTGTTTTTATATATCTAAGGGTGTATTCCGTTGCTTACTTTGGTTATGGTTTTATGTTCCGTTTCTATCGGTTTCCTGAAAGTTTTCTTATTACTGAACACGGTTCCTGAAAAATTCGTTTATAACTGTCACCAAACTAACCAGCGCGAGAAGGCTGGTTTTTCTGGTTTTGTTTGTCAACCAATTATTTCACAGAAATCAAGCAAATATTTGAAGTTCGAGTGAAATTCTCATTTAATTTATAAAATTTGTAATAATATTTTGTATTTACATCCAAAAGCAATGGAGTTAGGCAGTAAAGGTAAATAAATTTCATTAACTAATTAGAATTACTTTTTAGGACCATTATATATAGATAAGTTTATCATGCAGCCAGTGTTTCGTCAGAAACATTTAAAGAAAACACGAAAAATAAGACAACAAGTAATCGTGAATGTTTTGTAAGCTATAAAAATATAAATATTGATTAGATTTGTTTATTTATTATTAATCTGTTTTAATATTGGACCTGCAAATCTTCACTTCAGCTGTCTAACGAGTTTAACAGTTTATTAATAAAGTACTTTTCAATATTAAACTCCACTGAAAAGAAGAAGCAAACGTAAAAGCAGATAGGTACATTAAAAATGCATAAAAGATAAATTTTACAATAGAGGTATTGAAATTTAGAAAACGTCAACATTTCACGTTTCCAGTATTTTATCAAACCGATGTTTTTCAGAAACCGCTGTTTACCGCAGTTTACCGATCTGGTTCCCCTGGTTTTGCAACGGAATACAGCCTAAATCTTTCATGACTTGTTGGATAATATACTTTATTTTGTATTGACATTATTATTTTGAGCCATATAACTTTCTATTCCCTTTGTTTGACGGCTGGAGTTTTTAAATCATACTGATGTGCGATCTATAGTTTCCTTGCAGCAGAAGTTTCTGGAGAATTACATTACAACCAAATTACAACCTAAATTGGATATTTTTGAACACCAATATTTTACAATGAGTTCTCTCGGTTAAACATATTAGTACAGGATTTATTACATTTATTACAGTCAGCAGGATTACATACAGGGACCTACAGAGAGGACCCATACAGGGAGGGGAATTTTAACAGGGACCAATCAAAAAGTGTCCTTAAATGGGGGTTGCCAAGGTTCAAAGTAATTCCTACTAATTTATACGGGTCCGGCAATAGTGCTTCGGGCATGTGTAGCTCCTATCAAACTTAACAGTTTTGTATAAGTACAAATCTAAAGTATGTATTAGGATGTATTTCAGGAAAATATTTTAACTTCTACAGGGTGGCTCAAAAAAGTGTGATTGGATCGAGATGATTTTTTACATGGATTAGTCTGATGTTTATTATAGGAGCTACAGGTGCCCGATGCACTGTTACCGGACACGTATAAAGTAGTAGGAAAGACTTTGTACCGTGGCAACCCCATTTGCGGCTACTTTTTGATTGGCACCCTCTTAAAAGTGTGTTTGGAGTTAAAACTGCAGCCGGATCTTAGACTATATTGTTTTCAAATATTTCAAAGTTTTTGACTTTCGACTAGATATACAACTTTTTTTGGCAATACATTAATGTAGTGTTTTGTTCCAAAAACTTTTTCTCATAAATTATTGAAACATTTTATATATATATATATATATATATATATATATATATATATATATATATATATATATATATATATATATATATATATATATATATATATATATATATATATATATATATATATATATATTCATTAAATTTTAAAGAAAATCCCTCTATAAAATGTCGAATCTATTTAAAATAAGAAAGTCACCAGTCAGAAATTGCCATCATATTCAGAATGAAATTGAGAGTTCTTGTGTATTATTAGAGTATATAAAAGAGGTCCACTCTAGAAATAGTAGTTTAGTAGAAACTATACTATAGTGCAAGCCTACCGTCACGTTGGAACCCGCTTTCAAGTCAAGTTTTCTATTTTGGGCTTATTATTAACTACAAACGATGCAATTGATTGTAGTAAATTCAATTTTTTTGTAGTACTAATAATTAGCCAGAAAAAGTAAACAATTGTGCGCAATGTAATGAAAAAATATTGTTTTAACAAAGGTCTAAAAACCTTCAAAATCGTTTGTAGTTTTATGTAGTAGCAAAAAAATTCAATAAAAGATCCTTGGAATTAGTGAATTATAGTAAAATATGAAAATTAACATAGTTTGACATAATGTCTTTAGTTGTACCCAAACTACAAACGATGCAATTGATTGTAGTAAATTAAATTTTTTTTAATACTAATAATTAGCCAGAAAAAGTAAACAATTATGCGCAATGTAATAAAGAGATAAAATATTGTTTTAACAAAGGTCTAAAAACCTTCAAAATCGTTTGTAGTTTTATGTAGTAGCAAAAAAATTCAATAAAAGATCCTTGGAATTAGTGAATTATAGTAAAATATGAAAATTAACATAGTTTGACATAATGTCTTTAGTTGTACCCAAACTACAAACGATGCAATTGATTGTAGTAAATTAATTTTTTTTTAATACTAATAATTAGCCAGAAAAAGTAAACAATTGTGCGCAATGTAATAAAGAGATAAAATATTGTTTTAACAAAGGTCTAAAAACCTTCAAAATCGTTTGTAGTTTTATGTAGTAGCAAAAAAAATCAATAAAAGATCTTTGGAATTAGTGAATTATAGTAAAATATGAAAATTAACATAGATTAACATAATGTCTTTAGTTGTACCCAAACTACAAACGATGCAATTGATTGTAGTAAATTCATTTTTTTTGTAGTTATTTGGTAGTTTCTCTTTATTACATTGCGCACAATTGTTTACTTTTTCTGGTTAATTATTAGTACTACAAAAAATTGAATTTACTACAATCAATTGCATCGTTTGTTGTTAATAATAAGCCAAAAATCGAAAACTTTACATGAAAGCGGGTTCCAACGTGACGGAGCTTTGAGGGCACTATATATTCCATATGGCTTAAATATTTTAGAGCGTTTTAGAGTATTTTTGAAAAATACTTATAATGTCTATTTATTAAAAAGTTAAATAAAATCAATTAAAAATACCTAAAGCTAACCAAAAGTACATAATTTGCATCAATTGATGTCTAAAACAGCACAAATACCTATTGGTCATGATTCAGATTCTGATTATAACAATGCTTGTCAAAAATAGTTTTTATATTATCACATTTTTACAGAATTTTATGGAAGCAATGTAGGTTTGGCCATAACTCAATGCATAGGATTAACTGGATTAATTCAGTGGGGTATGAGACAATCAGCCGAACTTGAAAATCAAATGACTTCAGTGGAACGAGTTTTAGAATTTACACGAGTTGAACACGAGCCTGATCTATATTCGGTAATTTATTTATACTACAGAATATTAATTATATTTTCTTTGAATAAAAAGATTAAGGAGGGAGTATAATACTATCCATGTATTCATGCATGGTGGACGGAATTGACATTATAGTCCCCATATACCACCCAATCCTTGACAAATCCGTTTGACGTTCTAATTGCAACATTTAAATTTGGTTTGACATATTGGCGGATGTGTTTCTCTTTACTGAGTTTATTAATGTTTTCTCGTTTAAAAATCGGGGAAAATAATGGAATAACTTTTCACTGGTAAGTGACTATACAGGGTGAGTCTTAAATAAGTGCAAATATTTTTAGTGATATACAGGGTGCTACAAATTCGAGGGTACGAGCATTGGTGTCTCGGTAATGGTACTAGACACGAATATGGTTAAATTGGGGCAAAGTGGTGCTTTGGGATGTTCACCAATATGGCATCAAAAAAGCTTTAAAAATTTCAAGGATTGCTGAGTTTTTGGAAAAAAAAACGGATTTTTTGGAAAATCAATTTTATTTTTTCCTGTTGTTACTTTTTAGAAAAACAAAAAACTAATTGCACATTCTCATAGCTACTTTATTAGGGGTATCTGATAGAATTTTTAGATTTTCAAATTAGCTGATAATTCGTGATATACAGAGGCCAACTTAATTTTTTAAATACGGACCTGCATTTTTTATTTCAGGTTTTCAACTCGGTCTCCTGAGTACAATAATAGGCCACACTTAATATTTTTTTTTGTTTCGGACATTAGGTCCGGCTCTGTTTTTTTTAATATATTTAATCTATTCATCGTTAATATTGATTAGCTTTCAAACTTAACAATGACGTGGGGTAAAACATTGAATACAGAAAATCAAATGCAATAAAATAATAAAAAAAATAATATAAAATAAATAATATAAATAGAATATAATATAAACAATCAAATCATTTCCCCGGAAGATGGATTGGAAATGGTAGAGCAGTATAATGGCTAGCGAGGTACCTAAACCTGGGGAAGGGCATTAGGTACTTGACGTTATTTGTAAAACTGAAATCAATACATCTCAACATTTACAATAAATAGTACAAAATGCATTCAGAAGTGTAAGAAAAAGATCTGTTCAAAGATCTGTAAATAAAATTGAAAGAAAAATAAATTTGTGCAATAGGGAGGATGGTAACCCTTTCGAAAAAAACAAATTAGAAACCAGTTTGTAGAAGTTATTTATAATAACTACGATTAATATGATGCATATTATAGCCGTTTAAGTCGGCCATTTTAGGTCCCCATCGCGCTCAAGCTAATTTTTTTGATATGTTTCTTCCTTAATATTTTTAATCAAAGATTATTTTCAACCGTAAATAGTTTAGACTTTTTAGCGACCTGACAAAAAACCTCCTGCATCGTGGCCAAAAAGGGGTCAAATAGAATTCGTTAATACTAGTATGAGGTATAGTCTACACGAAGCACCGGTCTTAAAGAATCTTAACATTGTTATATATCCTAAACAGAAGGTATTCTTAAAGAATCTACTGCTTTTTTAAACCTAGCTTATCACTAAGATTTTTAGATCGGAATAGTTGGTAGAACCGGTGCTGGTAAATCTTCTTTGATAGTAACATTGTTTCGATTAGCTTATTTTGAAGGAGAAATCTACATTGATCATTTGGATATCGGAGTATTGGGATTACACGACTTGAGAAGAAAAATCTCTATTATTCCTCAGGTAACTAATTACTGATTAGATTTATATATTGATTCATTAAATTGTATTATGTGTATAACACTATTGATTATAAAGGAGCCAGTGCTATTTAATGGTACATTACGATATAACTTGGACCCATTTAATGAATACCAAGATCAAATGATGGTGCATGCATTAGTAGATGTGGAAGACAAATGTGCAATGACAAAAGGAAAAGGTTAGAAAGTATCATATCGTTGGTGAAATGTGTTAAACAGCTAAAAACTACTTAAAACTAATTCCCAATTTTACAGAAGAGCAAAAAACGGTTCAAAAAAATATGTACACATGTAGCAAGTATATTCATGCGTTAATATGATAAAGATAACAATAATACAGTAGAACTTCTCTAATTCGGACACGGCGCCAAATCGGACACTCCGGTAGTTCGGCGTGTCTTATCAACCGGATAATTATGGTGCACGGTTAGATGTTAGATGCAGTATGTAGTATTTTATTTGTAGTGCAGGAGTCAGTCAGGAGTACCGTCTATTGCTAAAAATAGAGCCAACTAAACGACTCTTTCTGAAGAAAAAATGTAAGATTGGATTGCATTAACAAGGAAGGAAGGATACGTAACATTTTTGTTCCATACGCAATACGCAACATTCTATTCCGAAATTGGATATGTCAGATATAAAAAAAATCAGAAATACCAAGACCAAAAAAATCAAATCTACTTAGAACAATTAAAAAAAAAACAATCCACGTACAAAATAAAAAAAAATATAAATGAGCTTAAAGAGAAAAAGAATTTGTCTCTGATTGAAGAGTATAATAAGGCAGAGACAAATTGAAGAGAAAATACTAGGCATTGGAAACAAAGGAAACAAATATCGACTTAAGTCAATTAGAGGATAACAATGTTTTGTTGAAAATGAAATTTAGCAATGCTGTAAAATTACAGTTTGAGGGTTGGAATCTTTGGTGTTACACAGCAAAATAAAACACTAAATCACCACAATACACCAAAACATTTTTACTTTTACACTGGAAGCGCGTTTCGCTAACCATGATGATGCTAACACAGTTTGGTGATTTAGTGTTTTATTTTGCAATGCTGTAAAATCTTTATCAAAAAGTATTTAGTGGGTAGAAAAAACGATGTTTCTACGCAAGATATTTTGCTTTTGAAAGGAGTAAAGGCTGTTGTTGAGGCATCAAAATCGATAAGTACGTATGCGAAAATCGATTTTTTTTTTAAATCAATTAATTCAAATCAATCAATTCAATTCAGTCTATGTCGTTAAAACATAAAAAAATTGGTATTAAACCTATTATTTTATTAGCGTAAAAAATGGAGTTAGCAGGTTAGCACGTTTCACTGACGATATATTTGATCTGTCGATTAAACCATTAGTCTAAGAGCTAGCAACGTTTTCGAGAAAGTATATTAAGACGTCTCACGGTGGGGTATTAGCATGAAAAAGGTGATCGAAATTCGAAAAAGCAAATGTGTTTAAGATTTCCCAAAAAAAGATAAATGTTAAGTTAAATCATCTCTGCCATGAATGGCGTTGCTATGGGTGTGTTTAGTTGCATTCATTTGTTTCAACGAAACGTCAAAGTTGTTACTTCTCACAGATAAGAGGTAAATGGCTAAATTTTATGTTTAAAATTATAAATTGTTGTTGTTCTTGTGCTCTTTTTACGTCTATATTATTGTTTTGATTGAAAATGGCTCAGCAAGCTGCAGGTATGTATTCTACAAAAACGTATTATTTATTTTGATATTCTCTATACTAACGATTTTTTTTGCAACTAAAAGTTAGGCGTTCAGAAAATTTGATTAAATTTGTGACATTTTTATTATACTTAGAGATTTCAGTTGCGCATTTCGAAGAATTCAGCATATTGTCTATATACGTTTTGCTTAGTAAACATTGGGCTTTCATACAGTAAAATAAAATACTGCGACTTTTTGCGATTTTGCTGATAAAATGAGAAAAACATTCTTGGTTTCCTCTAATTTGCCAATCAGTGATATACTAATGCGAGGTGTAAACCGCGATGGCATTGTTGTGTACAAAGCGATCACATTAGTGCCATTAGCAGTATAGCACAATTTGGCATTAGTAGCGACTTTAGTGGTATGGGCATTGCTCGCGGATCAGTCGTAGCATTAGTAGTAGTAGTTGCGATATTACTACTGGCACTGACCGTGGAAACACTGAAACAGTGATTTTCTTTCTTTTTTTAGAATCGACAAATTATCCTTTATTTTGTTCATATTATTTCCTCTTTAATTGAAAATAACAATAATTTATATAAGGTCTACATAAAAAAATTTCGATCAACTATCAGTGTCAAATACCCCACTGTGCGTCTCTTTGATATATCTTTTACTATGCTCTCTGGAACAGCATGCGGCCCGTCTGGCTGCCGATACCCGTTGCGTTCACTACTGCGCATCGGAAGAAGATCCTATATTTTTTATTAATTTAGTCCTATAAATTCTAGTATTGAATATAAATCGAACATGTCTCCATAGCGCAGTGCGTAGAGTTTCCGACCACGAACCGATGATTCAGAGTTCGAATCCGTGTCAGGTCAAAGACTTTTTTATTATAGTTTCGTTTATATTCTGATAGTAAAGTATTAAATAATTCTGGTAATTAAAAACACAGATATATGATTTTATTAAGCGAGAATGTCAAAAGTTGACATATGATATGTCGTTCTATTCAGAATATCATTTTCTATCAAATAAAGTAAAAAAATACCGAGAGTGCCATTTAAAAATCAAAAGTTGTATATAGTAATTTCCGGTGAAACAGGAAGTGACAAACAAACAATTAAATACATCAATCAATCCTAATTTATAAAAAATATCGTTTTTTTTTATCTGAAAAAATAAAAAAGTTATAGGGGGTGAGCCACTTTTGAGACGCACCGGGTATAGTATATAATTAATATTTTTTATAATTATTGAAAACTGTGGGGAAAACATGTTATAAGTATGTGAACTATTTTTTTTTTCAATTTTAAATCGATTTAAAATGGTGGCTCTTATACCGATATTACCCTGGTGAATTGGCACGAGCCACCACTGGTTCAGTTACACAAAATTGAATTTTACCTCTGACCAGTGTGTACTCTTCATACATTTAGTATGTTTAATTTAATTTAATCAAACCATATTAACATTTCAGAATGTCTGGACAAAGTAATGTCAGAAGGAGGTGCAAACGTAAGCGTGGGACAAAGGCAAATGATATGTTTAGCCCGTGCCATTCTGCGAAACAATAAAATTCTGGTAATGGACGAGGCAACTGCAAATGTAGATGCACAAACTGACAAATTAATTCAGAAAACAATTAGACATAAATTTGCTCAGTGCACAGTTCTTACTATAGCTCATAGATTGCATACCGTTATGGATTCAGATAAGGTGAGTAGTGGTTCTTTTGAATTTTGCATTTCCGCATTCTACAAATGTATGTTTGTTAACTTATACAATCATACCGTATAGAGTGTATTTCCACCGATTTTTCTAATTTGACTGGGTATTTTTTATTAAAATTGTAGTATATTGTTAGATTCTAGTTATGGATGCCGGTCAAGCAGTGGAGTTTGATCATCCTCATATATTGTTACAAAACAATACTGGATATTTATCAGAGTTAGTAAGAAAAACGGGAACGGGCACAGCGGCTAGTTTAAAGAAAATTGCAAAACAGGTTATTATTAAATTTATTTATTATACGAAATTGGGAAATTGATGATTTGTAGGCGATTACTATAAGATATATTAATTTTTTTCACACCTGACTTTTAGACTATATCTCGGACTATATACAGGGTGAGTTGCCTACGATGTTCTCTGTGTAACTACTACTAACTCAGTAATTTTTCAAAAAAACATATTATAGCTTATATCGCTGAAAAGCTTCAAAATGGCGCTTTTTATGAAGTCATGGCCAACTATGGTTTCCATTTAAAAAAAACATGTGTTTATGTCATATGTCAAAAATGACAGGCTTTAGAAAAAAACGGAGAACAGTCTCAAGGGTGTGATTATCTACAACTTTTATTTGAAAAAACGTTTTGTCTAAAAGATATAATGGAATTAGGGAGCATTTTTTTTAAATAGCCGAAATTTTCTTTTTTCGAAGTATCTAGTAAGCCATAAACTTTTTCAAAAATCCGAAAGGGGTATATGATTGTTTTCACAAAACTTCAATTTTTTCCCTATTTGACCGACTCTCTAGCTCCAGTAGTTTCCGAGATACCCATAGAGAACATCGTAGAAAACACACCCTGTATATTAAAAAATGAGGTTTTGAACCATATTTTAAAATATGTCTAATAATATACTCGAATATATCTATATCTATAATAATCTATTTTCAGAATAGTTCAAAACACTTAATATTATCTATTATTTTATAATAGTGGATTTTTTTTACTAAATGAATATTTGTCTTTTTAGTGACATAGCTCTACATAGTCTACATAAATATTTTAATATCTTTTAATTTCCTGCGTGATGAATGAGTTAATAGCTTTGTTCGCACAGCGAAATATCCAACCGCTTGTCGGATCGTTGGTTTCCAACTGGTTTCAAACCTGGTTGTGGATTATACTTCTGCGAACGATCAATCGAAATCAAATGTCAACGAGTAGTCCGCGAATAACGCGATAATTTTCATTTGGCAGTTCTGTTTACAATTTATTTATTTGATAGATTGAATGGTAAATAAAATAATTAATTTTCTTCTCTTGTCATATATTAATTATTCTTGTGTTATTAAGTCTAAATTAAGAAATTCTGGTACAGAAGTTATTCCTAGTGTAAAAGAGGTCAAATATAGCTCTATAAGTTCAAAATGCTTAAAGAAATATAAACTATTGTTGCCAAATTTAATTGTTTTATTCATGTTGATAGAGAAATGTTTTGTTTTTTTCACGTACGTCAATTCGTAATCAAATGAATAAAAAATGCGCATGACTAAAACTAACAGTTGGAAGCTTGCGAACGCTTTAAACATCATGCGCATGCGTCGGACGGTTGTAAACTATTTCTGACTGCTCTGCGAACGAAGCTAATTTATATAAGATATATTTATATAAGATAAGAGATAAATTTATGTAAGTATTATTGTTCCACACATCTTAAAATACTTAAAATCGTAAATAAAAATTTGCATTATTTTTTTTTATTTAGTTTTTTTTTTCACAATAAGGGGCCGTCCTCTGCCGGAAACACTGCGACCTGTGAGGCCTATTTTGTTTGTCCCCTTTCTATATCTGCACCCATTCTCCTATCCCTGTGCCCTGCACTAACTTATGCAGGTTCTTAATGAGATGGGAGAATAGTTCCTCCGGTTGTAGCCTAGCTTTCCCAAATAAAAAGGGTCGCTTGCGATCCGGAGTCTCGCAGTGACATATTATGGGCTCCGCTGTTTCAGGATCTTTATCGCAGAGTCTGCAGCAAAAACTTCCTTGATACAGGTTGAGCTTGTTCAGGTAACACTTGACAGCCATGTGTCCTGTAAAGAGGCCTGTTGTGATCCGCAATTTATTCCTGCTAAACAGTTCTTTTGCGATTTTAGAGCTAGGTCCTTGGATAAAAGCCTTGCTGTGTCTGTGCCGCTGTCTGTTTCTCCAGTGGACATTCTGCTTTTCCCTGATACAGAGTTTTATTGCACTACGGGCCATACATTTGGGTATTCCCAGTACTGGCTCTGGACCAAGATAGGATGCCGATGATCCTTGCCTAGCTAGCTCATCGGCTTTTTCGTTGCCTTGGATGCGCAGTGGCCCGGCACCCAGAATAATTTAATTCTGTTCCTTCGAGCCAGAGCTCCCAGTTCACCTAGGCATTCCCAGACGAGTCTCGACGATACCTTTGGGCTCATAAGCGCCCCAAGTGCCGCCTGACTGTCTGAGCATATATTGATGAGCTTATGTGAATAAGCTCTTCTATTGTTTTCTCTCGCACATTGTAGAATGGCGAAGATTTCTGTCTGGAATACGGTTGAGTGTTTACCCAAGGAAAAGGATAACCTTACCCTTACCCTTCCTTCAGCGGTCTTTGACCCGTCTGTATACCAGGTTAGTCCATCCTGAAGGAATGTTATATCTGTCCACATTCCTCGATCCATTTTGTTCTCCTCGAATGGTTTGTGGTAGTGATAAAGAGGGGTCATTTGGTCCGATCTCATTTGGAGTAGAGGTCTCCCGATATTATATATATAATTTCCCATCTTTGAGTGTCCTGTTTCTGTCCTATTTCCCAGAGACAAGACACTTTAGTTAGTGAACGTTAATTATTTGTTTTGTTACAGAATTTTGAAGAAAGACAAAAGCAACAAATAATATTAGAGAGACAAGAAACAGATTCAATTTCTACACAAAGCTCGTACAGTTCATTGTGATTTATTAGTTTTATATATATTTTTTAAATATAAGTTTTCATGTTTCAAGAAAATATTTATGATTAAAATTTTACAACTACTAGTCATTGGGGCACTTGAGACAGACAGGTAACCGAGATAGATTAATAAGTGTATGACCGTTGATTGAAGAAAAAAGAAGATGTGCAACAGTATGGGCGATTTCGTGGCAGAAAAGCTGTCCGAGATGTAGCTGGCGTTACCGTCAGCCTGTCCGAAATTTAGTTTAGCTCTGCGCCGCTGCGCGCTGAATGTCGTTTACAGCGCAGCGCATAAATAATACTGTACTCTAGTTCTGCTTTCAGTCGAAAGAGTGAGTGATTGCCGGAGACAGTGTTGCCAGAACTACTGATTAATTCGTAGATTTACCGTAGATTTTGGGTACAGTACGTTAATAATACGAATTTTCTATCATCAAATAATTTAATATAATAATATATGATTAAACAAAGAACGGGGTCAGAGTTGGCTTGGAAATTAAAATCGCTGTTGTTTCATATTTAAAGTCTTATGGTAAATTTCAATAATCGTCACCTCCAAGCCAACTAAATGACTTTTTTCGATCATACGACATATTCAGTACCTATAAAAGAATTTTGATTTTTGTTGTTTATTCTATGTTTAACACGAATACATTTTCAATACATAAATTATAGCAAGCACTATACTTCGTCTTTATATTTAGGCACATTTTAAAAATTACCTATTTGATAAATTTATATTTTTTACGAATAGTTTTTGTACAATAATTATATAATAAACAACATATCTATGAAGTCGATACTTATTCTTCTATCACAATCTTATGTAATAATGCATCACAAGTCTTCTTCGCATCGCCAAGCAACATAGAAGTATTTGGTTTAAAAAAGACTGGATTATCTACAGCAGCATATCCAACACCTGTTGATTATTATAAAATATATTTAAAAATGATTGTATAATTTCTACGATCGTTTAATACTAACTAGAAATTAAATATTGTCTTAATTTTTTCTTTTGACTAAAAAATAGTGAATCTGCTAGGACCCATGTAAAGGTTAGGTTAGGTTGTAGCCATTCCATATCCGTTCCGTATTTTTTATTGTATTGGCGCTATACGTAAGCTTCCGTTCCGCATCTTCTATTGTATAATTTATATACGAAATATGTTACGAAAGTTTTATTTTAAAAATTTGTATCTTTTGAAAAAGGTAATAGATTTAATTAAGAGGTGAAAGAATGAATAAATATCAGCAAAATTTTAACAGAGCCGGTACAAATGTAAGAACTTGACAACGCTGTTTCCGATACTCTTCAGTCCGTCCGCTAAAGAAATGTATGGAAGGAAAGGATATGGAACGGAAGGGAAACGGAACCTATAGTGTGCATTGTCCTATTCATTTACATGATATAATATTTTATGTAAACCGAAGGGAAACGGAAGGGATCTGATATGGAAGGTATAGTGAGAATCAACCTTAAGATGGAAATATAGTCTTAACTTTTTCAAATAATTATATTAAATAAAATTATTTGATTTATCTTTTAGGGCCTATGTAATATAATGACGTTCTTTATTCAATAAAATATATATTGCTGTTAAATAAAATTAGAAAAGAAGTTCACTTACCTAAAGATCTTTTCATAATAATGACATGTTCAGCCTGCCAGACAGTGAGAACCGGCATTCCAGCTATAGGCGAATTAGGGTCATCCACTGCAGCGCTATTGACAGTATCGTTAGCTCCAATAACTAACACTAGATCGGTTTCAGGAAATTCGTCGTTTATTTCATCCATTTCAAAGACGTCATCGTAAGATATTCCTGCTTCTGCTAGCAGAACGTTTAATTGTCCCGGCATACGACCTAGAGAATATGATGCATGTTTGAAAGAAAAATTATTTTGAACCTGTCAAGTCTTCTAATAGCGTTATTTTCTAATTTGTAATAGAGCGAGGTGTTGGATCAGTTTCTGTTATCATGCAGATACTTAAAAACAACATACTAGCACAGTAGGTAAGTGACTTCAAATGTGCAGATTAGGGTTTCCGGAGCCGGAGTTGTTTTTCGGAACCGGGAATTTCGGTACCGCGCCTCTTAGGAACCGGGATTTCCCGTTTTTTTTCGGTACTCTCGGTACTGACTAATTTTTGTTCATTGGTGGTGCAGTTCATCGATCAGAAAGCAAGGGATGGTTTTTCAAAGTGAAATGGATAAAAAAATTGAGATTTTCAATTAAAATATTTGAACACAAGTAAAGAAAAAAGTATAGGTAAATTTCATACCAAACAACATAAATCAACTTAACTGAATTTGAGACAAAAGCCCTGAAATATTGAATTAAAAATGCAAATATCTATTAAAACATAACATAATAACTATTATAGAAACTTCAAAAGAGAAAAGAAGCAAGAAAAATAAGAAATTGCATTATTACTTATTTAGGAGAGTTTGATTTTGACCGCTAGAAAGTATCAAAGGACTTTCTCACGTAACAAAAAAAAATAATTTTACCGAGGCCCGGTTCTGTGATGGCCAAAAAGATCTGAACCCTAATTAGTAGTACTAATTAGAGTTTGCGGAACCATACTAAAATATTTTCGTTCAATGATTGTGAAATTCGTCAATTAGCATGCAAGTTCTCAAAACTAAAACCGATAAAAAATTGAGAGAGTTTCAAATGAAAATAATATCAAATTATTAAGACATAAGAAAGTAGACATGAACTCAAATAATGAACACAAGCGAAAAAAAACACACATAGGTAGCTTAAAAATTACATCAAATATCAACCAATCTCGAAACCAACTTAAATAAATTTGAAAAAAAAATTAACAAATTCAATTAAAGATGCAAATACCTATAAAAACATAACACAAAAAAATATAACTAATACATTTAGCAATATTGTACTAAATAAGAAAATAACACATTTAAACTTCAATAATTGCTAATAAACACTATAGAAACTCCAGAATAACTTTAGAAGTAAGAACAGTAAGAGACAGCATCACTATTTATTTAGAAGAGTTTGATTTCGACAGTTTGAAAGTATCAAAAGTCTTTCCCATGTAACAAAAAATATGTTTTTAATTATTATTACCGAATCCCGAAAGTACCGAAAGAACCGGGAATTAATAATTTTGAATCCCGGTTCTTTGATGTCTCAAAAGAACCGGGATTTCCCGGTTCTGAACCCTAGTGCAGATCATGTTTAGTCAAACCGATTGATTGGAAAATTTTTATTTTGGATACCAGATTCATTGGTCATAGGCTAGAGTTATCAGCAAGAAACCGCATTGCAAGAAAGAAAAATTTAAAAAGCTGTTTTTATTAAAAACAATGATAAATACAATATAACTGGGAATATAATGGGAATAAATAAAATAATACTGGGAATATTTTGGATATACAGGGTGTCCCAGGCTGAGCGTGCATTAGAAGTTTCTATAGAACCACAATATCTAGATCGGAGATTTTTTGCCCTTCATTGTTTTACAACGAGATCTATCGATTAAAAATATTTTCAATATGGCGGCGCTTCCGGAAATACCGGAAGTTGACAGCAACTTTCTTATTTTAAATGGGTGCCCCGATTTTTTATTACATCCTTAAATTCTCTGTAAAATTTTATGAATTTTGATATTAAACACTCTATACCTAACATTAACCGTTTTTGAGAAAAAAAATATTTAAAATTTTTGAACGAAAAAAACTAACTGTCAAAAATATGTATATATATATAGTCTAAACGTCAAATTTAGTGATTACCACAGCCACTGTGCCATAAAGAGAAGACATGTGGGTATCTATTTCAAAAATAAAATTGTTTGAATGTCATATTGTTTGAATATCATATAAGTGGAAGAATAGCTCTCTAGCTAAACTTCGCCCTATACCGTTTGTTTCAATTTTTAAAATTAATGAATAAATACGTTTTATTATTATTATTATTACATAATAATGACCGCAGCTGTCATGGAATTTAGCGATTAAAAAATGACCATAAATAATTTTTTTCAAATGGAAACCCCCTTTTTATTTCTCTAATGGAAAGGTTTTCAATTCGATACTTTTTGACTATACGTTGTATGACGTATATGTTTCTATACCTAAAATAAATCGTTTTTAAGTTATTTAATAATATTTAGTTTCAAAGCGTATATTTTTCTTGATTTTAACCAGTAACCTAAGACTTTAAACGTCAAGTGATGTAAAACAATAGATCTGGCCATGTCATATTGTGACGTCTTGTTCAAACAGCAGCATCATTTCCGAACTTTGCGCTGTTTTTTTTTTCGATTATACAGAATATTATTAATAATATCAACTATTAGATATCACTAAAGAGCGAAAATACCAGATATATATTTTTATAAATACACTTTTTAAACTCTTAAGGCAGGCAGTATTTATAATATAGGAAATTCAAATAATTCGTTTTCTGACAGATGGAAATAAATTGTTTAACTGTTTGACACTTAATGTCAAAGGAAGCTAGATAAAATCAAGAAAAATATACGTTTTTAAATTAAATCTTAAATAACTTGAAAACGATTTATTTGTGGTATAAGAACATGTATAGTTAAAAAGTAACGAATTGAAAATTCTTTTCATTAGTGTAATAAAAAAGTGGGTTTCCATTTGAAAAAAATGATTTATTATAATTTTTTAATCGCTCATTTCCATGACAGCTACTGCCATTATTATATTTAACAATTTAATTTTAAAATAGATAGCCACATGTCTTCTCTTTGTGCCACAGAGAAGTGGTAATCACTAAATGTTACTTTTAGGCTATACATTTTTTTGTCAGGTAGTTTTTTTTGTCCAAAAATTTTAAATATTTTTTTTCTCATAAACGGTAAAGTTAGATATAGAGTGTTTAACATCAATATTCATAGAATTTTACAGAGAATTTAAGTATGTAATAAAAAATAGGTGCACCCATTTAAAATAAGAAAGTTGTTGTCAACTTCCTGTATGTCCGGAAGTGCCTCCATATTGAAATTATTTTTAATCGATAGATCTCGTTGTAAAACAATGATGTGCAAAAAATCTCCGATCTAGATATTGTGGTTCTCTAAAAACATCTAATGAACGCTCAGCCTGGGCACCCTGTATATATAATACGCGGATAACATAATAGTAATTTCTTTGTTATAAATATTAAAATACCTGCGACTGGATGTATAGCAAAGCGTACGTTTTTGCCTTTCTTTTTGAGAACTTCAATCATTTCGGCGATGGGGTACTGAGCCTTCGCAGCACACATTCCATATCCAGGAACAATGATGATGTTCCGAGCGTTTTTAATAACTTCAGAGGCTTCATCAATGTTAATTTCGGTATGAGTACCGGTAATTTCCATTGGCTTGCCGCCTCCTGTACTTGAACTGCGATAACTACCAAGTATGACGTTTGGAAGTGATCTGTTCATTGCCTAAAAATAAAGTAGGTTTTAAAATCATGACAGATAAAATAAAGTCACTCACTAGAAAGCATGTCAGGCAACATGTTGTCGTCGTCAACAAGATTCCTAGTGTAATAATAATTATAAAGTGTATTAGTTGATCAACATTTTGCTTAAGTTGTATATGGTGGTTTTGGTTGGTCAACATTGGTTGCTAAGGTTACGTCGACGAGATGACGATTGATGGAGTGAGTAGTATAATCAATCGAGTTTTAAAGGACATCAAGAAAGAGTTTCAAAACGAACGCACTGGAACATAGTTATTTACTGTCCTCCATTCAGGAATTTCAAATTCCAGATCTTTAAGCTTGGGTTACTCGAGAACGGTTCTGAAAGGAGCTGTGCGCGATAGACCGGTGCCTCCGAGCACTAATTTATATAGGAAGGTGCTCGAGGGAAAAGGGGATCTCGGCGCGGAATAGTTCTGAATAGAATTAGAACGCAGCATGGCAGATACTCCTATACTTTACACAAATGGGGCAAAAGTCCAAGCCCCTCCTGCGAGTGCGGCAAAAATCAGACCTTCAAACATATTGTGGAGGAATGCCCCGAAACGGCTTATAACGGCAGAGGAGAAGATTTCCTACTGGCAACTCCAGAATCAATAGATTATATTAATTTGTTAAATGTACGTTTGTAATTTTTTTTCTTTCTTTTTGTCATATACGTAAATAGTTCTGAATTGAATGGAGGGAGAGTATTGCGTTCTTGAACAGTTCAGAGCTGCACAACTGCGTGAATGGAGGACAGTAATTTGTAGTAATGTTTGGCTGCCTTCATATCTGCCATAAGAATGAAAACATAAACTCAACTTTCATGAAAATAAATACATACTGACAATTGCTTCTTAACTGAACCACTATAAATCAAGCATAAAAAAATGTTGCAGTGGAAAATACACTTATCCGCAACATCCCCATTTATTTGTAAGAAATACTCAAATTATCTTGTAAAAACTCAAAAAGTTAAAAAAATGGCGACAAATTAGAAAAGATCCAGCGTCTTTCTTCCATGGATCAAAAATGTGAGTAGGTCATATTTTGTAGTGATGGGAAAAACCGATTAATTTCAATAATCGAGTACTCGAGTTTCAAGCGATTGCAATAACCGAGTGATCGCTCGAGCGAAATATCGCTCGTATTTAATAATACGGGTTTTCGTCCGTCGCTTGTTGTAAGTACTCGTTAACGCGAAGCGCCAAGCAGTAAGTTGCGTGCGCAGGGCACATATTCTTTCGTAATGAATGGCAAGTAACAAGCAACGGATAAATATATATACGCCGTCGTATAAATTTGCTACCTGCAATGTATGTAGAAAATTCACTCGGCTTTTTGTCGAGAATGTCATATTAAAATCGGATTTCAATTTATTTCATTCTAGGATCGTTTGCGTTCGTCGCTCGTAACTCGTCACTTGCATCGCTCGTTCATAATCGAGCGATGTCGGTTATTTCAATAATCGAGTACTCTAGCGAATTTTCGCCCGAGTTATCCCATCACTAATATTTTGTACCCATAAACTACATATCCAAAATGCATCCGTAACATTCTGCGATAACACTATAACTCAGAACTCCTCCAACTTATTCATAGTACTGACATTTAGAGTCCATGTTTCACTGGTGTGGAGCAGAACGGACTAGACATAGCATTGCATAGTTACTGGTATGGCATAGTTACTGGTATTCTATAGTTACATTGGACTAGACATAGCGTTGCTCAACGTAAACACACCTTTCATTTAGACAACGGGTTTTATTTGACTTAGTTTGCTTAGGGCCGGTTCTGCAGTACAAGTATATACCAATTCTTAGAATATCTATTAAAATTTCCGTGCAAAAATTATATAATGTTCGGAGATTATGATTATTCTGAATTTATACTTGCTTTGTAGAATCGGCCCTTAATTTTTTTCATATAAATTGAGTCACTATGTCATTCCCACTTCTCCTTTCCTGGAAAAGCCTCTTCTAATTTAATCTGCGAACGAAGTTTAATTTAAAAGGACTGCATTGTTTACCTTCTATTAAACCCTTTCTATAATCTCCTTTGCGTGAAATTAATCTTTTGTAGTTTAGAAACAAAGGTAAAAATGCCAAAAGTCAGCTTTGTTACCCAGAACGCATTCTCTGATTCACGACAGATCATTCTGAATAAGTCCAAGACAATCTCTCTATTAATTTGCTTTAGATACACTATTAGTTACCTTGCACATAATATACGACAATATAGCACCAGAAGATCCAATAAGAGCACCAACTATTGTCATAAGATTATTACTAAACATTAAACCTTCAGCACAAAGCGCCCAACCTGAATAACTATTTAACACTGTAATCACCACAGGCATATCAGCCCCTAAAATATAAAAAAAGCTAAAGTGCATTTTTCATAAAGCTAATATATTTTATTTACCTCCTATAGCAGAAGTCAAAGTAATTCCCATCGTTGTGCTTAAAGCTGCTGTAGTTCCCAACGCCCCTAGTCCTCCCATCAATGATGGGTCGTAAAATAAATACGCTCCGGCACCAACACTGGCTAACAGAAGTGTAGAGTTTAGTATATGACGTCCAGGTAGAAGTAAGGCGTCAGATTCAAGTAGCCCTTGTAGTTTCCCATAGGCGATGAGAGAACCACTATTAAAATAGTATTAAATACTTATGCATATTTCTTTTATTAAAATACTTAGAAATTACCTGAATGTTACGCCACCAATATAAGTACCCAAAAACAAGGCTGTTTTGATGACATTAGCAGCCGGGTCAGTAGAAAATGTCGGAAAATCATATATAAATGTAGAGAAACAAGTTAAAACAGCCGCTAAACCAACCAAACTAAAAGCAAAATATTTTTATATATAAACGAATGTTTATTATTTTAAAACTTTTCTGACCTATGAAAAGCAGCAACGAGTTGTGGCAAATCTGTAATTTGAATTTTCTTAGCTATAACTAACCCAATAGTACCTCCTCCAAGTGCAACAGCTGCCATCTGCGTTAAAACTTCTGTACTAGGAGCAATTTGGCCCAGAGTTGCAGCTATTCCACCCGCAACGCCTATCTGAGAAATATATGGGACACTAAATAATACACTAATTAAGTACTTCGGATTAAACACCATTTTCTTACCATTCCTAAAATATTGCCCATTCTGGCAGTAACTTGGCTACTTAAACCAGCTAAGGCTCCCACACAGCAGAGCGACGCTGCTAAATATGCTGCTTGGTGGACTTCCGAAAAACCACTCATTTCAGCATAACCGTATCCACCAAGAAATACTGCTGCAGGTATAACATAGAGTGCATTGTAGTCTGGTGGATCACCTGGTCTGTCCAGCATAGCAATATTAGTTGATTATGTCATTTTTCTAGGCATAAATATTACCTTCTGAACATATCCAGCATCCTCCTTGTAACAAAGAAACCTCCAAAAACGTTAATAAATGATATAAAAGCTGCACTTGCTGCTAAAGCCTAGAGAAAATATAGTTAATTTTTCAATTATATTTAAAGTGGTATCTTAAACTCTACAAAGCATATTTTCTCTGTTTCACATTAATGCTAGTCTATTTTACCTTACCTCTACTGAATTAGTAGGATAATATCCTCCGTTCATGAGTAACAAACCTCCAACCGCTATTATACCGGAAATGGCATTTGTTACAGATATTAAAGGCGAATGCAATGCCGGAGTTACTCCCCAAACTGTATGATAACCTACAATTCCTGATAGTCCAAGTACAGTTAGCATTGAAGTATATTCTGGATTAGGTGAGCATATTCCTAGACCCACAATACTACCAACACCTGTAACGTTAAATGTAAGTCCATGAGTTATTAGAAATAAAAAAAAAAACATAAAATATGATTTTGAAAATATAATAACCTGCTGTAGTTAATAATGCACGATCCAAAGTTTTCTTAAAAGGACTTGGTTCAGCTTGAACCCCTTTGGCAGATTCGGCTTCATGCTCCTGGTGAATAGGAGTAGGTGGTGGACCTACAGGTTTTGGAGGTGGCCACACAAGTTTGCCGTTATCTAGAATAATACTTCCTCGAACTATTTCATTTTCTAGATCAATATAAAAATGGTTTTGTTCACCTAGAAATCATATTATTCATTCGTAACAGTAAACTTTAATAATGCTTTGGTAAATTATGGTTTTGTTCACTCACCTATAGACAAGAGGAACTTAGATATATTGTTTGCATAGAGCGTTGAACTTTGGGTGGGTAATAAACTAGGAAAGTCGGTTAATCCGACGTGGGTAACGTCATTAAAAGTATATATCTCACCAGGACGAGTAGTTTCTATGTTACCTCCTGCTTCCGCAGCTAGGTCTACCACTACACTACCGGGTTTCATCGACTTTATGTGCTCCTAAAAAAGCAAACGTAGTGTAGGCCGTAGGTTTCCACACAGTCTCAGTAAGTCAATATTTTTCATTCGTGTAATTGAATTATCTATATTATAATAACAACACAATAACTATTGTTATTATGCTAGCCATGAGGAAAATTAAAAATTTTAATATTTTGAATATTTTAGCAATTAATTATCATCTGATATTTTCATATTTCTGCTAATATACATGTTTGACTGGAATTATCAAATGGGTCATCGGATCATAGTTCATTAGATTTCATCCCTATGAAACAACATAAAAAAAACTTCAGCAAACATGAAAACATAAACATTTTTTTAAAGCTGACTTTCAAAACGATTTTTGATTTAAATCTTTGTTCCAAAATGGAAAATAAATTAAGTCTTTTTAGAGAAGACTTAAGGCATTAAACAGATATGTCTTTTTAGAAAAGCTTAAGACATTAAAAAGATTTGTCTTTTATAAAAAGACTTAAGTCAAATTTTTATATATTTTTAAGATAGTTTTGAAGAGGAAGTAGTAATTGAAGAGTACCGTAGAACCCTCCAGTGCTTAGCTTATGCCATCGACATATTACATAGTGATCAAAACATATCACCACTTTTTATGGACATGTATTCGATGACATCTAAACTGTAATGGATACATATAAAGTACTACAAAGTATAAGTATAGTTATTCTATTATTTATATATTTTTTTAAAACATTTTTCATTGTGTTAAAACATTTTTCATTGTGTAACACATAATAATGAATAAAGAAAGAAGGCTAGAAGGAAAAAAATATATTATCCTCCCTCCATTCTGTGGACGGGTGACCGGTTCGAAACTCTGTATCGTGCTGTTGTTCAAAAAAAAGGCAAAAGTGTAAAATCTATTGACACACACTGCTCATTCAGGCCGGTTCGAGGCCGGATGATATCGGATAGCTCGTGAGTAAGAGTCGATTTAGACACTTGCCAAGTCGGTAGGCCATTGACCATGATATGGCCGAGGACCGCGGTTCGGATTCCGCGTAAACAAAGTAGGCCCCGTCCAGATTAGCCCTGGCAGCAAAAAGGAGACGTTAACTGAAACTTTTACTTTCTTTACTTTTTACTTTGGTTCACCTCTCACCTAAATCTGAATTTTCCTCGCTTCCTTCAGAAATCCTTTTAAGGACACTTTTTGATATTTGAGAAAGTATAGATTGATACATGCTGTCATTGTAATTGTAATTTATTTGTTATAAAGCTCAGCTTGGCATTCTGTAATTTTAACTTTGTATGATTTTTATCCGTATTTTATTGTTTTGTTACTTGACTTTGTTCGTTTAACAAATATATATTTGACCTACTTTGATTTGGGTTGGGTTAGGTTTGATTAGCTTTTCGGCCTGAGGATGGGATTTGATTCCCGAAACATGTTGCCCCCTCCTTTTCCCTCAGTAGAGGATTTTAACTAATTAGTATGTATGTACTCATACTGGGTCGCTAAACGTTTACTTAAATTTTGTTTTTAAATAGTTTAAATTAAATAGTCTTTGTTTAGATCCTAAACTTAAGTAAATGGGTGCTGAATATATGATTATATCATCTGTTGGTGATGCTAACAGTGTTAGAACAACTCGCGTACGCTGTTTTGGTGTATAGTAGTAGCTAGGGATTGCTATGTATTAATAAACAAACATTTAATTTTGGAGATTCTATGTTGTACAAGGTGATCTAATTTGGTCTATTTTAACAGAGAAAACCTATTTCCTGACTAGATAGATTTAATATTTCGTTTCAGTGTACTGAAACAGTATATTTCAGTTTTAGTGAATATTTTACAGGTTATAATTATTCATGACATTATACAGATGCCATAATTATCGTTGATTTTAAATTCAACGGAGAAATTATTACGGATATTATCCATATATTACATACAATTATTTTATACCGGGTGCGTCTCAAAAGTGGCTCACCCCTATAACTTTTTTATTTTATCAGATAAAAAAACAAGCTTTGGTATGTTAGTATATGACATAAATTAGGATTGATTGACGTATTCCATTCTTTTCGGAAACCACTACACCGGAAATAACTACAACTTTTGATTTTTAAATAGCACACCCTCGGTATTTTTTTACTTTATTCGATAGAAAATTATATTCTGAATAGAATGACATATCATATGTCAACATTTAACATTTTTGCTTAAAACAAAATTGAATTTTAAATTTCAATCTAGAGTGCCACGACTGTGACACTCTAGAAAGATTTAATCGTCTAATGTTATTCGTGTCTTATCCTGGTGGATTAAAAGATGCCCAAATTGTATTTTAAATCATATCTCAATTTTTTCAAATGGAACGAGGGTGGCTCATTAGCATATTTGTAAAAGGCATTTTTTACGAATAATTTGGTACCACACACTTGATATTTCGAGTCAAATTGTCGAAATTAATCGCATTCGAATTGTCAAAATGAATCGCATGTTGCAATTTCCAATAAACCATATTCGAAAATGTCAAAAGTTGACATATGTTATGTCATTCTATTCAGAGTGACATTTTCTATCGAATAAAGCAACAAAACACCGAGAGTACCATTTAAAAATCAAAAGTTGTAGTCATTTCCGGAGAAGCAGGAAGTGACAGAAAACAACTGAATACGTCAATCAGTCCTAATTTATGTTATATATTAATATACCAAATCTCGATTTTTTATCTGAAAAAATAAAAAAGTTAGAGGGGTGAGCCACCTTTGAGACGCACCCGGTATACAATTAGTTTACCTTTAAAATTAATATTGGGGCTTTCCTGCCTGGAATTAAAGCAGTAGATATAATAATATCAATCTCTTTACACTGTTTTGCGAATAGTGCATGCTCTGCTTCTATAAATGCTTTTGACATTTCCTTGCTGTAGCCTTCTGCATCACCTCCCTCTTCCTGAAATTATAAAAATAAGATTTAAAATATTCCTAGAATATTCAAAATTATGAAATTCTACCTCAATGTTTACTGTTAAAAATTGTGCTCCCAATGATTCTACTTCTTCTTTAACAACCGATCGAGTATCAAATGCTCTTACTATAGCGCCCATAGATTTAGCCTGTCCAATTGCTGCTAAACCAGCTACTCCACCTCCTATAATGAGTACTTTACTTGGTGGCACCTTACCAGCTGCTGTTATTTGACCTGTTTTAATTGAAAATTAAGCTATGAGGATTAAATATATTTTGGAGAGGAAATTTAGTACCTGATAGAAACTTAGGATAATGGTTTGCTGCTTCTATAACAGCTCTGTATCCGGAAATGTTTGCCATTGAACTAAGTGCATCAAATACTTGAGCTCTGGTTATTCGAGGAACACAGTCCATAGCTGTAAATAAGTATCTGTTAAATCAACAAACAGAAATATTGCATGATTTTTACCAAAGGCAGTGATTCGTTTATCGCCCAATTTCTTAACCAAATCGACATTTTGTGCAGGATATAAAAAAGATATTAACATTGAACCATCCTTAAAACTTGGTACTTCTTCTACAAGGGGCTGTCGTACTTTTAGAATAATATCTAGAATAATATTCGTGGTTATTCCAAATTAACTTTTTCTTAATTTTACAACCTGAATTAAACACTTTTTCATTGTTTACTAGCTTTGCTCCCGATCTCTCATAATCTTCGTTACGAAACTTGGCTAGAGAACCAGCATTTTCTTCAATATTCACAGTAAACCCCTTTTTCAGAAAGATTTCTGTTACTGCTGGGGTAATTGCAACTCTAAAAAGTCCAATGTATTAATATACAATCATACTTTACATATAACATATGCTTATATGCAAATTGATTCAAAATTCTCTTGATGAAACATGATATGTCAATTAAACAGTTACTAATTGGACAGAAATAAGGATTCCTTTGCTAAGAAAAAAAAACAAAAAAATGCCATAAATAAATTAAATATATTTCTTTTAAATTATTTATTAATAAAGTTAGCTATTATATTATTATTTAAATATCTTTTTAAAGGTTAACATTATTATAACGGATTTGTTAATGTGGTTTCGTGATAATTTTTTTTTCTTACTCCTGATGACAATAGAAGATACATTTCTTGAGTCGTTAAGTATTTCTTATTAATTAGTCAATGATGTACATACGACATCATATGCCATAAGAACTCCCATATTTTTCCGTAATGAACTCGTCACAAAGGTATGGCAATTATTTACCTTAAATTTGATCGAAACACCAAATCCTCCAAACTTCAAATTGTACTTTTATACAGTTGTTAGTACTCTGTACTAAGCTTTAAAGCGTACTCAGTATTATCCTTATAGCCTTATCACCGCACTAGTCGCGGTTGAATAACATCAACTTTATTTTTAATGTCTCTTAATGACATTAAAAATAGGTATCATAATCGGATAAATTATGTACAGTCTAGTTGAGTATGATAAGATATAACCATACCAAAATTTCATTGTAATTTTCTCTAGTGATGAACGGACTTTATTGTAAATAAAACGTTGTCGAAACATTATTAAAGTTTCGGCAAAAATTTTCCGTAATGAACTCGTCACAAAGGCATAAACATTATTTAGTGTAAATTTTATAGAAAGACCAAATCTTCCAAACTTCAAATTGTTCTTTTATATAGTTGTTGGTACTTCGTACTATATTTTAAAGCGTACACAGAATTACTATTATAGTCTTACTACTATAATAGTCGCGGTTGAAAAACATCAACTTTATTTTTTATGTCTTCGTCATTAAATAGGTATAATAATCGAATAAGTTATGTACAGGGTGAGTCAACGATAGAGTAAAGTCCATTATCTCATTTGTTTCGAGGTTTAGAAAAAAATATTAAATATAAAAATTATAGGGGCGATTAAGATACACATTCTTAAATTATTATAGAGTATACAGGGTGCTTCAAAAAAGTGTGGCGAATATAACATATGTTTTTTTAAACGAAACACTATATTTTTTATTTCATTTTTAGATTCTGCGTAAAATTCTATAACTTTTTTATATATAATATTGATACGGATTCCGTGGGTCCACTAATTTAAGCTCACGATAAAATACTTAACAAATTTATTTTCTCACTATATACACACAATTCATACTGATTTCAGCACACAATTAACTATTTAAACATCCATCACCGATTTGTCACCGTTCGCTATTCAAAAACTGACTGTACTTCAAAACTGACTGCCGAGCGCGGGTGCGCTTTATATATCCCAGCGGCTGCTTCCAGAACGTTCGGAAATTATCTGTAGTATTCTTTTTCTTACTAGTAAATTCTTTCTAGAATATCGAGATTTCCCACTTAAGTCTCACAGATGGCGCGCTACTCAATTCGCTAGGTTTCTTGACAATGTAAACAGGTAGTTAGTGGTTTTATGCTCTGCCAACATATGTCGCCACACACCTTGACAATATTACTGAATCACTTGTATGTTCTTGAAACGGCTGGGAGCTTAAAAATATAAGCATAATATCGACGAAATTTTAAAATGTGGTTTAAAATTTCTAGAATTAAAAAACATCCACCTGTAAAACCTTTTTCAACAAATCTGTATATTATTTTTAATATTTTAATAATTATTATATTAAGATATCCCAAGTTCTAACGCGCGCTTACAGTCCCACGGCATATGGGAAAAAGACCACCCATAGATTAAAACAAATAAATTTTTGATAGGTTTTTACTGGCAATCTTTAGAATATACCTCTATATTGGTTAGGGATAGAATTAAACATGTGATAAGATAAATTACTGTAAAATACCTTTAGATAAAATACCTTTTTTCATTTTTCCAAACTTCTTTCGGGACTCCTATTGTCAAGTTCGTGTAAGGAATTCCCCTAGGTCGAGCATCTGTATTATCTCCAGAAAAATGTCTTTGCTCTAATATTGTGGTTTTCCTGAGACTTAATAATCTCTTCTTGTTGGTCAATCTAAGAATTCCTCTAGCCATCGTAGTAATATCATTTCAAAAACACTTAGAACTAAAATTTATATAAAATTTATTCGTATTAATTGAAAACTGGTCCAATTTTAACAATCTTTTGATGGAATGCTAATTAAACTGGTTAAATATGCGTCCACAAAGCTAAAAAGTATTGTGGAATTGTATGGTACAACAGGGTACAACCTAACCTAATTAAAAGTGTATTGAACACCGGGTCGGAGATATGTTGATTGGGTGCTAGAACCAATCATAGTCTTTGGAGAGCTGCAATTGGGGATAATTTTAACTTCTTCCACGATAGTGCACCTCCCCATACCAGCAGAGTGACTAGAGAATGTCTTGAAACGGAAGGTGTCATACTTTTGGACTGGCCTGCCTATTTACCAGATCTAAACCCTATCAAACACTTGTGGGACTAGCTCAAAAGAAGGGTTAGAGCTCGTCGAAACAATCCAGGAAATCTCGCATAGCTTATTGATGCAGCATTAGCATAATGGGAAAACATACCCCAAGACAACGTGGATAATTTAATAAGAAGCATACCAGCGCGGATAAAAGCTTACATAAGGGCTAGAGGTAGCAACAAGGAATATTAAAATTATCAATTTTATTTTTGTTTATGCTTTTTTGGCCATTAAAAATGTAAATCTTAATTTCGTTTCAGAAACCAAAAAATACCATTTTGTTTATTTTGGGAACTGATTATTTTTTTTTATTCTTATATGGATTATTTTTCATTAAAAGTCATTGGTAAGGACTGAGTTTTATTCATAAACAGAAAATTTTCATACAACTCAAAAATCATGAAAAATAATAGATGATTCCATATAAGTTTGGTTTTGTATACATAAAAAATAGACGCTTTCGCTTGGCACTTGTAATTTTTATTAGGACATGCAGTATGGTATTTATTACGTTTCTAATGTAATAACTTAATATTGAAAAATTTGGCACTTATCCCCTTTGGTATTTCCACTCTTCAATTAGGAAGCAATTAGGGAAGGAGCTGTTAAAAATATTAATAATTTAAGAAGCTTAAGAAATTTTCTAGAAGGGATTAAGAAAGCTACGATTATGTAAGTCCTTATTTTGTATGTTGAACGAAATAATAATAATTATAATTAATAATTATATATGAAAATACAGTAATGTTTTACATCGAAAAACATGTCGATTTCACAAAAACATCTGTCAAAATTTGTAATTTTAAAATGAATTCACAAAACATCCCCCTTTAGAACTTTTTCTTTAATGGCCATAAGCGGGAGTAAAAGCCCAACCGCCCGAACAAACACTAGAGGCGCCACCGGTCATCAAGTGGTGTAAAAATTGCGAAAATTTAATCTTCTAATTTTGACACAAGAGGTCGGGCTTAACTTTTTCAATTTTAATTCAATATTCATTGCTTTCAAACTATATTATTAGACTTTGTTGTATTTTGTGAATGTATAAATGTTTTCTAAGTATAAAGTTGCATTATAGTAATTTAAATTATATTACATACATATTTAAGATTCAAATATTATGACATATATGTCAGTTGCCGTCTAAAATGTCATCTTGATAAGAAAAAGTTAGTTATTGTCAAAAGTAGTTAAAATCATGTTAAAATATTAAAATTTACAAGTTATAATTAGATATTTTATATTATTTCAACAACAAACACATAATAGTACAGCGTAATGTTGACATGCAGGTTCAAAACAAAAAGTGCCGTTATATTTTTCAGTTTTCGTTGTCAGACGCGGAAATTTCAGTGATTTTAGTGTTGTCGGATATTTTTATTTGTGAAATAGAAATATTGCGTTTGGATTGCAAAACTAAAAGTGGAAGTTTTATTGCAATGTAAGTAAGCGTTTGTCCATTTTATATTTTACTTTTTTCATACCTACGACAAATATACATATATTGAAATTTTATAATTCGTTTTATTTAAAAAATGTCAGAAAACAAGCTTGAAATCCTGTAATTGACATAATTGTTATGTAATATATTCCATTTAAATGTAATATATTACTTTACAATTAAAAAAATGTAAATTTAAAAAATATATTAAAATATATACAGGCATTAATTGAATTTTTTTGAGTGCGAACAAACACGAGAGGCGCTTTATTATTTACTTTCATTTCTTAACATGATAGACGAAGTTCTAAAGGGGGATGTTTTGTGAATGAATTGACATACTTTGCTGAAACGTGCTGGTTTTTCAATCGGTACCAATCACTTATTCTAAAATCCACTAACAAACGTTTGCCCACTATATACACATGGCCAAAATTATTGCATATAACGATATTTTTATTTTATTTTGGACCTGATATGATTCTTTTTATATTTTTGGACATATTGGCTGACTACACGACTAACTAATATAAAATTAAAAATCTAAGTGCAACTAGGCTGTTATTATAATTTTATTTCACAATGAGTGAAAATCAACAAAAACAAATTTCAAATTAAACAGAAAATATTGAAAACAATTTTAATTATTTCTCACAACTAATAGTCTGTAGTGCCTCCTCGAGCCTCAATGCAAGCTGTGAGACGACGTGGCATGCTCTCAATTAAGTTGTCTAGAAGATGTTGAGGAATGACTTCCCATGTTTCGCGCGCAGCAATTTTCAACTCTTTTAAGGTACGGGGGGATCATTCCTTTTGGCAATATGGCGTTTTAGCATTTCCCAAGCATGCTCGATCACATTCATATCTGGAGACATCGGTGGCCACCACAGTTTTCTTATACCCTCTTCCTCACAAAATTCGCGAACCGCTAAAGTGCGATGGGGAGGAGCATTATCGTCCATCTAAACAAATTCATCCCCCACTGCCCCTCGAAACGGACGTACAATAGGTTCTAAAACGTCTCTAAGATAAAATATGAGGCACCTGTCATTGTGCCATCAACAAAAACAAGAGGAGTTCGAGCTCCGTGCATTATACCTGCCCATACCATAATGCTTCCCCCTTGAAACGGGACACGGGGTTGAGCTGCATTCAAGTGTGCTCGTTCATTGTTCATTCAAAGTTCGTCACGAGTCTGACACTAGGCCTATTCTTGTTTCATCACTAAACATGACGAAATTCCAATTAGGTCTATTTGCTCTCATATCCTCAGCCCATTGTAGTCGCGTAATTTTGTGCTGTAAATTAAGCTTCTGAACACGTAGAGACCTCCTTAAATGTAATCCTCTGTTATGGAGTCTTCTTGCTATGGTCTTTCTTGAAACATTTACTCCTTCAAGGCGAGCTAAAACTCATTTTTAATAGCAGTACTAGAAAGCAGGGGATTGCGTCGCGCAATTAGGGATATTTGACAGTCTTGCATAGCAGTAGTAACTCTCTTTATTAGCTCTTTTCCAGGCCGGTCTGTAACCTCGTTTGTTTCCCCGAATTTTTTTAATATTCGCGAAACATGGCTTTGGTTAACTCCTACAATTTCAGCTATTGCAACTTGCCGGTAGCCCTGTTGAGACAGTGTTACTATTCTGACTATTAAACTGTGAAATAATGTTTCTAGGCATTTTAAGGCCAAAACAATGGCCAAATTTCTTCTGAAACCCAAGAAACCACAAATCGAAATGTGCAAGAATTTGTAATAATATTGGGTCTGAAAGTCTGAACGATAAACATTGTTTACCATAATCCATTTTAACAAAAAAATATTTATTACAGATTATCAAAGCTATGTATAAAAAAAGATTCTTTAAATTCCTTTTCGTATATTTTTAAACGATATATACAATAATTTTGGCCATGTGTGTATTTCAATTATTTTGAATCTCTTATATCTTACGGTAGAATGGGCAACTATTCTCTGGGGTAACGGGACAACCTATTACGCCTATCAAAGCGCCTATCTATCTCTTTTCTCGTCTAAAATTCCTCTTGAAACAACATAAACATTTTTCATTTACCTGCAGATACTTGACAGGTTTTGTCATTTTGTCATTAGATAATTGACAAGTTTTGTAATTAGAGAAAAAACTTTAATTATTAAAATTTTGAGAAAAATTCCTCTATCTTCATAAAAAATTTCGCTTGCTCTAAAATAGTTAGTCACGTTTAAACTTTTGCAGTTCTCCATATTAAAAAAATAGAATATGTGACTGAATTTTTACGTCCTAAACATGGTCCTAAACAGTCCTAAAATCAAAACGTGTTTCTACAGTAATATTATTTCGGTTTCATTTGGTTTCATTCTTTGATAGATGGTTATTATCTGTTAATCTGTTATTATTAATTTTTATTCTTATTAAATCATATTTTTTGCTGTTTTAAAATGGGACGTCAAGTAGCAAGACCCGTCTTGTCCATTTTTTTAAAAAATTGTGTAATGACATATATTAATAGTGGGCCCTGAAATCTACATAAACGTGGTTTCAAACTGCAGCAAAAGTCACCTATTTCCTATATAAAATTCACTATCACAAACATCCCTTCACTACAAATTACGTTACTGCAACAAAATACGTATATTTGTTTCTTATTGTCATTATTGTTGCAAATCATGTATTTTTTCATAGGCTTTTTACACAAGTATAATATTACTACTGACGTTTTATCGATTACAAATCCTTACCTAATTTTACACAAGTATTTTTTTTACACAAGTATAATATTACTACTGACGTTTTATCGATTACAAATCCTTACCTAATTTTTAGGAATTATAATATTTTAAAAAAATATTGATTTTATTTTAAGGAATTATTGATTTATTAATTATAATATTACATATCTAATAAATCAAGTTAGGATGCAAATATCTTGCTGTAGCAAAACCCGCAATATGCATCATACTGCAACAAAATCTGCCTTATCCGAATTATTTTTGTTTTTTCTCTTTAAAACTTAAATATTAATTTTTATTTCTTCGGCACGTTCAAAAAACACTAAGAACTTATTTGAGTATATATTTTTATTACAAAAAATGGTTTACATTATGAAAATAATCTTTTAATTAAAAAATACACTTGTGGTTATAATTGCAAAGTACATGTGCCATCTAAAATGCAGTATTTACAACGTTTACAAAAAATACTTAGGTTGTATAATTTCCTGAGGATATCATTTTTTTTTCATTCTGTACAGAAAACTGTACAAGTAACTCAGACTATGTTTCTCCTTATTTTTAATTACAAATTACTAAACATACTAAGTTGTGAGTTGTTTTAATACGCACGCAAATATCTCTATTTGCAATTTATATACTGTTTGTAAAAGAAAAAAAAACATTTATATGATCAAATACAGTTTTGTAATGTACATAGTATTAAAATTACTTTCTTAAACCCTATAAATATATAAAGTTTGTTCGGCTAGCAGAGATAGTGAAATCATATCAAACGTCATATGATTACATAAAAAATCAATTAACTCTCTATAGTAGTCTATAGGATTAAAAGATGTACCTAACAGGATATTGTTTTAACCTCGGTTTTAACAGATACATTATGAAAAAATCATTATATATCTAGTATTTGGTATATTTGTATTATTAACTTATAATGGAAAATATTATCACCTATAAGTCTGGTGCATTTTAACAGATATTTTAAAATTCCGACAGCAGCGCTTGGTACGGCAGAATCAGAACTATCTTGCCAGTTGATTTCACGCCGTTACAGTTCATATTGATCGCATTGAAATAATATTGAAATTGTGGCTACGTCATAATATTTAAATATTTTGGTTTTTATCAGTGCAGTTATTGAAACTATAAACTTATCAGGTACGATATTTAATAGAACTCTTTCAGAACAATATTTTATAGCTTTCCAGTTAGAAAAAGAAACAAGTGAGTAAACAAAATACCCGTTACACAGTCAAAAAATTAAATAAACATATACGATGAGGATAACCTATAATTTGACCAATATTAATGATATACCTACGTTTTATCAATTAGCGTTTAATTTTTTTATAAACATCTTCTGAAATTATAATTATGAACCTTTAAAAATTAAGATTATCCAGATATTTACAACAAATAATGAGAAAGTTTTCCTGCTTTGTCCTCAAAATATGACAGATCCTAATTGTATAGAGTTACCACAATAAATCGCAATAAAAATCAAAAGAGTACATCTAAAATATGAAAGAATATGCTCGCTTGTCCATTCTAGGATAAATTACTTAATACACTATTATTTTTAACATACATATTGAAATAGCAATATCCAAATGTTGCGTTCGGTAATTTCATGGTACGTTATTGTATGGTATAGTTATAGACCAGTCTTAAGGCGCATTCTCACGTCTGGTGTACTTGACAAACATTTGTTATTGGTATATACTTGCCATGTCGTGAGAACGGTTTCCTTGGTCAGTCGTCGCGTCCCCACTCTCTGTCGGTAAATAGAGCCCGAGTCAAAGGATCACAATAATTATTCGTACACTTGCCAAGTGTACTTGGCCAGCCTTGTCTACACTTGCCGAGGCGCAAAAAAAACACTGCGTAAATAATTGTACTGTTATAGCGTATGTCCCATTTATTTCCGGATCGTAGTGTGTTTCGAGTTAATTGCGGATAATTTAAAACGTTATCACAATAGTAGATGATATAATATCAAATTTACATTAATAACTTCAATATTGGCAACATACCTAAATCGTTCCTTCAGGAATAAATGGAGTGGACAAATGAAGACTACACGGGAAAAACCCTATATGTCACATTTTCATAGAACATAAGATAGCGATACAACTTTATAGTAAATGTTAGTGTTATTCGAGAAAAAAAAGCAATAATACGCTTAGTCCCAGAGATATTACTACTTGGTTATTTTGCCGTACAAGGGAAAAACCAGAGTAGTCCACGTGCAAATGGCAGAAACCAGAGATGTCCTTACGCATGGGCGACAAGTATGCATCTTGCAATTAGTATTATATGTTATAAATTTATGTATTGTAATAAAAACCTACCTAAATATTAATTTTCTTCCTACAACAAAAAATAATACCTAGTTTAGATTTAGATTTTATACAACCTTTAATTGGACATCCCTGTTTTTGCCCTGTTTTGTTTTGCATTTTGATATTTTTATTTCGATATTTCAGATTATGACGATAATTCCCAATATTAATAATTCAGAATTAGTAGTAATATATGTTTTCTAATTATTCAACCGAAAATAACATATTTCTTTATAAACACTAAATTGCATTTTTCTCGGCTCCAATTAAAATGGACAAAAGTAGGTTTTCCCGTGTAGTCAAATGATGTTGTTTTGGGATTTATGGATTTATACGAAAATGAGCCCTTCATATGGATGGCCACACATAAAGAACATAGAAATCGTATTGCAGTGTACAGTAAGAGAACTTAAAAAGAAAGAATCACTAGCAACGACAATTTCGGGACGACCGGTATCCATCGATGCGACTATACTGTTTACTTGCCACGGATTTAAACAATAGAGAACAACGGCACAGCCTACAAACACGTAAACGTTTACGTACGCATGCGCATTTGTTATATTTTTACACGTACAAGATTCTTTACGTCTACGTATACGTGCCAGGATGCGGCCGATTCGACCGTAGGTCGTTGTTCTCTAAATGTTTGTGGTGGCGTACTTGTTGAAATGAACACGTCGTGTGAGCGCCACACTTGCCGATGTTGTTTACAAAGTTGGGACTGGTGGGGATACTTGCCAAGTACGCAAATATTGCCGTACTTGCCAAGTAAACCAGTCGTGAGAATGCGCCTTTAGATTTCTTTACAGTTCCATTTCTCTGTCTATATCATCATCTATATCTACTGGTATAAATTATATATATACTATAGTCGTAAATTATGGGTATTGCAATAAAAAGATAATTTGTCTTAATACACTGCTGAAAACTGCATGAAAGATAGAATAATTGCACAAAAAGAATCAATATTATAATGGTGGTTAACGAAACACTATATTCAATCCAAGACTGACGTTCATTACTCACAGTCTATTGTTCCTTGTCATGAACAATGTTATAAACTTTGTATTATTTCTACATGATGATGATATATTATTCGACATGAGTTTACCGAATGCAGCTATACCCTTTTTCTTGATGCACTATCTCTTCTTTGCGAAAAAACCTTGACTTAACCTACAGAAATTAATACTAAATATTTCTAGCCTAATGGACTATCACTATCCTTCGGCTAAAAATTTGGAACACTTTATCAGCTTCGTCATTATATGTACATTTTAAAAATTACCTATTTTATGCATTTATATGTTTTACGAATATTTTTTGTACAATTTTTAAAGAACTTATCCTATAACATCAATAATTATTCTTCTAGTAAAATCTTATGCAATAATGCATCACAAGTCTTCTTCGCATCGCCAAGCAGCATAGAAGTATTTGGTTTAAAGAAGACTGGATTATCGACAGCAGCATATCCAACACCTATTGATAAAAAATATATTTAAAAATAATTTGATATTATATGATCGTTGAATACTAGCTGGAAATATGGTCTTAACTTTTTCAATTTATTATATTAAATAAAATTATTTGGTTCATCTATAAATTAAACTAGAAGTTCACTTACCTAAAGATCTTTTCATAACAATTACATGTTCAGCCTTCCAGACATTGAGTACCGGCATTCCAGCTATGGGCGAATTAGGGTCATCCACCGCAGCGCTATTGACAGTATCGTTAGCTCCAATAACTAATACTAGATCAGTATCAGAAAATTCGTCGTTTATTTCATCCATTTCAAAGACATCGTCGTAAGGTACTCCTGCTTCTGCTAGCAGAACATTTAATTGTCCTGGCATACGACCTGGAGAATATGTCGCATGTTTAAAAAAAATATCTCAATCTCATCAATATAGGAATCCGTGTGGCACAATCTCAAATGGGAATTAATTTTTGACACTTGAATATTTTTTACATTGTATACAGGGTGTACCAGAAATAAGTGCAAGTATTTTAACTGGTAGTATAGTTCAACCACAGAAACACGCCCATGAGGTTTTTTTTTGCGAAAAAAATTTTTGAAAATTCGAAATTTTTTGAAGTCTTTTGGAATTTTTTTTTAGTTTTTAATTAAAAAATATAATTTCTTGATAATATGGCAACATAGGTATTAGATTAAATTTACAAGAAAGAAAATCCAGAAAAGATCCAGTGGTTCTCAAAATTTTAACAAAAAATATTTTTTTTGTAAATTTTCAAAGTAAAATTACTCCGTTATTTTCTCTCCGACTTATTTGAACAACGATAAAGAGAAAATATGTTTCTTTTATCGAGATCTACCACCCCTTAAAATACTTGCTTTTATTTCTGGGACACCCTGTATAAATTGTGTAGTTCATAGAGGCAACTTGGGTTTATATCAATTTGGGGAAAATAATGTTTCATTTTTTTACGTTCATTAAACGTTAGGTAAGGTTAAATTGTATTATACCATTTTTACCTATCCCTTCAAGTTTTCGTAGAAAATGCATTTTCTTATAATTTAGACCTCATTTATCAATACACCCATGGAATATTGACATTTTAGATTGTTTTTAAAGAAACAAATGTAAAAAATGTATAGGTGGTAAAAACGATAATATTACTAGCCCATTTGTATACAAAAAGAAAACTATTTAAATCTTTATAAAAGAGTATACCCTTAATTAAATATACCACCATTATTTCCGCCCTGATATTAATTAATTACGTACTTAATTGTTTTAGTTAATAAATTATTCTAAATAAATGTGTATTTTAATCAGAAATCGATATAATAAGATATGAAAATGAACGTCTCTGTTGTTATAAATAAGCATTCGTCAAAAAATTAAATACAATTTTGAAGGTGTTACTCTTTACCACTCTGTCTAATACACATAAAAAAATCAGTTTTTTAGCGTTGTAAATTGCGGAGCAATTATTATTATTATTAATTATTATTATTGTTAATCAACGCAAACAGTAAATTAATGCAGTTTGATTACTGGAATCATATTAATTGGTCCTCTTTAACAAATATTTAAACCGTTTTTTTATTTTTTAATGAAATAAACGCACTGTATCGACAATATTAGTATTTGTACTCTTTAAAAATTTGTTACATCTTTAAATATAATTTAATATGTCAATATTCCATGGGTATATTGATAAATGAGGTCTAAATAATAAGAAAATGTATTTTCTAGGAAAACTTGAAGAGATAGGTAAAAAATGGCATAATACAATTTGATAGACAATTAAATTGTGCATCTGATTCTCATAAAATATACAGGGTGTTCCATTTAAATTAAACGAGTTATTGTCACTTAAAGCTAGTAATTATTTAAAATAATTTTTTAGAAGCTTTGTATAAGGTAGCATTATTTTTATTACTGCAACACAAAACTTAGAAAATAGAAATGCTTCAGTACAATATTTGGTTTTAAAAACTTAAATACGCTTAGAAAAATGAAGCATTAAAATTATTACTGTATTTTGACAAAAACCTAAATATTTCAAAAACGGTAAGATTAAAATGCGGTAAACTTTAATCAAATTTACCTTTATATATATATATTTATACTATAACTTTGATACTTTTTATTGGGACATATTGTATATTATATATACATATATATATTATATATTATTTGGGACACTCTGTATTTTGTAAAAATATTTTTAAATTGTAGCTCTAGTACTTCAACGAACCCAAAACGTACAATTTGCAAAAATCTAATCGTTTAGCTAAATACTCTGTGTCGTATGGGGTGAACAACCCTGTATAAGTATTTCACTTTGAATAAGAAGACTAAAAATTAAAAATTAAAAATTCTTCTTATTCAAAGGTATTTCAGGATACACTTTACTTCCCGCTTGTATTCCTATATTTACTACGCTCATATTTTGATAATATTTGCTCAATAAATAAACCTTTTTGCATTATGTTATTTTAATCATAGAAGAAAACCTGGGACCTAAGCGAGCCTAGTCAAAACCTCCAAAGCTAGGTCGCTACAATATTACTATCCGAAACTTTGTAAATTAAAAAACTTGTAAATTAGAAAATAAAGGCAAAGGAAGTTTGACGTAACGTCAGTAAGTGGCGCAACTAAAGCGGGCTAGGAGTGCTTAGCCCTCTACTTCAAAATTAGCCCCCCAGACGAATGTTTGTTTAAACATTCAAGACGAAGGGTTGTTTAAAATTAGGTTTAAGCTCAAATTAATATTGTCTTATACGTGACCTAAGCCCCCCAAAAGACTTGTGCTCGCCTAAAAGTTTGTGTCTAGTTGCGCCACTGACGTCAGTTTTTTTTTCAAAATGAAATAGTGCTTAGTCAACAGGCTAGTGACTGAAACGAGTATTGATTGAGCTTAGTTGGAGCCTTTAATGAAACAGTACAGTTACAGTACCTCTGCTTCTTCCCCTCAATCCCGTGTAACTTATTTTTCATATTGTATTTTATAATTTGGCCGCATATTTCAGCGTTTATAAAAGCATTGTTTTTTCGTTCTTGAGGTCGCCCGAGCGTTGAGTAAGAGTAGCCATTTAGGCTAGACTTCGCGCAGCCTGGTGATCCAACCCCTCAACAATTTTATGTTTTGTATAATATGATATAAATTGTAATATTTTTTTCTTTTTTGAATAAAGACTTTTTATCATTATTATTATTATTATAAATATTGCGACTTTGAAGCAAATTCTTAAAAGCACACGAGAACAGCTTAACATATTTTAGATTTTGATTCAATGCAAAATTTAACATAAGAATTTCCAAATAAAAAATAATATAATACCTGCGACTGGATGAATAGCAAACCGAACGTTTTTGCCTCTACTTTTCAGTATCTCAACCATTTCGGCGATGGGATACTGAGCTTTGGCAACACACAATCCATATCCAGGAACAATGATGATGTTTCGAGCGTTTCTAATAGTTTCAGATGCTCCATCAATGTTAATTTCGGTATGAGTGCCGGTAATTTCCATTGGCTTACCGCCTCCTGTACTTGAAGTGCCATAACCACCAAGTATAACATTGGGAAGTGATCTGTTCATTGCCTAAAAAACAAAGCAAGGTTAAAAATTGATAAAAAAGTTCAAATAAGTTTGATCGAATATTTTATCGTATTTTGTGTAAAAGCTACAGAAAAAGATATTTCAAGAACAATGCACTATCGAAATTACTTCATTGGCCTTAATTTTGATTATTCAATAAAAAGGGTGCAAATGTATTCCGGAAACTTCGATAGCATATTCTGCAGATAAAAATAAGTAAAAAAGTTTGTATAAATGTATGACCTAAAATGTTTAGTTTCGGAGATACAGGGTGTAGAAGTTTCATTTTTATTTCGTTTTTGTCCAAATAATTTCTCAAGTAACGTCAATATTTGGATGAAAATTGGTGTCTGGTAGTATTTTGACATGAGAAATTTGATTCTGATGTCAACATAACTCCTAATTGTAGAGGGCGCCACCTACATATTTTTTAACTGGTTTGAAGCGTAATAACTTTTTATCCGTACCTGTAAGTAAAAGTAAGTTATCCGTACTTGTACCGTAAAAAAAGACTTCTTGGTAAAAATTTCTATAAGTAATGGTTCTCGAGATATTTGGAATCGAAATTATCAATACTTGTCATAATTGAACATGTTGACTAAATAGTTATGAGACTGAAATCATAAATTTGAAATGTTTTTGTGCCAAAAGTTCAATAGAAACTGTTTTATCATCATTTTATCGAATAAAAATTTTGATTAATTTATTTTATTTTTTTTTAAATAAAATGTTTCCAAATTTATCATTTCAGTCAAATAACTATCTACTCAACATGTTTGACAAAAAATGTCAATAATGACAAGTATTGACTACTTCCATTCTAAATATCTTGAGTTGCTCGTAACCATTTTTATCAAAAGACATTTTTTACGTAAAAAATCACGGAAATGTATATTTTTTCACTCAGCAGTTTTATACAGGTACGGACAAAAAGTTATTACTATTCAAAAGAGTTAAAACACATGTAGGTGGCGCTCCTATTTATAGAGATAAATAGGAGTCATATTGACATCAAAATCAAATTTCTCATGTCAAAAAACTCCTAGACGCCGATTTTCATTCAAATATTGACGTTACTTCAGAAATTATATGGGAAAAATCGAAATAAGAATGAAATTTCCACACACTGTATCTCCGAAACTAAGCATTTTAGGACATACATTTATACAAACTTTTTTATTTATTTTTATCTGCAGAATATGCTGCCGAAATTTCCGGAATACAGTTCGGACCACCCTGTATAATAATAGCCAATAATACCACCCTGTATTGGCTATTATTATACAGGGTGGTCCGAACTGTATTCCGGAAACTTTGGCAGCATATTCTGCAGATAAAAATAAATAAAAAAGTTTGTATAAATGTATGTCCTAAAATGGCTTAGTAGACCGGACAGTATATGGTTTTGTATTGTTTTAGTATACTGTTTTTGTATTATTGCTTCTCAAGCCTTGTATAATAGTAAAGAAAAAGGGTTGAAATTTTTGAAAAAATAAACTGTAATGAGTGATTACAACATGATGATTAATTTGATAATGATTAATTACAACAATGACACTGTGCCGCTGCCGGTGGTCTGTTGCAAAAGTTGTACTTTATCTTTATATTTTAGTAGAAATAGTCGATTTTGTAGTTTTTCTTATAAGTCTAAGATGTATTGAAGGTATATATAGGTATTGAAGGTAAGTATTGTGCGTTTACTCAGTTTCGACCTGAATTCTGTTCAAGATAACCTCTCTGTTAATTTGTATTAGCTGTACGACTACTTACCTTGCACATAATATAAGACAGTATGGCACCAGAAGATCCAATAAGAGCACCAACTATAGTCATGAGATTATTATTCAACATAAAACCTTCAGCACAAAGCGCCCAACCAGAATAACTATTTAATACTGTAATCACCACAGGCATATCAGCACCTAAAATATAAAAAAAGCTAAAGTGCATTTTTCGTAAAGCTAATATATTTTATTTACCTCCTATAGCAGAAGTCAAAGTAATACCCATCGCTGTGCTTAAAGCTGCTGTAGTTCCCAACGCCCCTAGTCCTCCCATCAATGATGGCTCGTAAAATAAATACGCTCCAGCACCAACATTAGCCAACAGAAGTGCAGAATTTAGTACATGACGCCCAGGTAGAAGTAAAGGGTTAGATTTAAGTAACCCTTGTAGTTTCCCATAGGCGATGAGAGAACCACTATTAAAATTGTACTAAATAGTTATGCATATTTCTTTTATTAAAATATTTAAAAATTACCTGAATGTTACGCCACCAATGTAAGTACCCAAAAACAAGGCAGTTTTGATAACATTAGCAGCAGGGTCGGTAGCAAATGTCGGAAAATCATGTATGAATGTTGATAGACAAGTCAAAACAGCCGCTAAACCAACCAGACTGAAAGAAAATCATTCTTTATAATCTGAGAGTTTAAATTTGATAAAGGTTTACTAAAAATGTCATACCTCTGTGGCGGATTCATCCAATGACGTCTAAATAAAATGCGATCAGCCCGTCTTTTTCCCACTCGCATAGAACCAGAAATGAATGTGGGATTCCTTTTTATGAATGAAATTCTGGGTCTACTTTATTTAGAAGTCATTGGATTCATCTCTCCAATAAAGTCCTATGGGTATTTCGCCACTATAAGAAAATCCACAAAATAAAATAGTTATTTTTTTGTAAACACTGCTGCGTTAATCCAACGGAGACTAATTGTCAGCAGTGGCTTACTAATAAACAAATTTGCCTAACGGACAAAATGTTTAACGTTTCGGAAAATATATCTCTTTCCGTCGTCGGAAGCAAAAACATGAAGAACAAAGAAAAAAACTAATTAAAATATATAAATGCAACTATTCGAGAACACCTTAGTTTTTTTTAAACAGATACATCTACAAAAACCGTTGACGTTATGTTAAATTTTTTTTGTCTCCATTGGATTAACGCAGCGTGTTTACAAAAAATAACTATTTTATTTCGTATATTTTCTTACAGTGGCGGAATACCCATAGGACTTTTTTTTGATCAGATTTACTATTTTAGATTTAATCTTACCTATGAAAAGCAGCAACGAGTTGGGGCAAATCTGTAATTTGAATTTTCTTAGCTATAACTGAACCGATAGCACCTCCTCCAAGCGCAACAGCTGCCATCTGCGTTAGAACTTCTGTACTAGGAGCTATTTGGCCAAGAGTTGCAGCTATTCCACCCGCAACACCTATCTGAGAAATATACAGGACACTCTCATCAAGTACTCTAACGAATAAATCAACAAATTCATACCATTCCTAAATTATTGCCCATTCTGGCAGTAGCCTGGCTACTCAAACCAGCTAATGCTCCCACACAGCAGAGTGACGCTGCTAAATACGCTGCCTGGTGGACTTCCGATAAACCACTCATTGCAGCATAACCATATCCACCAAGAAATGCTGCCGCAGGTATAGCATAGAGTGCATTGTAGTCTGGCGGATCACCTGGTCTGTCCAAACAAAGCAAAATTAGTTGATTCTGCGGTTTTCTATGATTTTAAAAGTTACCTTCTGAACATGTCCAGCATTCTCCTTGTAACAAAGAAACCTCCAAAAACGTTAATAAACGATATAAAAGCTGCACTTGCTGCTAATGCCTAAAAAATCATAGTTACTTTTTCAATTATACCGAGAAAGACTAGGACTGAATATCTTAAACTCTAGAAAGTCTTGGTTTATTCTTTTAATGTCTTTGATTTATTCTCTTTACATTAGAAGATTTCTTATTTACATTTTTTAATTATTTATTCTCGTACTATTATAAGAGTATCAATAATAATTGATACTGTTATAATTAATATTTTGTATACTATACCTCTACTGAATTAGTTGGATAATATCCTCCGTTCATTAGTAATAAACCTCCCACAGCAGTTATGCCAGAAATGGCATTAGTTACAGACATTAAAGGAGAATGCAATGCCGGAGTTACTCCCCAAACGGTATGATAACCTACAATTCCTGATAATCCAAGTACACTTAGCATTGAAGTAAACTCCGGATTTGGGGAACACATTCCTAGACCCACAATACTACCAACACCTGTAACATTAAATGTAAGTCCATAAGTTATTAGAAATAAAAGCCCATTAAATATGATTTTTAAAAAATACTAACCTGCTGTAGTTAATAACGCACGATCCAAAGTTTTCTTAAAAGGACTTGGTTCAACTTGAACCACTTTGGCAGATTCGGTTTCTTGCGTCTTGTGAATAGGAGTAGGAGGTGGCCCTACAGGTTTTGGTGGAGGCCACATAAGTTTGCCTTTATCTAGAATAATACTTCCTCGAACTACTTCATCTTCTAAATCAATATAAAAATGGTTTTGTTCTCCTAGAAACAGTATATTCATTAGTAGGTATGCTAATATAACCTAATAATAATACTTCAAATTATTGATTAACTTACCTATTGACTTGATTAACTTACCTATTGACAAGAGAAACTTAGATATATTGTTAGCGTAGAGCGTTGAACTTTGAGTGGGCAATAAACTAGGAAAGTCGGTTAGTCCAACGTGAGTAACGTCATTGAAAGTATGGATTTCACCAGGACGAGTAGTTTCGACGTTACCCCCTGCTTCCGCAGCTAGGTCTACCACTACACTACCAGCTTTCATCGACTTTATGTGATCCTAAAAAAGTAGATAGCGTAAATCGTAGGTTTACAGCAAAGTCTCAATTATTCAATATTTATAGTTTATGAAATTGAATTATTGTATTAATCTGTAATTATTTGATTACTACTGTAGTCCTGAGACTTGGGAGTGCACAATCAAATCATCAATCTTTGCAAATTCTTTACTAAAAAGTTACAGGACGTTAAACCTTTTTAAAAATAGGTCTTTTGTAATTATCTTAAATACAATTTTTTTGGAATTTCCTGTTGGTAGCACTAAACATCAGTGATATAAATTTTAATAAAATTTATTATTAACTAAATTACATTAAATAAACAGAATGCTGAAGTTCTCAACAAATTTTTGCAGCCAAATTCGAGAATAATTGAATAGGTAGCTAACAAGATCTCAGCCGTTGACAGTCGAGGCCGCCGGATTTAGCGCCTATGGATTTTTATCTTTGCGGCAGAATAAAGGTTCTTATTTTAAAATTGCCCGTATAATCTAGACAAGAATTAGAAGTACTTAGCGGTTATGCGAGGGTATCTTTCACCCCACTGAATTAATGAATTCCGCGAGATATGTTCAAAAACAGTCCCGTCTGTCCATAACAAAAGAAGGTCGACATGTCGAACAACTGTAGCAAAATCTCATCTCTTGAGTTGCTATTTAGTTTTATTGTTATTAGAATATGTTGTTAAATATTACACATTTTTGAAAAACACCCTGTAACTCCGAAACGGTAACAGATATCGATGTGCGGTTTTCACCATCATGTGTTGATAAAAATTGAGCTGGACATTAGTTTATTATCTACTATAGAAAAGGGTGTTTCCCTGTAAAAGCGTCCAATTTGGCCCATACTGTACATAGTTATGATAATGGGAAAAATCGATTAATATTTTCTTTGAAAGTTTCAGTGAATATTTTACACTACTATTCATGGCATCTGTATCGTTGATTTTAAAAGTTTAACGAAGAAATTATAACAGCTATCATATTTATGTATTTACAGTTATTTACCTTTAAAATTAATACTGGAGCTTTTCTGCCTGGAATTAAAGCAGTAGATATAATAACATCAACCTCTTTACACTGTTTTGCAAATAATTCATGCTCTGCTTCTATAAATTCTTTTGACATTTCCTTGCTGTAACCACCTGCACCACCTCCCTCTTCCTGAAAGTATGAAAATAAGTTTTAAAATATTTTTTGATTATTCAAAATTATGAAATTCTACCTCAATGTTTATAGTCAAAAATTCTGCTCCTAAAGACTCTACTTGTTCTTTGACAACCGACCGAGTATCAAATGCTCTCACTATAGCGCCCATAGATTTGGCCTGTCCAATTGCTGCTAAACCAGCTACTCCACCTCCTATAATAAGTACTTTAGCTGGTGGTACCTTACCAGCTGCTGTTATTTGACCTGTTTTGATTGAAAATTAAGTTATAAGGATTAAAGATGTTTTGAAGACAAGAATTAGTACCTGAGAGAAACTTAGGATAATGGTTTGCTGCTTCTATAACAGCTCTGTATCCGGCAATGTTTGCCATTGAACTAAGAGCATCAAATACTTGAGCTCTGGATATTCGAGGTATGCAGTCCATGGCTGTAAATAAGTATCTGTTAAATCTACGAACAGAAATATCAGATGGTGTTTACCAAAAGCGTTGATTTGTTTATCGCCCAATTTTTTAACCAAATCGACATTTTGTGCAGGATATAAGAAAGATATTAATGTTGAACCTTCCTTAAAACTTGGTACTTCTTCTACAAGCGGCTGTCGTACTTTTAGAATAATATCTAGAATAATATTCATGGTTATTTCAAATTACGTTTATTTTACGATATTAGTTTTTCAACCTGAACTAAAAACTTTTTCCTTGTTTACTAGCTTTGCTCCTGATTTCTCATAATCTTCATTACGAAACTTAGCCAGAGAACCTGCATTTTCTTCAATATTCACAGTAAATCCCTTTTTCAAAAATATTTCTGTTACTGATGGGGTAATTGCAACTCTAAAAAGCCCAATGTATTAATATATAATCATACTTTACGTACAAAATACGCTTTGTTATTATCGATTTTTTGTGGGGAAAAATGTATGTTATTTTTATGGGCTCTCGCAGTGCTAATTGGTAGGAGTAACGAATATTCAAGATTCTCTTGATAAAACATATGTGAATAAAAGAGTTTCTAATTGGAAAGAAATAAGGTTTCTTTTGCTAAGAAAAACAAGCACCCAAGAACGTCATAAATAAGTTATATACATTTCTTGTGGGCCATTTGGTCTGAAAATTGATCTAATACAATTAAAAAAAAATGAACTAATTATGGTTATTGTTTATTTTCAATACTCATGTAGCCACGTAAAAGCAACAGCGGTGTGCATCAAGTACAAATACACCAAGTTTCTGTTATGTGTCTTATAGTGTGAGTGATTGGAATCGCCATGAATCAGTTTGTAGGCATTTGGATTATATGTTTTAGTGCCTGCAGAAGCGACAATAAAGTCGCGACACGTCGCAAAAAAACATATGTAATTGTTTCCTCTTCAGCCTTCCCAAATACCCACGATTTTTCTACATATTAGAACTAATGTCACTCAACGGTGGAGGCGTATCTATGAAAAGGGAAATTAATCACCACGACCTTATAGATCTATTGTGTCCTCCTTTCTTGAGTTATAACTCATCATACAGCCTCAGGGCTTTGATAAAAGCCAGTATCTGAGATGACTTTACAGAGGTTCGTTCTATATTAGATTTTAATTTACTAACATATTATTTTTTCTCAAGTAGTACCTTGTATTAACTTTTAAAGCCTTTTCAGCATTATTATATAGCCTCATCACTGCACTGGTCGCTATTGAACAACATCAACTTTTTATGTCTCTAATGATAAAAAGTAACTATCATAATCGGAGAAGTTATGTACAGCGTATACATATTTTTAATTTTGTTTTGACCATGTTACACTTCTAATGATTTAATAAAACATAAAATGTAGTAAAAAACGTCTATATTTATTTTATATTTTACAAAGAATAATTTTGCGCTTGAATAACGTTACCGTTTTAGTTAGCGTTAATAAGTAACGGAACGCTAAAATTCTAGTATGCCAAAACTCTCCATTAATTTCTTCCGGATCACAAGGTGGCTCTAAATGACGGATCCATTTGTTTTATATCAGTGTCCAATCTATCTCTAGTACATGACATTAGTCTATGCTTACCACATATGCTTTTCAAACCACTTTTCAAATGATGCGGCAACAGTATAATGTTGAAAATATTTTAGAAAGATAGAGCAGGCGCCTTTATGTAAAAATCCAAATTGTAAAAAAAATCATCGGTTCTCCATAAATGGCTAACGTGCCGATCGCCGCGTATATAAACCCTATATTTAAAGCGCATTAATTCCAGTTTAATTTTACTACTAGATACCTGAATATAAAAAGTAGATATAATACCTTTTTTCATTTTTCCAAACTTCTTTTGGCACTCCTATTGTCAAGTTAGTGTAAGGAATTCCCCTAGGTGGAGCATCTTTATCTCTAGAAAAATGTCTTTGCTCTAATACTGTGATTTTCCGGAGACTTAATATCTTCCTGTTGGTCAATCTTAGAATTCCTCTAGCCATCTTAGTAATATCATTTCAAAAGGGTCCAGAAGAACTAAAAATAATTAGGCATATTATGTGTACCATTAATAATTCTAATCTAAGAGCTCGTCTAAGAGGTATTATCTAGAATCTAGAAACTAGTGTATACCACAGACTATTAGTGTGTATACATTAGGCTTCAGAACCGGGAAATCCCGGTTATACCCAAAGTATTGTATTTTTTTATTATTTAGTAAAATGTTGCTAAATGTATTAGTTATGTTGTATTTTTATATGCATGTGCATTTTTAATTAAAAATAATGTAAGGTTTTATCTTCAAATTTAATAAAGTTGGTTTATGTTGTTTGATGTAAATTTTAAGTTACCTATGTTTTTTTCGTTTTTTTTTCTTTGCTTATGTTCATTTGTGTTGACGTTAATTTTCTCATTACTTAATAATTTGATTTTATTTTCATTTAAAATTCAATTTTCTATCGGTTTTACTTCTGAAAACCATCCCTTGCTTGCTGATTGATGAACTGCACCATTATTGAATAAAGTTAGTACCGAAAGTACCAAAAACGGAAAATCCCGGTTCCTAAGAGGTGCGGTACCGAAATTCGCGGTTCCGAAAAACAGCTCCGGTTCCGCATATGTATATATGTTACGGTTAAGGTCCGATATTCAGTTAATGTCGACATTACCCAATTAATCTCAAGAATAACACAAAACAAAACAACCAAAAACAAAACCTAACCCAAACATTAACCTGCTAATGTCGACATTAACCGGATATCGGACTTTAACTGTAACATATACAGACCGGACCACCGTAGTAGTAACATAGGCAGACACCGGACGAATTAAGCTCCGCGCGCACTGCATCGGATCGGACCGACCAGCAAAAGCGACTGCGACCATCGTACATATAGACGGCGCCGGCGTCCACTAAAACATTTCGGCCTGTAGAGGCCAGATTCCTACCTCTACCTATCTACGATAGTCGAGTGTAAAATGGTATTTCCAAAATAGGTCTTATCGGGATATACAAACAATTTTTCCACAAACTTTTGTAAACAGGCCAATTCCATCTTTACCTACTATATCAAGAGTTATTAATAATTTTGAAACACATGGGTGCGTGTCCCCACAAAAACACAAAAAGCCTAATGTGTTGATTAATGAAGAACAGGAGTTAAAGCAAGTGTTTTTGGGGGTGGTTTTGTAGGGGAGCATATGATTGGTCCATTTTTTATAAAGGGTAATTTAACTGTTGCAAAGTATTTGGACTACAGCAGCAGATTGTCCCTAGAATTCGTGAGTTATTGGGAGAAAGATTCCACTATGTCTGGTTTCAACAAGATGGTTGCCCTGCCCACAATGCCCGTATTGTTCAAGAATACTTGAACAATACTTTTCCCAACCGTTTAATTAGTGGATAAGGAACTATTTTGTGGTCCGCAAGATCACCAGATCTTTGTCCCAATGATTTCTTTTGGTGGGGTTATGTAAAATCCAAAGTGTATGGCCATAATAGAGCTAATAATCTGGATGAGCTTCAAGTAAAAATATGAGAGGCTTTCCAAACTATTAGCCCTAATATGTTAGCCAATGTCAGTCGGGGATTTTACGACCGCCTAGGCTTCTGTCTAGCACAAGAAGGTGGTCTTTTTGAACACTTGTTATAACTTTTTTTATTTAGAGTAATATTTTAGTTTTTTTCGGGTTTAGAGAATTTCATTATTTTTAATTTTGGCTTGTAAACACACTCAAATAATAAATATTTAAGTATTTTTATTCAAATGTTACCTTAAGTGAAGGTAAACAATTAATTTTAAAATGAAAATAATAAATACTCGGCACTCCTCGCGTCGTATTCCTATTGTCACGACCGACCCGTCTAAGCACAACTGCAACTGCGTACTGTCTGACCAGCCGACTAGCCGGCAGTGAATCTCTAGTACGAACACAAATCGAGCAAACGTAAATTCGTCCGACAACTTGCTATGTTACTAGTAGCCTGGTTTTCTCTGTATACTAAGAAAATAATAAACTCGCCTCAAAGATACAGATATAATTTTGTTAAAATGTTATTCGTAAAACAAATCTGAAACCTACTTAAAGTAAAACCTTGGACTATTTTTGAATGAATATAGTAAAAATAATTGTATCTTGTAAAAAGTATTTATTTAGTTATTGATATTTATTTTTAATTAAAATTTCTAAGTCATTGACATGAATATATGTATGAATTAAATGGTTTTACACTCGACTGGTTTTTATTTAACGTTAATATCTATTTTATAAAAAAATAAGATTAGGCTTGTTACAAAATATGTTGTATACCATTTTAATCTATCCGCACCTTGGAAATAATACACATAATTCCTCAAATAATCAATAATTATCATGTAAAAAACATTGATTTCCTTACTGATATTTATTTTTAGTTATTTTTTAGTTACATATATGAATTAAGTACATATTTTAAAAATGATTAATTACTTAGGTTGGTTTTATTTGACATTAATATTTTTTTCGTAAAAATAAGATTAGGTTTGTTGTAAAATTGATTACATTGCATGTAAGTAAATATAATTTTAATTCATCCTCACCTTGGAAATATAAAATAAATCTCCTCAAATAAACACCAATTATTATCTAAAAAGCTTTAATTATTTATAGCAATTTATTTTTAATTAAAATTTCTAAGTCGTTGACTTGAATACATGTTTGAATTAAAGCCATTTGAATGAGGGTTGACAATGATACAGTCTTGATACCAGAGCTGCAAGAAAACTTAAATCTTTTTGTGATTTAAATAATTTTAATGACTTAAGTCATTTGATTTTAAGTCATCTTTCGAAAGCTGACTTAGACTTAAAATTTAAGTCATTTTCAATTGTTTCAAGCAATAAAATTAATATCGTATCATCGTATCGTCGGATTACGGACGCTCAAATCAAGCTTCAATCAAAAATATAAACTTGTCATACTTAGACTTAAATTTCATTATATTGATTTAAGTCTTTACGAAAATGACTTGACTTGGAAGAAAATTATGCAAGTCAAAGACTTAAGATTTGAATCATTAAAACTTTATGTTGAAATTGACTTATGATTTAAATCATTTTGATTTTAGAAATGACTTAAGACTTAATATTCAATTCTTTTTGAAATTGACTTGTTGCAGCTCTGCTTGATACTGAAATAATTTCGGATAATGTCTTTTTTTAAGTCCAAAAATCTTTTAGTATCTATATTAGAATAGTTTTAAGTCCATATTTTAATACTGATATATTCTATACTTAACTTGTCTTTATTTGACGTTAATAGTTATTTTACAAAAAAGTATTAGTTATAAATTTATTACGATGTACTCAAATACAAGTTCAATTCATCTTCACCTTGAGAATATAAAATCATTCCTCAAATAATCATTAATTATCGTGTAAAATGCATTTACTTACTTATTGTTATTTATTTTTAGTTGAAATTTCAAAGTCGTTGACTTGAATACATGTATGAATTAAATTTATATTTTAATATGAATATATTCTACACTTGACTTGTTTCTATTTGCAAAATAAAAGACTAATTCACGACAATACACCATAATACTTTTGACCATAGGTAATAACTATCAAAAATATTAGTTTTTTTTCACACAACGAATATATAGGTAGGAACATCAGAATAAATAAGAATTATCAAAAGTTGTCAGCTATAAGCGATTCATTATTGCATTATTATAAATTTGTCCCTTCTGAAAAAATATGATGAGTGGAGATACCCGGTTTTGCTTCTAAAACCCTCAATTGAGGAGTTCATAAAATTTTTCCTTTATCATTTGAAGAGTACATGGGAAAAACGATGAAAGTCCATTTTTTGCTAATTTGGTTTTAATGCATAATATTTTCCGTTTCAGAATGCTAATAAAAGCTCCGTCTCTAAGTCAAAAAAAATTCTCTTGTGTTTTATTAAATTAGGAAAAAGGTGGTGACATTCTCCAAACTCCTTTCTTTTTTATTAATCTTATGAGTTCAAACATTCCGTTTCTCCTTGCCCTGCTCTTCCTCTTCATTTGTTAGAAAAGCACAACAAATACGCTTTCGTCTGAACTTGAACTCACTGTTTTAAAAACTAAACTGCAGTAAGGAAAAAACACTTCGACTAACCAAATAGCGTTTCCGCGTTTCAGAAGAGCGTTATAGTGGGCGCAGTCCAAAGGGATGCAGTGCAAAGGCAGCCGGAAAAAATTCTCTTCCCAGCGCCGGCGCCGCGGCCTAGTATGGGCTACAACCTTTACTATTTTTTTTAAAGATATATCTTTCTATAAGTTAAAGAGGGCATTTTTATATTCTAAAACTTATGTAATGAAAAAGCAAAAATCACATTTTAAAACTGTTTTACAAAATAACAACCTATAAAAATTACGAATTACTTATCATTAATTTTTGAAACAAATAAAAGTAAACCAAAATAAATAAATGCAAGTCTTGACACGGTACAATCATATGACAAATCACATATGCATTAAGATGTAATTAAAACATTTTTGCATTATCATATTTAAATTAACAGAAAAAAAACAATTTATATTATAATAAACCATTCTTTGAATATTTAATTTAGAATTATAACAAGCTTAACTAATGATACATAATATAATACAAAATATTTATTTAACTAAGTAGCTACTGTTTTCTCTTATTTTACGATTTATTGCTATTCTTATTTAAATGTTTGCATATTTTATTCCTTATTACAAACTGTAGGAGTAAATAGAGCAAAATACGATGCACGGCAAAAAATAAAATATGTCAAACTAGCGCAATCAGGTATTCTACAAAATAACCGCAAATATTTCTGGAATTATTGTTATTGAAAGCTAATATTTTCAAGTATATTTGGATAAAAAGAAAAACGATATACCGGAAAACTCGAAATCGACGTTGAAAACATTACCCCTAACAAAACCCCTATTGATTTTGCAAAACGAAGTCGTAAGTAGGTTTATTAAAGATCTGCATAGGTTTATTAAAGGTAATACATTACACGTGTCAAATTTG